CTCCTCCGCCTCAGTGCCCTCGCCTCATTTGCACGTATGGTCCTCTGCTCCCTCTCCTCCGCCTCAGCGCCCTCGCCTCATTTGCACGTATGGTCCTCTGCTCCCTCTCCTCCGCCTCAGTGCCCTCGCCTCATTTGCACGTATGGTCCTCTGCTCCCTCTCCTCCGCCTCAGTGCCCTCGCCTCATTTGCACGTATGGTCCTCTGCTCCCTCTCCTCCGCCTCAGTGCCCTCGCCTCATTTGCACGTATGGTCCTCTGCTCCCTCTCCTCCGCCTCAGTGCCCTCGCCTCATTTGCACGTATGGTCCTCTGCTCCCTCTCCTCCGCCTCAGTGCCCTCGCCTCATTTGCACGTATGGTCCTCTGCTCCCTCTCCTCCGCCTCAGTGCCCTCGCCTCATTTGCACGTATGGTCCTCTGCTCCCTCTCCTCCGCCTCAGTGCCCTCGCCTCATTTGCACGTATGGTCCTCTGCTCCCTCTCCTCCGCCTCAGTGCCCTCGCCTCATTTGCACGTATGGTCCTCTGCTCCCTCTCCTCCGCCTCAGTGCCCTCGCCTCATTTGCACGTATGGTCCTCTGCTCCCTCTCCTCTCCCCTCCTGAGTGCATAGTCCGCTGCTCCCTCTCCTCTGCATGTATCTTTGTCTGCTTCTTCTCCTCCTCTGCATGTTTCGTCCTCTGCTCCCTCTCCTCCTTTGCTCTCTATCCAAAGACTCAAAACAAACCGTGCTACAACCTAAAGGAGAGGAGAGGAGTTACAGCCTGCAGGTGAGGAGACGAGCTAAAACATCGCCTGTACTATATACCAGAGCAAGGCACACAGCAGACGAAGCATGTCAAGATCATCCCACCTAACCCGACACTAAAATTACGCAGTTGTTCGTTTCTTCCAGGTCTGCAAATATTTACAGCTTGACTGTGCGTTATCCACTCCTGCATGCATCGGGCATAAGCGCTGCCCTGTACTCAGAGTGCGGTGAGCGTACCTGTAGTTAGGCGCCAGCCAGAGGGAGCTTCTCGCCAGAGCAGAGTGTCTGAGCCGGTGTTGCATGCGCCGGCACCATGAGCACGAGTGCCGCTCCTTGCTGCCGCTCCTTGCTGCCGCTCCTTGCTGCTCGCACTCACTTTGGCCTGGAACAAGCTATGAGGTGGAGGATAGGGATAGGCAAAAGGACACAGGAAGCAGGAAGTAAGTGAGTGCAAGGACGGAAGGCAGCAGTGGAACAGGAATTGCAAGCGTCAAAAGAAACAAGGCAGGGAAAATGGAAGAAAGTAGAAAAGTGAAAACCATGTGAAGGATGCAGTGAAAACAGAGAGGCGATGGTAGCACACAGCACTAGGGCGGCGAGCTAGCAGGCAAGGGGGGACTGGGTAAGGAAGGGACGCGGGCATGAGTATGAATGCATTCTACTCTATTCCCCTACGACTCTAGTATGAGCTCAACCCTCCGCAGTGCTATGCGCTACCATCGCCTGAACGCCACTCATCTCTCACTCAACTTTTGACGCTCATCTCTCATTTTGCTTTATCGAGCATGCAGTGAGGAGAGCGCAGAACAAAAGTGGGCAATGATAAACACGAAGCAGAAGAGGTAAGGATGGAAAGGGCGCCCGGAGAGTGAACTTAGCCGTATGGGGTTGCTTGCAGGAGGCACGTGCCCTGCTGTGAATGCCTGCCGCGCATCATCCCCCCGCCCTCCCTCCCCAAGCGCTGCCAAAGCACTGGACAAGAGGGGTGCAGCAAAGGAGAGCAAGAGTAGAGATAGCAGGGGGGAAAGGAACACTAGTAGTCAGTCGAAGCAAGATAGATAGCAAGAGGCAGAGATATGCATGCAAGGAGGCAGAGATAACAAGAACGAATGAGTAACGGAAAGAAAAGTTGAAGTTGAAAAGCACGTGGCACTGTGACGTTGTGAAAGGGGAGGCGATGGTAGCACACAGCACTAGGGCGGCGAGCAAGCTGGCAAGGGGGTCGAGGGAAGGAAGGGACGCGGGCATGACTATGAATGCAATCTACTCTACCCCCTACGACTCTAGTATATGAGCTCAAGCCGCCCCAGTGCCATGCGCTACCATCGCCAAAACGCCACTCATCTGTGATTCAACTTTTGACGCTCATCTCTCATCTCTCATTGTGTTTTATCGAGCATGCAGTGAGGAAAGAACGCAGTACAAAATTGGGCAATAATAAACACGAAGCAGAAGCGGTAAGGATTGAAAGGGAGCCGGCAGAGGGAACTTAGCCGTATGGGGTTGCTTGCAGGAGGCACGTGCCCTGCTGTGAATGCCTGCCGTGCGTCATCTCACCGTCCTCCCTCCCCACACGCTGCCAAAGCACCGGAGAAGAGGGGTGCAGCTAAGGAGAGCAAGAGGAACGAGCGGGGGGAAAGGAATTCTAAGTAGTCAGTGAAGCAAGATAGATACCAAGAGGCAGAGATATGCATGCAAGGAGGTAGAGATAACAAGAACGAATGAGTAATGGAAAGAAAAGTTGAAGTTGAAAAGCACGTGGCACTGTGACGCTGTGAAAGGGGAGGCGATGGTAGCACACAGCACTAGGGCGGCGAGCAAGCTGGCAAGGGGGGACTGGGTAAGGAAGGGACGCGGGCATGAGTAAGAATGCATTCTACCCTATCCCCTTATGACTCTGGTATGAGCTCAAGCCGCCCCAGTGCCATGCGCTACCATCGCCAAACGCCGTATGAATAAAAAACTCTTGTTTTTCGAGCATGCAGTGAGGAAAACGCTCGGTATAAAGTGCGCAAGGACAATGACGAACCAGAAGAGGCAAAGATGACAAGGGCAAAGGGAGAGTGGACTTAGCCGTATTGGGGAGCTTGCAGCGACAGATGCAGCGAGAGAGTCGTCGTTCCAGCCAGCAGCAGGATCCAGTCTGATGCTCCATAGAATCTCCGAATGAGCTTCCCTCGCTGCTGTTGATGTGATTCTGACTGGCTGCATTCGCCTCTTTTATTATCAACGTCTTGCGTCTCAATTGTCACCGTCAAAAAGCCGCGCTTCAATTGTCGCCGTGAAAAGTCACCATTTCAGTCGTTACTCTCGGAAAGCGTCACTTCCGTCGTCACCATGAGAAGCCGCACTTTTGATCGTCACCGTCAGCGTCAATTCGGTCGTCGCCGTAAGAAGTCACCATCGCGATCGTCACTATCAGAAACGTCGCTTCGCTCGTCACCGTCAGGAAATGTCACCTCGACCGTCACCGTCGGGAATTGTCGCCGTGGCTTTGATCGTCAGAGCGAAAACGTGCACCCTGATCGTCGCTGTCAGAACGCATCACTTCGATCGTCACCATTATAGGTCACCCGGTGACGGGCCGTCAGAACTCGTCTGTCACCCCCTCAGTCACCACCATTGGAAGAGCACATATCAGAAGTCGCGGCGCCATCAAATCATTCGCGTTTGCCTTCGCCGTGGAAAAAACAATCGCCAGCAGGGTATCTGCGTCGGCCGTCACGAGACGAGATCAAACTGTTCTCGCTGCTTCAACAAACGTATTATGGAGAGCGGAAAGACAATTCTAAGGCATCTCGAGATGATCGCCGATCGGCGAACCCTCTCTCTCCCCGCGACTGTCAGGCGATGTCTAGAATTCTAGAGCCGAGTTGTTGTGAAATTCTGCGACCGACATCGAGATAGCGATCAGGATAGAGAATTATTGGTAGACGACGGAATGGCAGTCGACGGCAGCCATGTACTGCTGGGAGCCGCCTTACAGGTTCCAAAAATAAGACTAAACGGTTACACGTCGGACGACGACAGCCATGGATTGCAACAGTATGAGCTTGGTTCTTGAAATCAATATATCTGACGATCACGACGGAATAAGACACAGACTACGAAATCTAAAGGTAACATGATCCGTAAAGAAATGGCGTCAGCCATGGGCATCGGTTTAGCGAGCTCGTTATCTTCTAGGACAGTGAGCAGAGGTGTGATCATGGTGAGGAATTCAGAGAAGCTTGAGAATGGCGTACATCAATGGAACAGTGGTGCATTCCAGGCGAATTAGAGAGATTTAGAGTGGTGGTGAAGGAATCCCAGAAGCAGGAAGTGATCAGTGGAACTAGTCCATTTTCCCAGCTCAAGTGCAGGCCGCCGCACCGTCGGCGGATGGTGCCGGTTTCGTGAGAGCGTAGACGACAAGGCTGGCCGTTTCGTCAGCAGAAGATGCGCCTTGCGAAATTTCGACTGAGTTTTGCGAACAAATCGTCGGAATCTCCGAAACGTGGAAGTTCCAGGGTTCCCCGTTTGCGCGGGAACTGTCTGACAGAAGTGGATGTCTTGTGATGGCAAATGGTATGGATGCTCATGCATGTATCGAAGGGCTGAGTGCAACTATCTCCGGATGCGATGTGATGCTCCTTTCTGACGGATGTGCGACACATTGTGCAGCGCGCCAAAATATATCATTTGAGTCACCTCACTTATGTCGTTCTTGTAACAATAATGTCCCAGCTGATTCACCATTATCCCCCAACTTAACTTCACATTCTGAGTCCTGACCAACCAGGCACAAGTAGGCTTCAAAGCACGAGGCAGGATTAATATGGCACTTGGAAAAACAGCATGGTAATCAAACCAGCTGCAGCGCCAATCACTCCAGTAAAGGAGCATAACATACATCACGGTCACTCATAAAAGCCAAGGCACAACACAAGTAGCTGCCATACCACCCAAGCACCTGCCCATATATACAGCATATGAACGCATGCTCGCCGGTTTTTCCCCCGAGATCACCACCACTACTACACCATACACGCACTTTAACACCCCTCTCAGCTTGCACAAGCCCTTTCCGAGAAGCCTGCAGGCAAGCAGGCCAGCCTCCTCAGAGCACTCTGGCTTCTAAACCCGCACGTAGCCCACCAGCACACAGGCAGCGGCCCCTACCTAGATCAGGCCAGACACCTCAGCCAGCGTGCTGTGTGCGTGCGTCAAAGCCTCTGAATGAGCTTCGAAGTGCCTAGATAAGTAACTGAGAGCCTAGATGAGCGAGTCGATCTCCTCTGTGCGTGCTGACTTGAGGGCGGACACGAGCCCCACCGGCACGTTCTGGCGGGGCCGCTGTGTTACGGGGTCCACCGGGGGCAGGGAGCAGCACTGCGCATACTCCTCGCCGTCAAAGGCAAAGCAGTAGGGGTGTGCCGTGCCGATCTGGTGTGGGGGGATGGGTGTGGGGATGGAAGGAGAGAAAGCACGCGGTGTGAAGGGGTCCACGGGGGCAGGGAGCAGCACTGATCGTACTCCTCACTGTCAAACACAAAGCAGTAGGGGTGCCGAGTGCCTATCTGAGGGAAAAGAACGAGGGAAGAGCAGGGGACCGGTGAGACGTGGCACAAGAGGGCAGCGCATATTGCACTGCACTAAAGATACCCTGATATTTGTAACCAGCACTGCGTACAACGAGCCATGCTTATAACGAGTCATACTCACATGCAGGCGCAGCATCTCGAGCTCAGTGAGGTCGCAGAGGTACGAGATGATGCAACGCAGCACATTGCCATGCGCAACCACCAGCACGTTCTTGCCCTCCGCTAGCCGCGGCTCCACCGTTGACAGGAAGAAAGCCAGAGTGCGCTCCGACGTGTCCTGAGGGATGCCATAACGGGTACAGGAAAGAAGTAAGGCGGGTGAGAAACCAAGTGCCGAAAAACGATGATGTCATCACCACAGCAAAAGCACCACAACAATACAACTACGAATCCATAATGTAACGGGTGCGGCACCCCAACAGAGTAACACTCACCAGCAGGCTCTCCCCCTTGGGCGGGCGCGTGTCGTGGCTTCTCCGCCAGATGGCCACCTGCTCGTGCCCGAACTCCTTCGCTGCTGCCTCCTTGTTCAACCCCTGAGCAGTGGAGCAACGGAACAAGGGCGGGAGGGAACAGGGGTCAGATGGAACAAACGGGGAGCGAGTGAGGAAAATGGGAATCAGCTCGAGGATGGAAATCCACTCAACTGCCCCAACAGCGAGGCGCGCAGCTCACCTGCAAGTCGCCGTAGCAGCGCTCGTTGAGGCGCGGGTCGGCGTACACGGGGATCATGCGGCACGCCGCCTGCTTCAGCGCCTGCGCCGCCGCCTCCCGCAGTCGCAGGCGGTTCTCGTCGCCCGTCTTGCCCCGCCCGTAGTAGCCGCCGCGCACGATCACCGGCACCGCCTTGTGCACGCTCTGGTGGAGGAGGTCGCGAGGTAGAGAGCGTCGCGAGAGGGGTAAGGAAGGAAGGAAGGAGCGAACGCGTTTTAGGACGGGGGCAAAGCGAACACACTTTGAACAGGGACAAAGCGAACACGTCGTTGCTAGCGAAATGTCTCACGGTATGCGTTGTACGAATTCACTTCTCTCACCCGCGACATACGACGCTCACTTGCGACATGCGACAGACGACGTTCACCTGCGCCATACGACGCATGTGCGACGTGCGACGCTCACCTGCGTCATGGCGAGCAGCGCCGTCTGCTTGGAGCGCACGAGGCGGCTCGTGAAGATCATGTCGAAGTCGATCTCCGCCACGGACCGCCCGCCCGCCATGGCCTCCATCACGCCGCGCTCCGTCAACGGAATGTCCACGTCACTGTGACGTGGCACAAGCGGGATTCGGGGAGGCAACATAAATGATGAGGCGGACCAAGCAACCAGCACTCGACCTAGAACAAGTCTGACAGTCAGCACACACAGACACAGTCGAGCGCTCAGAAATATAGAAGCAGACTCGGCTATCAGTCAGCGCAAACGACGCAGCCATACATCAGAGCGCCACTCACCCCGTAAACAGCTTCAGGTCGTTCCACATGCTCTCGCCGTGTCGCATGAGCACGAGCGTCGGATGGTCGTGCACTTTCGCGCACGTAATCGACGGCTCCGTGTCTTCGCCACAGACCTTCACCACCATGCTGACGTGGTGTTCCTGCCCCTGCCTCCCCCGCTTCTCGCGCGCCTGCTCCTCCTCCTCGCGTCGCGCCGCCGCGCCGTTCGCCCTCTCGAACCGTTCCCACGCGTCGCCGTCATTCGGCGGCCGCGCGCCCCGCTCCTCGCTCGGCGGCGTTGCGGCGGGGCGCTCCGGCGGGGCGATTCGAGCCGCCACCTTGACGCAGCGGCGGCAGGCGGAAGACCAGGTTGGCGCGGCGTCAAACGCGGACCCGGAACCCGGCGATGGAAAGCTTCGCTTGGCGAGGAACTGCGACTCGAGGCGACAGACAGAGTGGCATGACGGCGACACGGCGCAAGGTAGGCGAGCGTGAGAGCGAGAGGTGCTAGATCTGCTGGTCGACAGGCTCGCGTTCGCCGTCGTGTTCGCGCAACCGACGGCTGCGGTTCTGGCGACTGCGTCTCGAGGAGTAAAACGAAATACAGCGACTCTCGCCATCGTGTTCGCGACAGGGAGCGGGAGAGAACAGTCAACGAGCGGAAGGCAGGAGTATTGACGGGAGGACAGACAGCGAGAATATGGTCAACTTCTTGTCTGTCAATAACAACGTTTTGATGACAAAAAGTGTCCCCGGCAGGATAGCCTGAACGGTAAAGTGAGCAACGAGAAAATGAATGCAGCTGGATTTTTGGTTTATGCAGGTCTGACGAGTTGCGTCGCCTTTTGGAAGGAGGAAGGGGTGGTTTCGAGAAGATGAGGAGGGTTGTTGAGAAGTCCAGAGCGGACCAGCAGTGGAGAGAGAACAGAGCAGAGGACGCAATGCAGAGCAGATCGGAAACTGAAGGTGAGCGTGTGCGGGGGAGTTTGGGGAAGGAATAGGGGGGAGAATGCAATGTACTGTACTGTACGCGGGAGGGACTGGCGTGGAGAAGCAAAATGGGAGGGAGGGAGACGCGGGCGGAATGCGGGGAATGGGCGGCAGAAGCGCCATTTCGTAGGTAACAAGGGAAGCAGCAGGTGTTGCGATGCGAACGACCACTTGGGTTGGGCGAAAGAGCATACGACCAGACCTGAAGTCGCAGGCGGTCTACGACACGCAAACCGGCATCTGCAATCTGCGGCCGCGAGAAGAAAGCCTTATCCGCCGATGGATTTGACAGTTCCCAGTTCAAGATAACAGCTGCCAGTTCCAAATAACGGTTGCTCTTGTGAAATGGCCGAATCGATACGGTCGGTGGTGTGACGTGAGCCCAAGCAAGCGGGAAGATGTTTTCAGTGTGGCGGAGGCAATGATGGCAGGCGTAGATCTTGCCCAATGATATTCTGGCCGCTCCTGTCACAATGGCAGGTGTTGACGTGGCAAAACTCCGTCCATGCGACACTCTGCAGATATCGCGGAACTGTTTTCCCCATTTCTATTCGTCGCATGGGGCAAACGGTTGGGGTCAGTCGTCGTGACGTCGTCACAGTCGCCAAGGGAACTTCTTGACGTCTGAGTTCGCGCTTCGGTTGGCTATCGATCTCCAGCGACGAAGGAGGCCACACATCGAAATCGCATCTGACGATGGCGAGAGTTGCCACGTTAACGCGGAAAGACCACGTGTAGTACCATCTGAGCATCGTCCTACCCCTCAGCCGCAGGAGTAGCCCACGGGATAGGGTGCAACACCAATCATGTTCCTTATTGACGACCCTAGCACCTGCGAAGGGGCTCGATGAGTGGAAATTTTTCATTACCACTTTTTCGGGCCAACATCATCAGCAATCATATTATGCCCCTACAGGTTTGCATATTCATTCTTTTCTCTCGGTAGCCTCAAACGGCTGTTGACCCGACTCTCAACGTCTACACACGATGCTCGTTTGACTTGTTGACGGGAAATAGCCTCGCCCTCTCTTGGACATAGCAGATTTCGTAGTCGGGGGCGCGCAGAAGTCAATGTAGACTGCGCGCAGAAAGCGACCTCAATGTGCCCGCAGAGTTCGACCGTGACATGTCCGTATAGTTCGACCTCGACCTGTCCGTATAGTTCGATCTCGACGCGTCTGTAGAGGACGCTGGTCGACAGGCTCGCAGAGGACGCTGGCCGACGAGTCCATCGAGGAGTTCGGTTCGACGGGACCTTCTCAGTATAAGGGCTCCTCGACGAGGTCGGTATAGGAGCTCCTCTACAAGGCTGGTATAGGAGCTCATCGACGAGGCTGGTAGAGGGCTCGTCTAGGCGAAAGCTGCTCGACAGAGCATTCGTCGAGCTACTCTACGAAATTCGCGCGACTGTGAAATTCGTCATATGGGCGAATGTCACCCAGGGGGTTTTTGCGAAGTCAACCTGCGGAACGGCATCACGTGCTCGACGGTGCACCGCTGACGAAACCGTCGGCACGTGTTCTACCTGGCACCTGCGCAATGTGCTTAGCGGCGCGTCCGTCTACCTGCACCTACTTGGTAGGTGCACACATGCGTAGAAGTTTACTTGCCTCTGCGGCACTGGCAGACCGCTGGTATACCACGCTGGCAGACTACTCTGCTGCAGCGTTGGCAAGCCGCTCTTCTGCTGCGCTGGCATAGTTCGCCCTGTAGAGGGCTTGCTAGGTGTTGTAACGCCATTCTAGCTATATCGACTTGCATGCCTCATTGTAATCTAATGTTCTCTCAATTTCTTTGTGAAACTCTTGCCATATTTCCTTGTGAACGTAGCAAGTAGTGAGAACTCATAGTGCAACGCTACGATCACCCGCACAACCCCGTACCTTCCTCCGTAGTCTACTCCCGTTGTGTAGTGACTCTCCACATGAATAACCCAATGTTGCCTTGTGAAGGGGGCTTTTAAGTGATTCTCAGCATTTGGCAAATTTCGTCAACGTCGCACCTAGCAAAAAAGGGCTTATAAAAACATTGTAACTCTCCGTTGACAGTTTGACTTCGGTCTTTTCTATTTGAATTCAGTTTCTGTGGTTCATATTGGTTCATAGCCACTGCAACTTGCTCAAGGGGCTTGTAATGTGGATGCAACTGGCTGGTAAAAAAAACACGGGTGCATACTTTCCATCCTGGGCAGAGCAAATTCGCGCGCAGGGGTTGAGCATCGCGTGTATAAACGACTGGACATCAACTGACCCCCGGCAAAAATATAAAGCATGCCGGGATGGGTTCAACCCTAAACACCATGCAATTTATGTATATATGGTTGAGTTTTCAATTCACGCACGTCATCTCAATGTGATTTATTTGTCCGCACGCAAATCACAGACCTTCTTAATGTTTGGGGGGGGGGAGGGGGGAGAGGGGGGTGAAGGGGAATCAGACCGGTACATTTCGGGGGATTTATTCATGCCGGCCGTTTAACACCACCGACCTGCAACTGCCATCTACTACATAACAAAGGTGCATCTGCACAACAAAGACAAATACAACCATAATCTGAATGCATGAAAGGTTTGGCCCTACTTATTGCAACTGGTATTGGACGGTCCACGTCAAGGTGCGCGGAATGGAAGGCTCGCCCCAGCGCAACCATTGCAAAGCCCAATATATTGGGTTAACGTTGAGGAAACAATATGTAACATGTAAAAATATGGGCAATTACAAGGAGGTGTTCCTAACCTATCGGCACTCGTCCCATCGGCACTCAATACATCTGGACTCCTCAATCCCATTGGTCTGTTTTTTTTCATGTAATCATCATACGCCGTCATCTCCGTAATCAAACCAGCCGACTTGATCAGTTGACGGCATGTCTCCAAACATTCCGAATCACGGCCGTTGCCCGAACCCATACACAAAGCCGAGTAAGTAACTGCACGACCTAGAAAGTAATTGCATGACTTTGGATATGAAATTCCACGTAAACATTAGAGATCCCTCAAACCCGAGCATCCACCAAATACGGAGCATACACCAAGAAAACCCTCCCCTCATTCTCATTATCCTCCCCATGCTTGCCCACCAAATCAATATACCCCCCCACATAGACGAAGCAGTGTGAAGGAGGATGGCACGAGCCTGGGCGCACTTCAAGGTCATACCAACCAACGACTCCAAAGACCTTATGAGATAAGATAAAAATGACAGGGCGTCATCTGTCACGCCCCCCGCTACACAATAAGCTGCAAGAGAGTGAAGCTCGTAGTCACGCTGAGCAGCGACGTGCAGCAGAACCCGAAGAGTGGTCATCTTCGGGGTCGGGGAGAAGGTCTGGAAGAAGTCAACTCCCTGACGCTGACTGAAGCGTCGAGCAACGTAGCGCGCCTTGAAGACAGGCGGAGAACCCGGCGGCCGCTTCACCCTGAAAATCCACATGCCGCTAACGATGTTCGCTCCAGGAGGGGGAACGTCGTTTACGTAAGTGCCTGTAGACTTCCAGGATGCCATCTCTGCGTCCATGGCCGACTGCCACTGAGAGGAGTAGGGACCCTCTATCGCCTCTGCGTAAGAGCTCGGGGTCGGGATGTCTGGAGCATTTGGGTCTCCCTCAGGTGCAATCAGCATGGATACGAGATGAGGTACAGCAGCTGCAAAGCACTCAAATTCCTCCTGTCTGTCGTCAAGGACGTCCGTGCCAAGAGCACACTCACCCTCGACGGGCGTAGGACAGACAGACTAAGACTCAGCAACAAGGCTAGCGGCGTAGTCTAGATGACAGAGAGCAGCAAATTCGACAAGCTCAGGAACTAAGGCAGACGCAGCAGTGGACTCAAAGGAAGGGTCAGTGACCACAGTGGTCAGGAGACGCGTGACAGTAGGACTAGCAGCACGAAGGGAGCTAGACTCCGGGTCAGCAAGGGCAGGAAGAGAGGACGCAGGAGGAGACGGCAGAGGGACACGCTGCGGAGCAGTGGACGGACACAGAGCCATCTGGTGCGTGCCAGGGACAGGAGGAGGACGGTGACGCGAACCACGACGACTAGTGCGAGCAGCACGAACACGCGACGCAGGACGAGAATCAGGCTCAAGACGCTCCGTAAGACCTCCAGTCGGACCAGTGTAAGGAGAAGGAGCATGCAGTGGGGAGGCGGGCTGTAACTGTGACTGCGACTCAACGGGCGGTGGACACTCTAAGGAAGGAGCAGGACCAGTAGAAGGCGGGAGACCAAGAACTTGCTGAAGGAGCGGAACGAAGTATGGCCGCGGCCGTGCAGTGCCTCCAGAACCAGCAGGGACAGCACCAGCACCTCCAGCGTCAGCTCCAACTCCAGCAGCACCACTAGCTCTAGCAGCACCTCCAGCAGCTCCAGTAGTGCCAACTCCAGCACCCCCAGGAGCACCGGCTCCAGCAGCACCTCCAGCGCCAGCACCTCCAGCAGCACCAGCTCCAGCAAGACCACCAAAAGGCCCAGCAGGTCCAGTAACGCCAGCTCCAGTGGCTCCAGCAGCACCCGCTCCAGCAGCACCGCCAGCTCCAGCCCCTCCAGTAGCTCCAGCTATAGCAGCACCACCAAGCCCAGCAGCTCCAGTACCTCCAGGACTAGCACCTCCGGGACCAGCGGCTCCAGAACCCCCAGCAGCTCCAGTAGCAGCAGGACCTCCAGCGCCCGTAGCACCACCAACTCCAGAAGCACGGCTCCAGCACCGAGCAAATCACTCGCGCAGCTGCTGTGGAGAGAGTGGCTCCCGCCGGGACGAAGCACCCAAAGGACCTCCAGGCTCAGCACCTCCAGACTCCACACTCGCAGGCTCAGCACCCTCAGGCTCCGCACCCCCAGACTCAGCAACCCCAGGCGAAGCACCCCCAGACTCAGCACCCCCAGGCTCCGCACGCTCAGGCTCAACACCCCCAGACCCGGCACCCGCAGGCTCAGCACCCCTAGCAGCACCAGAGTCAACAGCTACCTCGACAGGCTCGACTGCGTCTACCTGGGACACACCTGAGGGGGCAGGACCCTGAGGGGGGAGGGGGTCTACCGGGGGAGGACCTGGCGCGAGGAAGAGCGGTGAGGAGGGGGGGGGGGGGGGGGGCGGCTCCGCGACGAGCAGAGACGGCGCCAAGGGGGGGGGGGGGCGCGACGAGCAGAGACGGCGCCTAGGGGGAGCCGCGACAAGCAGGGGCGACGCCCCGGGGGCGCCGCGACGAATAGGGGCGGCGTCCAGGGGGCGCCGCGACGAGCAGGGACGGCGCCCAGGGGGCGCCGCGACATGCAAGGGCGACGCCCCAGGGACGCCGCGACGATTAGGGGCGGTGTCCAGGGGGCGTCGCGACAGATAGGGGGGACGCCGCGCGGGTCCCGCAGGGGCGTCGCGGCGAGGAGGGGCGACGCGCGGCTCGGCAGGGCGGCGCGCGGGTCGCAGGGGCAGCGCCCACGGCTGCAGGGGCTACGCGCGGCTCGGGAGGGCGGCGCGTGGGCTGCAGAGGCAGCGCCCACGGACTGCAGGGGCGACACGCGGCTCGGCAGGGCGGCGCGCGGGCTGCAGAGGCAGCGCTCACGGGCTGCAGGGGCAGGCACGGCTGCAGGGGCAGTACGGTCGCCGGGGCAGCACGCGGGCTGCAAGGGCAGTGCGGCTGCAAGGGCAGCTAACTCAGTTAGGGCAGGGCGGAACGTTCGGTGGGCCCTAGGAACGATTCTGCTCTAATACCATGTCACAATAGTAGCACAAGTGGGGACTAGGTTTAAGTGAGGGCCTAGGCTTAGTAGCCTAGGCCAAGGGGAGTCGAGTGAGTTGTGGGCCAAGGAGAGAGGAGAATGAGTGTTCACTATAGCGCTAGGGTACATATAGCAAACAAAGAGGTGCACCACCTATAAAGTTAATATCTACACTACAGCTAGAATTACATGCAGTACAAGGTCTGTATAGGCAAAACCTAACAATACTGTACCCCACAAGGAGTGCCCCACTACAGCCTACAACATAGTTCTGACACTTGCTTAATTGGTTCATAAAAAGTCGCATGCAGTAATATATAGTATCAATTCCATATTTCATATATAAGCGGAGATCGAGGTTGAGCGTATGCATAGGTAGATCACGTGGTCGCATAGGGGGGTGTGATAACCAACTTGCGATGTAGGGGAAGTGAGTTATTGCGTGTAGATTTAATGTGTTATTGTTTGGTTGATATTGGTATTCGGAATGTCCGAGTTTGTAGAAAAAAAATGGAATTGGTGGTCGAAATGGGTTCGTTTCCCCTGACAAGCTTTTGGTTTACGTACTTGGTATCAGATTAGGGGATAGCGTTGAGAGACTAAGAAAACTTCGGGTCGATAACTTGAGTAATGGTGAGTGATGGTGTTTACACTTTTCATGAAATCTGTTCGATTTGGTAAATGATATATTTGTTAGCCCTCTCGTATGAGGAGCCTGTATAGGAGGGCAAAGTGAAGCACATCCAACTGATGTGCTTCCTGCTGCGTGCCATGCATGTGTAGTATACTTGGCTTCATGGGCCAACACCACTTGTGTCTTCACCAAGATGCCCTGCCTCGTGATAATCAACGACTCTGCATACCGCTTGACGTTGTCCCTGCAACACTTTACTTGCCATAATTTTGATCTCTGTACACAGTATTGTATTTGGTTATACTCGCTGATTGGCGTTCTGACCATTTGTCTCATAGGCTGGGCTGGTAGTACGACCATGGGTTGTCTCTCATACACTTTGTTGTTCTTGCCGACTGTCCTTTTGGCCCCTTGTCTTAGAAGTTGGATTTGTAGTGCCATCATGCGTTGTTTCTCGCTTTCTATATGGTGACATCCATTACTTAACATAAGGGGTGTCTCAACATACACATTTATGTTCGTATATGTAATTTGTAGGCTAGGTTGGGTTGCACAACAGAGAGTATGGGTTGTTATTTATACCCCCCTCATGAGTGATTTCATCAAGTTTTTAACAACGACCGTCAACTCAAAAAGTAAGGAGGATGCAGAAGGAACAGATCGCAAGATGCACGAAGCTGTCAAATGTTGTAGCACGTAGTGAGGCATGTCATGTGTATCAGAGGTCCACTGGTGATCCCCGATTGATCCTAGGGAAGGGTTACAGGCACGTTGGCTTGGGGGGTTATGGGCGCACTTACCCGCTACACAAATAAGCCCTTTTACCCCAGTGGTTGGTGGCTGGGATTCTGACATGGTATCAGAGCGAAGGTCTCGAGTTCGAATCCCGGTGTGTGCACTTTGGGCATCCCAGTGCGGGGGGGTGCCAGAGGTCCACTGGTGATCCCTGATTGATCATAGGGAAGGGTTACAGGCACGTTGGCCTGGGGGGTTATGGACGCACTTACCCGCTACACAAATAAGCCCTTTTATCCCAGTGGTTAGTGGCTGGGATTTTGACAATGTGGGGTACAGTTTTTAGGGTTAGTTACATGTACCCCAACTCACAGTAATACAGACATCATTCCGTTTCTGACAGAAGCGGCTATTGAGAAGGACGCTGTGCAGATGTTGCTGCCAGATCTGCGGAGACTGCTTAATTTCGTAGAGTTTTTTTTGCAGCTGTCACACCTGGGAGCCTCACACTTAACCGTACTAATTTATCATGACAACTTTTGGACTAAATGATGTGGTATACAAAATAATGGCTTAAATGCTATGTTTGTGTATGAAATATGTCTAGTGTTCAAACGAGTCCTAGATTCTGGCTGACGCTGAACAGTTTCTCGATTCAGTGCTGGTCTTCCGCCCAATCTCCCAGTCCCAGACTCGTTTTCAGGGAATAAAAGTTGAACTAGCTGTTGAGGCGGCGGTGGCTGTACTGGTATAGGAGCGTTACTCGCATGATGTTTCCGATAAAAGTCTGCTTAGCTTTCAGGCAATGATATTGGTATATTTGAGGTGTCATTCCTCTTACACTGCCGATCCTACCGAACGGCCAACATAGAATCCATATAATCGGTTCTCTGGATTCTCTGCGTGTAAAACCGTCCATAGGCAGCTCACTGGCGTTTTCGCAGAATCCGCCGCCGACTTCGAGGCGCTGGCTCCGACCAGGTATTGGTTTCCGAGTTATTTATGCAAGGCGCTTTTGAAAAAAAACAAAAAACAAAAACGAAAAACAATCGGTAGTTATCTGTTCACACACGTATTGCTTCCTGACCATGTAGAGTTACTTCTGGTGGTTCCGCGGTTACGGAGCGGGTTTGGCGCGCGCACGTTTTCTTGTTAACGTGGAGATCTGGGTGCTGGGACGCGCGATGCGATGTTGGTAGTGCCACTGGGTGCGGAACACTCGGATAACAGGAGGGTTGGGGGGGAGAAAGCGCAGGGTAGCGGGGAGGCATGGGAAAAAATGCAGAGGTTTTTTGTGAGCCCCCTCGGAAGTTCTGGGTGGGACGCGCAATGCGGCGTTGATGGTGCTGCTGGGTCGGGGAAGCGGAGGGAAGCGGGGAGCGCACGTCCGGTTCCAAAAGCGTCGCACATCTTTTGTAAACAAAACTCGGATATTTTGGCTTTCCCTTTAACAATTTCCCCCTTTCCTTTCCTCACCCTTTGCCCCACTCTCCCACCACGACCTCCCCCCCCCCCCCTGCTTCCGCTCCCCCTCCTCCCAGCATGTCCGCTCTTTCCCTGAAGCGGTGGCGCGTGGGGGAGAGGGTGGAGGTTTCCCGCCCGGGGGAAGGCCTTCAGGGGGGATGGTTCACCGCCGTGCTGATGGCGGTAGATAGAGGCGCGCAGAGGGGTTCAGTGCGGTACGAGGAGATGATGGAGGCCGACGGGGTGACCAGGCTGAGTGAAGACGTCAGCTTGGATCAAATCCGCCCCGTGCCACCTGGCATAGAGGGAGACGACCCTGCCACGTGGACTGAGGTAAGTGGAGGAGGAGATTTGTGGAGGCGTGGGGTGGGAGATAGATGTCAACTACTTGTCATGCTTGTTATATGGGGAAATCCTAAGCTAAAAAAGCACCCATACCTGTTCTCCCTGCTATCTCGACTCTTCCGTCCCACCTTCCCTACTCTTCCTGCAGCCCCCGTCCTCACCCTTCATTTCCACTTAGTGGTTCTTTTTTTATTCCTCTTCGAACACCCCTCCCCTCCTTCCAGGGCCATGCAGTGGATGCTTGGCACATCAATGCCTGGTGGGTCGGCACCATCCTTGCCCGAACCACACCCGAACCTGACTCTCTCGGTGCCATGCCTGGCGCTAGGCTCGGCACCGAGGCTGAGGTGCCGGCGTTCCGAGTGGGTCTGCGGGGATTAGAGGACCAGAAGGTGTTTCTGGCCCGTGACCTGCGCACGAGAATGGATTGGCTTCAGGGCGAGTGGATACCTTTTGAGCCTCTACCTGCGGCTGCAGCTGACACAGCTTCTGCGGCTACAGCAGCTGCTGCTTCTGTGAGAGCTCCTGCTGCTGCTGCTTCTGCTTCTAGTGAACCTGGCGCCGTTGTCACTACTGCTGCTGTTACCGATGCAACAATGGGTGGTGCCAGTGAATCGGCGTGTGCTCATGCTGCGTCAGATGCTGTGACCGATGCAACCCATGCTGCAATCCATGCTGTGACCGATGCAACCCATGCTGCAATCCATGCTGTGGCTGATGCTGTAACTGCAGCTACAAGTTATGCTGTAACTGACGCTGCAACTGATGCAGTGTCTGAAGCGCTAACTGAAGCTGTGACTGAATCTGCAATTGAAGCTGTGACCGAAGCTGCAACTGATGCAACCGATGGTGCAGCTGGTGATTCACGTGCACTCGGGGGTGATGGAGAAAGTGCTTCAGGGTCCGAGGTTCAGGAGGGGGATGAGGCCCCAAGGGGGGTTGAAGCGATGAACTTTGAGGCGCCTGAAAAGGCTATAGGGACAGAAGAGCAGGCGGGGGATGAGGTTGTAATGGGGGAAGGAGCGGGGTCATGCCGGGAAGCAGAGGACGGAGACGCCAGGGCAGCAGCAGCAGCAGCAGCAGCGGCGGCGGCAGCAGCGGCGTCAGATTCAGAAGCAGTAGCAGCAGAGGACAGAGAAGCAACTTCAGCAGCAGAAGGAAAAGCTGCAGCAGCAGGGGATGAAGAAACAGGTGCAATATCAGCAGGATCACCAGCAGCGACCGAACAAGCAGCAGCAGCACCAGGTGTTGGGGAGTGTAGGGGAGAGTGTGGAGGAGAGCGTGGAGGAGAGTGTGGAGGAGAGTGTGGAGGAGAGTGTGGAGGAGAGTGTGGAGGAGAGTGTGGAGGGCCGTGCAGGCAGGGGCAGGGTGGTGAGAAGTCGCAGGTTGCTGCTCATGGGGAGAAAGATCAAGGGGAGCAGCTGAACATATCGCATGGGCAGGTGACAGTAGGAAAGGGTGCCGTTATTGAAGGGCGGGCTGGCTCTGTGAGTGTGGGTGATGCTGGTGATTGGAAGGGATGTGAAGGAGGAGGAGTTGCCCGAGGGGATGGTGGAGAGAGGGATGGTGGAGAGAGGGATGGTGAGGCAGAGAGTGAAGTGAACAAGAAGGGTGGGGAGGAGGGTGGAGAGAAGGATAGAGAGGAGGGTGGTAGGCAAGGTAGTGAGGAGGAAGTACGTCATAAAGGAAGGGAGAATTGTAGGGGGTGTGAGACAGGAGGAGTCGAGAAGGCCACTGGTCTGGCCACGATTCTTGGCAGCTCAGCAGGTTACTGTGCGCGCCTGCTAGGTGCAGTGGGAGGGGAGGAGGTAAGGGAAGGAGTGGAAGAGAATGGAGAAGAGGAGCGTAGGGGAAGGTGTGATGAACGAGCAGGTGAGGAGGCCACTGGTGTAGCCACGATCCTTGGCAGCACAGCAGGCATCTTTGTGCGAATGCATGGTGCAGTGGGAGGGGATGGGGTAAGGCAAGGAGTGGAAGAGAAAGGGCCGGGCCAAGGTGGAGGCTTGAAACCAGGCAAGGTGGGTGGGCGTGAGTGCTCGGCAGCAGATGACACCTGTCAGGATGACACCTGTCAGGATGGCACCTGTCAGGATGGCACCTGTCAGGATGGCACCTGTCAGGATGGCACCTGTCAGGATGGCACCTGTCAGGATGGCACCTGTCAGGATGGCACCTGTCAGGTTGACACCTGTCAGGATGGCACCTGTCAGGTTGACACCTGTCAGGATGGCACCTGTCAGAGTAAACCCTGTCAGGATGACCCGTGGGATTTGAGTGCTACAGATGCTGCTGTCAGTGCTGCCGCTGCTCCTTCTGTGGTTGTTTACAAGCGGAGGAAGACGGTTCAGGGATGGCTGGGAACGAACGTGGCTCGCAGCAAGGGAGAGTTGCACACACACAGGGGGACTCTTGTGGAGGAGAAGGAGATGGAGCTTGAGAGGGGTGGTGGTATGAGATTCGGGAGTGGGGTTGGTAAGAGTGCGGTTGGTGGCAAGGTGAGGAAGAGGGAGGGGCTTGCGCGGCAGTGCAAGGGAAAGAGAGGAGGAGAGCAGAGCAGTTTAGAAGAAGGTAGAAGAGGAGGAGGGAGAGAAGGTGTTTTAAAGGCCATCACACATGCAACAAGCAGCAATCCGCCTTCCACCCCCAATGCCACGCTGAAATCACCTGCTTTATTGAAATCACCTGATCTGCTGAAAACACCCGATCTGCTGAAAGCACCTGGTGCGCATCTCACCACACCCGTGGCCTCACGTGCCCTTGGCGCGCCAGCGGCGGGCACACCTGCCTTTTGTGTTAGTGCTGTTGCTGTTGTTGCCCCCCCTGCCACCCCTGCCGCGATGCCTGCAACCCCCGTGGTGGCTGGGGAGAATCTGAGAGGGCAGCGGGGGCAGCGGGGCCAACTGTCAGGCCAACTGCCAGGCCGACTGGCAAAGGCAGCTATTGAAGCGCTTCAAGACAGGCGAGGAGAAGGAGGGGCGGTAGATGGTGGGAGGAGCAGTGAGGAGGCGGAGGAGGTGGAAGAGGAGGAGGTGGAGGAGGTGGGAGAGGAGGGGGTGGGGGAGGAGATGGTAGGTGAGGGAGTGGTGGTGGTGGTGGGAAGTGAGGATGAGATAGAGGAGGTGGTGGGGGAGGGGGAGATGGGGTGCAGGGTAAGAGGTGGAGTGGCGGAGAAAAGTGCAAGAAAGGGAGAGGAGGTGGGGTTGGAGGAGGTGGAAGGGAGGAAGATTTCCGAGAGAAGTGATGAGATGTATGATGGTGATAGTGGTGATGATGTTGCTGGGGATGAAAGCGATGATGCAGGTGCTTATGGCGATGAAGGTGATGATGATGTGGTGGAGGTGGTGGGGGAGGAGATATGTGCGAGCATAGTTCGGCACGGACCAGCAGCAGCAGCAGCAGCCATGGGGAATCATGTCACGGCGACCTCGCCATCTGCACTCACCACTGCAGCAGGCCGTGCCAGTGTGTCCGGACATGGACATGGGTCAGCAGCAGGGCTTAGAGACAAGGCACATGCACGAGCACATGTGAGCTCCCACACAGGAGGAGTTACAGCGGCTTATGCGGCAGCGCATACAGGAGCACATGCAACGACACACACAGTCCTTGCTGCACCCCACGCCCCAGTAACTCCTGCGAGTGCTGGTAACCATGTTACCTCCTCAGGCTGGGTAGCCAGCACTCCACAAGGCCAGCTGTTGTGCTCCGAGCAGCACATAGGCGGAGTGAAGCGGCAGCGCTTCTTTGGCTCCTGGCACCGCCAGGGCCCTCTCTTTCAAGACTCTCACACTCACACAGAAGCAGAGGGCCTTGCAGTGCCAAGGATACCGGTAGTCCACCATGCCAGCTCTGGTGCGGCCGAGGTGAATGAGCAGGATAGGCCGTCCACTGGATCGCTCTATAGAGAGGATAAAGGGGGTTTGGTGGATGGGGAGGGGAGAGGGGGCAGGGGAGTGGAGGCTGTGGCAGAGGCAGCATATGGGGGGGTGTTGGTTGCGTTGTGGGTGCAGGGAGGTGGAGAGGGGATTACGTGGGATAAGGAGGTTCTGCTTACAGACCTGCGCAGGGCATTAAGTATTTCGAATGACCAGCACTCCCGGCTGCTTGCTGCTCTGCTGTCACGAAGTGAGGTGCGAGACGCTTGCTGGTGACGTGTTTGAGGCGTCTCCGATGAAATTTTTGCTTTCCCATAATGGTACTTGTGTGTGCATGTGCTGCTCTGCTATCAGAAGTGGGGCTGTGTGTGTGTGAAGTTGCAGCTAATGATGCAGGCACCGAGTTCAGGCTCAGGAAGCAGCCAACTTTTGTAATCAGGGGCTCGTACATAAATTGTCATAAAGAAAAAAAAACTAAAAGCATGATAATTGTAGGTTATATATCTTATTTTAGTCAAGCTGTTGTTGAGGTCGGTGTGGGAGGTTTATGGAAAATAATGTTTTGAGCCTTTTTCTTTCCACGTGTCTAGATTGGATTGTCGCTCGATCCTTGGCCCTCGAGTACTTTTCCTCGCCCACGAACCGTTGGGCCTTACGCAAACCGCCACGTGGGGCCGCCTCCCTGTCAATTGGTCAAATTCCACTACCGCCACCTCGCTGACGCGTCACTAACAAACTCTATCTGTGCGATCCACCAAGAAATCTTTACGGGCGAGTGTGTCAGAACAAAAAAGACCCGCGAAACGAACCTCGGTAACTCCGCACAGTGCACCCCTCCGCCTGCAAGATCCTCCTCTATTTTCTTCCCCCAGGCTGCCCTCCGCGACCCCCCCGCCCCCACCGCAGGGCTCTCTAGGGAGCCTCGTTTGCTGAGGCCTGCTTCGAAGTGCTCGAGAGAAGTCCCTTGTCGCGGAAGTCGTGTTTCCACCACCCCCGTTTAGGAGGATACAGCGAACGAAGTCATGCGAGACAGTCGACCCACAATTGTTTCGCGCATACCAAATGCTAGCCCGAGAAGTTTCGCGAAATCAAGTCACACAACCTCGAAAGGAATCGCGAAGCCATCGTGAACGTCACAGATTGATTCAAGTGAATCTCCAGGACCTACACCGGCTCGACTCACTCCCCTAGATATCACCCCCTTCCCTCCCATAACTTTTCTTTTTCCCAGATTCACAACTTGTCATTTATTGCTGATCTGCCTGATAGTCTCGTTTGGTATTGTCCAGGGTGTGGAGGCCACTCATCCCTTGGTACGTAGCAAATTCGTCTTGATCCGACGGATTTAGTATGTGATTGTTTAGCGATCGTCTGACACAACCGATCCTCGTCCGTTTACTAGCGTTACTTCATCCGATCTTACTCCGTTGATTCAGCGTTTTCACGTACAATACTTATTCTAGCTAATGCACTTTTTTTTCTTCAGGAAGGGTCCTCGTCCGCATTCTCTTATTGCCGTGGAGCCTTCACGCACATGACGATAGGATGAGCATCTGATGCAGCTGCTTCAATCCTTTCCTCGGGCCCTCTCTGCGGGCGATCAGTCATGGTCCGTTTCTTTCTTCATTCGTCGTCTGTGTCTTCACTACGAGCTTGCTCCTTCGTGTTTGTCAATATCTTTCGGGTCAGGGTTCACTAGTATTTTACAGAGAAGCTGCTGCGATGAATAAACTTGCAGAGAGGGTCTGCTCGATGCGTCAGTCGCTTAAGTTGTTGTGTTCCTTCGTGTGTCCATAAGAGTTATTTTCATCGATCAGACTTATTCCTGTCCGTTTAGATCTATGTATTGCTGCTGAAAGAGGCAGCAACGTGAAGCAGAAGCCTTTTTATTGCAGATGTCGTGTTCTTTTTTTCGCATTAGTCCGGGTCTATGCTCGATTGAGCTGGGTGTGTCCCTCATTGCGTCATTGTTCGTATTAGATTGTGTGTGACTTTGCATCACCTCCAGAAACGTCCATTTGTTTTTTCCAATCGTGTGTCTAGTCCGTGTCAGCTTCATGTGTCAACCCTATCGTCTCGTCATTGGAGCAGTCAGAATAGTTGCGTGTCAGCTCCTTTTTGCTCGGTTTCGGACATTCCATCCGCTCCTTGATATGCAGTCCTCTGATAAATTGTTCACATGACTAATTGTCGTCGCCACCACTCGTCCGCATAATCGTTTATCAGAATGAGCAGCTATGCTCAACTTCTCCGAATGCTTCGTTGATTGCGTTTCTGTTTCTCCCGAATACCCCAACAGGCGTGCATGAGTGGCGTAGCACCGCTGGCAGCAGCATCAGCACCAGCGTCAGTCTCAGTATCAGTATCAACATCAGCATCAGCAAACTCGACATCCTCCCTCTGCGTCCGCCCGAAACCTTCTTCGCACACGCTCACCACCACCGCATTCCGCTCCCTCTCCGCCACCTCCGCCACCGCTACCACAGCAGCAACGGCAGCCAAATCCAGTCGTCTGCTGTACACTCTCCGCCCATCCTCGCCCCCTAGGCAGCGCTCCCCTCCCCGCCTTCCCACGGCTGCTGCTGCTGCTCTGTACAGCGCAGGGCATGCCCTGGACGGCTCCCCTCGTCTCCGATCCGCAGCTGCTGCCTCTGCTGCCGGCCGCAGCCTGTTCCTGGGACAGAGGTGAGACTCGGGTCGTGGTTGCGTACAGAGGCTGCAATTTTCACTTCATGCTTTCAGGAAACCCGCTTTGCGCAGTTGACGGTTTGAATGGTCATTTCCCGCGCTGTACGTGCTCCTTGCAGCTTCGTGCGGTGTGAATTCGCTACTGTGTTTTAGCATACGTGAAAAGTGGTGACGGGGAGTGTGCGTACTGGCTGTTGATGCCAAGTCTGTTCCTTCCTTCCTTCCTTCCTTCCTTTCGTTTTCTGTGCATGGGACACATCCTTCTTTCCGCGATATGGATGTGCGTGGATCACACATCGACAGGAGCTTGATCCTGGGTCAGCCTGGGAAAAGGTCTCCACCCACGTTAGATTTCAGAAGGCTTCGAATCGCAAACGAGGTAACGTCTCCGTCGTCAAATTGCTCTAGCTGAATCTATCCCGTCTTGGGACGACTTTAGGGTCGCGTAAAAAATAAGTCATATCCATTCATTGCTCTTGCGGAACCTGATGACACCATGGTAATCCACCATGCGCCCAATCAAGGGCGTCGCGTTAGGGTCGTCGCCTCCCTTTTTCCCCCCTCAGATGGACGAATTCGCTCCGGTGACCCGCGTCGCTGCCTCTTCCACCCTCTCCTCCACTCCCTTCCCCTCCGCTCGCCTCCCCTCCCAACAGGCGGGACCAGCAGAGAGCGCTACATCGGACGCCAATGGCACTGCGCTGAGCCCCGCTGCGTCCTCCGAGGACACCATTCAGGCGCTTAAGGCGTCCCTCGCCGCCGCAGAGGAAGCGGCAGCCAGCGCGCTGCAAGCCAAAGAGCTTGCTCTAGAAGCAGTAACGGTGGCGGAAGCAAAGGTCGAATCCATGTCCGCTCAGATGGTCCTGACGACCGAAGAGGCGGTTAACGAAGTAGAGGCGGCTAAGGAGAAGTTTAAAGAGGAGGTGGCGAGGCTGCAGCGGGAGAAGGAGGAGGTGGAGCAGCAGCTGGCGCAGGCGAAGCAGGAGGGGATTGATCTCGCGATGAAGGTGGAGCAGATGGCGGCGCTGGCAGTGCAGGAGCAGACCCAGGCCGTGGCGGAAGACGCGCGGCTCAAGATCGCCGCGGCCAAGGCGGAGGCGGCGGATCTGGCGGCGCAGATGGAGGAGAGGATCAGGCTTGCTGCGGATGAGGCCGCTGCTGCTGGTAGGCCTTGGCGTGGTTGCTGTCTGTATGTGAATAGGCTTGAGACGCTGCAGCTGTTTCCATTTCGCTGCTCACTCGTGTCAACTAACCTTTCCCTACGTGCCACTGTGCTTTCTCCCTCGGCTTCCCCGCTCCCGTTCTCTCCCTCTTTCCTCCACTCTGCCTCGTACCAGTGATCGAGGAGGCGAAGGCGACGATAGAGGACGCAATAGCAGCGGCGGACATTGCCAAAGAGCAGGCGCGGTCGGCGGAGGCGGCGCTGCAGGAGCGGCTGGACGTTTTGGACCGCCTGGGGCACGCGGAGGTGGCGCTCATGCGCTCCGAGGAGCAGCGCACGGCGCTGCAGCTGAAGCTGGAGCAGGCGGAAAGCGAGAAGGAGACCCTGCGGATGGAGATCAAGGTGGGCGAGAAGAAAGCGTCGAGGTTTTGGGGTTTGGGGAGGGCAAGGGGGCGTTCTGGGTTTCAAAATGAGACATTATGCGTCGTTGAGGCAGCAGATTGCGCTCCTTGTTTGTTGACGACCTTCTCTCTCACCCTGTTTTCAGGCGACGCTCCCCATCCCGTTCCCATCATTTCCCTCGTTTCGCTCCCCGCCCATGTTCAGGCGGCCATAGCACGTGCAGAAGCAGCAGAGTCGCGCATAGTGTCGACCCAAGCAGCAGTGGCGGAGATCCAGGCGCTGGCGGAGAGGACGGCCAAGGAGAGAGAGGAGGGCACTGAGAGGGCGCTGGATGCCATGCGGGTGAGTTGTCATGGGGAGGTGGGTTGACATGGGGGCGAGTGAACGTGTGGACGGGTGTGACGTGGGTCAGTTGACCAGTGGGTGCGACACGAGTGGGGTGTGCAGGTGGGTGTGTGGCATGTCAGTGAGTTTGGGGAGTGCGAGTTTGCTCGATTGTGTTAGGCTTGTCTGCCCCACCCTGTGCAACACTTTCGCCCTTTTTGCCTTTTCCCTCCTCCCCCTGACGGCCTCCGCATTCTCAGCTGGCATCGGAGGGCAGGGAGAAGGCGGCAGCACTGGCGTACAAGGCGGAGACGGAGAGTCTGAGGGCGGCAGCCATGGCGGCTCAGAAGGCGGACAAGGTCAAGGACCAGGCCGTGGCCCGCCGCTTCGCCGCGCTCCAAAGGAGCCTTGCGGCTGCGGAGGAGAGCACGAGGAAGTGGAGGGAGCGGTGCTTGGCAGTGGAGGAGCTGTTCGCTCTGGTGAGTCTTGCCTTGTATGTGCTGGTTTTCCTTGGTGAGCTGCTCGCCCCAGCATGCTTTCGGCACAACGTGCTCTTTGCCACGCTTCAAGAGGAGATAGTGAGCAATGGAGGAGAGCACGAGGAAGTGGAGGGAACGGTGCCCGGCGGTGGAGGAGCTGTTCGCACTGGTGACTAGCGTTCTTGGCTGCTTGTGCTGTTGTTATGACAGTACAGTTTGCCGCACTGCAGATGAACCTGTAAAAACATAAGAGGAGAGCTCATGTAAGTGGAGGTAACAGTGCTTGGCAGTGGAGGAGCTTCTTTCTTTGGTGAGTTAGGTTCTTAGCTCAAGTGCTGCCGTTTCGGCGGTTTGTCGCACTGCTGTACCAGGTGCGTTCTGACAGGCGGCTTTTGAGGCGCCTCAAAAGTTCTGACAGGGGGGCCCAGGAGGGAGAAGCCCGAGTGTCTCTCAACTGAACGCGATCCACTCTTCTTCCCAGTACCCCCTCCCGCTCACGCCCTGTCAGGCCAAGTCGCGTGGGCTGGACGCTGTAAAAGAAGCCTCCTCCTCGCCTGCCCCTGCGCCTGCTGTTCCTGCTGTTCCCGCTGCGCCTGTGGAGGCGGAGGTCGGGGAGGCGGTGGGGCGCGGGCGCATGGACGTGATGCCGGGAACGCAGTCGGAGAAGTGGCGCATTCTGGCTGACGGGCCCAGGAGGGAGAGGCGCAACTGGCTCTCAGCTTAACACTTCCTGATTTACCTCCCCGCACCCTCTTCCCCTCACGCCCTCAGGCCAAATCGCGTGGGCTGGATGCTGTGAAGGAATCCTCTGCGCCTGCTGCCGCCCCTTCTGTTCCTGCTGTTCCTGCTGCGCCTGTGGAGGCGGAGGTGGGGGAAGCTGTGGGGCGTGGGCGCATGGACGTGATGCTGGGGACGCAGTCGGAGAAGTGGCGCATTCTGGCCGACGGGCCCAGGCGGGAGCGCCCCGAGTGGCTGCAGCGCAAGACGCTCACCACCACGCCGCTGCCGTCGCTGCCCGTGTCTGTGGAGCTGGAGAATGTGCAGGCGGCCGTGCCGCTGCAGCTGCCCACGCCTGATGATGTGTGGTCGATTGCTCTGCACAAGGTGAGTGAGATGCGTTGACAGCCTGTGTTCAAGGCAGCACAGAAGGCTGTATGTGGCTGTGCCACTGCAGCTGCCCACGCCTGATGATGTGTGGTCCATCGCCCTGCACAAGGTGAGATGGGATGGAGGCAAGTGGAAGGCACAACTGCCAACGCTAGTGGGTTATGTGTGTTTTTTTGTCCTGTAACACATCCAACCCAACTAAACACCTGTCAACCACATTCGTCACAGGTGGCGGATGACAAGTTCACCAAGGAGGCGGAGGCGCGCAAGGCGGAGGCGAAGGTGATCGAGGAGAAGCGCAAGGAGCTGTCCCACATCTCTTTCCCCTCTGTTTCCACATCTCTTCCCTCTGTTCCCCACCTCGTCTCCCTGCTCAACCGCCCTGAATCCCTTACACCATGACTGGCAGGTGGCGGACGACAAGTTCACCAAGGAGGCGGAGGCGCGCGAGGCGGAGGCAAAGGAGATCGAGGAGAAGCGCAAGGAGCTGTTTCCTAATTCTCTTCCCTGTCCCCCCTTTGCCTTGCCGCCTCGCTCCCCCTTTGCTCAACCCCAGGTGGCGGATGACAAGTTCACCAAGGAGGCGGAGGCGCGCGAGGCGGAGGCAAAGGAAATTGAGGAGAAGCGCAAGGAGCTGGAGCGCGCCCTGCAGCGCAAGGCGCCCAAACGCATCCGCTCGCCCGAAGAGCTGGAGGAGAGCAAAGGTGAAGCGGGAGCAAAGTTGAGGGGCGAGGGGGGAGAGGGGGGCGCGCAGGGTGAGGGCAGGTGGTATGGGGAGGAGGGGACAGCCAGGGCACGGATGGCGGGGCAGGGGAGAGCCTTAGGGCAGAGGTAGGAGGGAAGAGGTACGAGGGTGGAAGATGGGGAGGAGGTGGAATTTTATTGGTCCTCAATGGGGCACGAGCTGGTGTTGTGGAAAGGATGGGTATTAGTGGTTGTTAGACAAGGATGGCCAGTTTCGATTTCCTCCTTCCGTCCCTCCCTCACTCCTCGATCCCTCCCTCCTTCATTATTGGTCCTCCCAATTCCGTCCCTCTCTCCTTCCCTTATTCCTCCACCCTCCCTCCCTCTCTCCCTGCCTCCCTTCCTCTCTCCCTCCCTCCCTCCCTCCCTCCCTCCCTCCCTCCCTCCCTCCCTCCCTCCCTCCCTCCCTCCCTCCCTCCCTCCCTCCCTCCCTCCCTCCCTCCCCTCCTTCCCCCCTCCTTCCCCCCTCCTTCCCTTCTCCTTCGTACCTTTTGTTTTCCTCCGTTCCCATATCTCTCATCCCACTTCTGTCAATGTCTGTAGCTTTAGCTCGCTTGTATCAGACTCGTTACTGCGCCACTACAACTCCTCTAGTCACTATCACCCACAGTCACGACCACTCACACTCAAACTCTTGTTTCTTTCCAGTTTTTACAAGCAACTCGCCTGTTCTTGCTCACCCACATCATACCTATCATCCACAGCTTTCCCTTCTTGTCCCATCTGAGCCCCGACGCCTTTCTGTTCTGATGTGCCCAACTTGTTTTCTCGCCCACCCATTATGCAGAGTCCGGCACGGGAAGTGGTCGCGAGGTGGTGGTAAGTCATCTCTCCTCGTTTCCTGCTCTAATGGGGGGGTATGGGTCTGGGGAGCTGAGGGGAAATCGGGAAAGGGGACGAGGGGATGAGTGCAAAGGAGTGGAGTGGAACAGCAGTGTTCTGCTATCTTTGATCCTTTTGACTGAGCAGCAACGTCGTGCTCAGCAATCTTTGAATGAGGGTACATTGGGAGGCCAAACATAGAAATAGGAGGTTGGTCCACTCATCCCTATGCTGCAGATCAATGCGTTCAATTAGGAGAGCATCAAGCACGACTGATACATGGAGCTTGCCCGCCCTCACCCCTCCGCACTCCCTCATATCCCTCGACGCCCCTTTTCACTGCTCCTCACCCCTCCACGCGGCCCTGCAGATCCAGGCGTTCAACTGGGAGAGCAACAAGCGCGACTGGTACCTGGAGCTCGCCCCCAGAGCTGCTGACCTGGCAGCCTGCGGCATCACGGCTGTGTGGCTGCCACCCCCCACGGAGTCAGTGTCGCCACAAGGTGTGTGACGGTAGTGAGGGGTGCTCAGTGGTGGGTGGTGCACTGCAAGGGGTGGGTGGAGGTGTTTGGTGGAAGTCTCCCCCTAGCCTGTTGACGTGGCTGCCCCCCAGAGCTGCTGACCTGGTTACCTGGTTACCTGTGGCATCACCTTACCCCTTCCCATCCCACACCCCCCCCCCTCTACCAACCCGGCCCCCCCTGTGCGGTGCTGCAGGGTACATGCCGGTGGACCTGTACAACCTCAACTCGTGCTACGGCACCAAGGAGCAGCTGCAGTACTGCATCGACGAGCTGCACAACCACGACCTCCTTGTACGTGAATGTGCTCTCCCTGCCTTCCCACTAGTGCCTTCCCACTAGTGCCTTCCCACGAGTGCCTTCCCACTAGTGCCTTCCCACTAGTGCCTTCCCACGAGTGCCTTCCCACTAGTGCCTTCCCACGAGTGCCTTCCCACGAGTGCCTTCCCACTAGTGCCTTCCCACGAGTGCCTTCCCTCTAGTGCCTTCCCACGAGTGCCTTCCCACTAGTGCCTTCCCACTAGTGCCTTCCCACTAGTGCCTTCCCACTAGTGCCTTCCCACTAGTGCCTTCCCACTAGTGCCTTCCCACGAGTGCCTTCCCACGAGTGCCTTCCCACTAGTGCCTTCCCACGAGTGCCTTCCCACTAGTGCCTTCCCACTAGTGCCTTCCCACGAGTGCCTTCCCTCTAGTGCCTTCCCACGAGTGCCTTCCCACTAGTGCCTTCCCACTAGTGCCTTCCCACGAGTGCCTTCCCACGAGTGCCTTCCCACTAGTGCCTTCCCACGAGTGCCTTCCCACGAGTGCCTTCCCACTAGTGCCTTCCCACTAGTGCCTTCCCACGAGTGCCTTCCCACTAGTGCCTTCCCACTAGTGCCTTCCCACTAGTGCCTTCCCACTAGTGCCTTCCCACTAGTGCCTTCCCACTAGTGCCTTCCCACGAGTGCCTTCCCACGAGTGCCTTCCCACGAGTGCCTTCCCACTAGTGCCTTCCCACTAGTGCCTTCCCACTAGTGCCTTCCCACGAGTGCCTTCCCACGAGTGCCTTCCCACTAGTGCCTTCCCACGAGTGCCTTCCCACTAGTGCCTTCCCACTAGTGCCTTCCCACGAGTGCCTTCCCACTAGTGCCTTCCCACTAGTGCCTTCCCACTAGTGCCTTCCCACTAGTGCCTTCCCACTAGTGCCTTCCCACTAGTGCCTTCCCACTAGTGCCTTCCCACTAGTGCCTTCCCACTAGTGCCTTCCCACTAGTGCCTTCCCACGAGTGCCTTCCCACGAGTGCCTTCCCACTAGTGCCTTCCCACGAGTGCCTTCCCACTAGTGCCTTCCCACTAGTGCCTTCCCACGAGTGCCTTCCCTCTAGTGCCTTCCCACGAGTGCCTTCCCACTAGTGCCTTCCCACTAGTGCCTTCCCACGAGTGCCTTCCCACGAGTGCCTTCCCACTAGTGCCTTCCCACGAGTGCCTTCCCACGAGTGCCTTCCCACTAGTGCCTTCCCACTAGTGCCTTCCCACGAGTGCCTTCCCACTAGTGCCTTCCCACTAGTGCCTTCCCACTAGTGCCTTCCCACTAGTGCCTTCCCACTAGTGCCTTCCCACTAGTGCCTTCCCACGAGTGCCTTCCCACGAGTGCCTTCCCACGAGTGCCTTCCCACTAGTGCCTTCCCACTAGTGCCTTCCCACTAGTGCCTTCCCACGAGTGCCTTCCCACGAGTGCCTTCCCACTAGTGCCTTCCCACGAGTGCCTTCCCACTAGTGCCTTCCCACTAGTGCCTTCCCACGAGTGCCTTCCCACTAGTGCCTTCCCACTAGTGCCTTCCCACTAGTGCCTTCCCACTAGTGCCTTCCCACTAGTGCCTTCCCACTAGTGCCTTCCCACTAGTGCCGTCTCTAGTCTTGCGCTGTCGTTACTCTCCCTACCGTTCAAGTACCCCTGCCTGCTACGGCACCAAGGAGCAGCTGCAGTACTGCATTGACGAGCTGCACAACCTTGACCTGCTTGTACGTGCCCTCCCTGCCCTCTCGTACGCTCTCTCTCCCCCCCCTCCTGCTTGACTCCCTTGCCTTGAATTTGCCTTGTTTTGTTAGGCGCCTCTGAAACACTTCCTCCTTTGCCTTACCCTTGAAGTGCTTTTTTGCCTGGATTCGGCACGTCCCACTCCACCAATATCCTGTCGCATTGGCCCCATGCCACGCACACCACGTGCTGGGAGACGTGGTGCTGAACCACTTGCTGCGCATCCAAGCAGAGGCACTCCTACGCTTCCATCTTTCCCCTCCCCCACCTCTTCCCTTCCCACGTGTCTCTCTCTGATTCTCACCACACACGCCACATGCTGGGAGACGTTGTTGTGCTCAACCATCGCTGTGCGTCCAAGCAGAACCCCTTTCCCACTTACCACTCTCTCCCTTCCCCCGCACCCCACCCCCCACCCTTTGCTGCTCATACACCAGGTGCTGGGAGACGTGGTTCTCAACCACCGCTGTGCATTCAAGCAGAGCCCCTGCCTTTCCTCCCATTCCTTATCCCTTCCCTCTCATTCCGCTATCCCCTGTTCGCTTCCTTACTCGTTTTGCTCCCCCATGACACACACAAACTCCAGGTGCTGGGAGATGTGGTGCTGAACCACCGCTGTGCGTCCAAGCAGAGCCCCGAGGGCATTTGGAACATCTTTGGCGGCAAGCTGGCGTGGGGCCCGGATGCCATTGTCAGGGACGACCCCAACTTCCATGGCCGCGGCAACCCCAGCAGTGGTGAGCAGAGAGTGCAGCAAGGGCTGGTTCAATGGTGGGAATGAGCAGGAATGCGTGCAGTGGTGGGAATGAGCAGGAATGCGTGCAGTGGTGGGAATGAGGGATGTGAGGGCAGGCATGGCAAGCTGGTGTGGGGGACAGATGCCATTGTCAGGGACGACCCTAACTTCCATGGCCGGTGCAACCCCAGCAGTGGTGAGCACAGAGCAGGGCAAGAACTGGTTCGGAGAGCACGAGACTTGTTTTAGTGGTGGGGATGGGAACGAGAGGCGTGCATTGAGGGGCAAGCATGGCAAGCTGGCGTGGAGCCCGGATGCCATTGCGAGGGACGACCCCAACTTTTATGCCCTCGGCAACCCCAGCAGTTGTGAGCACTGGGTGCTATAAGGGCTGGGTTAATCACGAGCATGATTAAGATTAAGAGTGGGTCCTGTGGTGGGAATGAGGGGCGTGTGTTGAGGGGCAAGCATGGCAAGCTGGCGTGGGGGCCAGATGCCATTGTGAGGGACGACCCTAATTTCCACAGCCACGGCATCCCCGGCAGTGGTGAGCTCAGGGTGCAACAAGGGCTGGTTCGGTGAGCACGGGAGCTGGTTCAGTGGTGGGAATGAGTGAGAGTGACATTTCTTTCCAGGTGACAACGTCCATGCGCCACCCGACATTGATAAGACTTCATGTCGACTCAAATTTATTTCCTTCCTGCCCCTTCTTCCCCTCTCCCTTCCTCCCCCGCTCCCCTCCCTGAACCTCACCCTCCCTCGTGTTCAACCCCAGGCGACATATTCCATGCGGCGCCCAACATCGATCACTCGCAGGACTTTGTGCGGAAGGACATCTGCGAGTGGCTGCGCTGGCTGCGCGCCGACGTGGGCTACGATGGCTGGCGCCTGGACTTCGCCCGGTGAGAGCAAGAGGGTTTAGGGTTTGTGAGTCGGTGGGCTTTGTGAATGTGATGGGAAGTGGATACGTGGGGAGTACTGAACCGACACGTGTATCCCCACGTGTACCGACACTGGCTCCCAAGAAGGTGTAATCCGGATCCGAACGTGCATCATCCTGCGAGCATAGCGGCGCGAAGACATGAACTCATAATCTCCTCTCTTTGTGTGTTCCGATCCGAGCACGAATCAATTTCTCGGATCCCGTGTCATTCTCTTGCAGTGGGTTCTGGGGCGGGTACGTGAAGGAGTACATTGAGGCATCGAGCCCCGCGTTCTGCATTGGGGAGTACTGGGAATGTAGGGCAGTCAGCGTGAGGGACGCAAGAGGGACCTCGATGTTCATCCCATGAAATTTAAACCCGAATTCCTCTGACTGACCCCTTGTCACCCTGCTCGCAGTGGGTTCTGGGGCGGGTACGTGAAGGAGTACATTGAGGCATCGAGCCCCGCGTTCTGCATTGGCGAGTACTGGGACAGCCTCAGCTATGAGGGCGGCACCGTCTCCTACAACCAGAGTGAGTGCCCTGACTGCCAAGTCAACCCATAAGTCCTCAAGGCGCACTCACTAGCCTTATTAACTAGGTGTGTTCTGTGCACTGTCTGATGCTGTACGCCTGCCCCTCCCCTCCCATCCCTGCTTTGATCTCAGACGCGCACAGGCAGCGCATCATCAACTGGATCAACGCCACTGGAGGCACCTCCTCTGCTTTTGACGTCACCACCAAGGTGTGTTGATACCTGCTGTGTTTTTTTGCTTGCATGACAGCGTGAGTTTTTCGCAAGACCGTAGTAAGTGTGGGATGGTGCCCTCTCCTCCTCCCTCCCCTGCCCTGCCCACCTTCCTCCTTTCCTTCCCCGCCCCCCTGCTCCGGTCGTACCTCCCCCGCTTGCCATCCTGGTTGAACTCATAGAAGTCGCAAGTCAAAGTCGCAAGTCAAACCCTGATCCGTACATTAATGATCCATCCAGACAACTCTGCTTCTCCCAAGTAGACCCCCCTCTCCTGTCCCCTGGCGTACCTCTCCTCCCTCGCTCCTCTCCTCCTTGACAGGGCATCCTGCATGCAGCACTGCACAACGAGTATTGGCGGCTGATTGACCCACAGGGCAAGCCCCCGGGCGTCATGGGGTGGTGGCCGTCTCGAGCCGTCACCTTCCTTGAGAACCACGACACTGGCTCCACTCAGGTACCTGCGCCTCTTCCCTTGTGATAGGAAGGGTGTTTCCTCCATGGCAGAAGCATTTCCCTGGCACATGGTCTATGTTCTCTCATGCTCGTGCATGCTATCTTGTTGGAACCTGTTGTGATTCCCTGATGGCGACTCTGGGCGAAGGCCCTGACACATAATGTCGAAGAAATTCATATCTTTACCGAATCTGTATCAATGTTTGTTCCTGTTTTACTCGGGTGAAACTCACCTTTCACTTTTCCCCATTCTCCTCTCCCTACCTCGTGTTCTGCCTGCAGGGCCACTGGCCCTTCCCACGCGAGAAGCTCCTGCAGGGATACGCCTACATCCTCTCCCATCCCGGCACGGTAAGCCACCTATGAATAGCTTGAGACACTTCAAAAGTGCACCTCGTCCTCTCAAATGTCGCCACATTACGCCAAGCCACCTGTTGATGCAAGTGCAAGCTCGGGTGTGCACGGCACCTATTTCATCCGACATTAGTTTCATCAGACATAGAGATTCTAGCTGATTTGCTGACAGTGACTGTCCGATCCAAAGCCCAGCGCCACATTTGTCCCTGCATACACTCACATGTCATGGGGCACTTTCACCCATACCCACGTGTCTGGTTTCCCTGTTGCCTTTGCCCCCAATGCCCCTGCAGCCGGTTGTGTTTTACGATCACCTGTACGAGTTTGGCATCCATGATCAAATCGCCGAGCTGATTGCCGCCCGGAAGCATGCAGGTGTGCACTGCCGATCGCCAGTGAAGATTTTCCACGCAGTTGCGCAGGGGTATGTGGCGCAGGTCGGGGATAACCTGGTGGTCAAGCTCGGCCACTTTGACTGGAACCCATCCCGCCAGAACGATCTGATGGGGCGGTGGGAGAAGCTTGTCGACAAGGGGAATGATTACATTCTCTGGGAGAAAACGGGTTCGTGAGCAGATGAATCAGGGCTTGGGTTCCGGAGGACAAGATGTGAAAGTATTGTAGCCTGAAGATGCTTGACGAAGCAACAAGTTTCTGTTCTTCAGTATGAATTAACAATCCATTGGGTATGACTATTTGTGGTTGTTGGGAATGTCTAATGTTGTGTATGACTAATGGGTTGAACATGCCACAACCATGTCATAATAGTCTGTCCTCTTGAGTGCGGACTACCCTATCACGGGTACGAAAGATGCACTTGATTGGATATCGTGTGGGACCAGCCGAGTCTCTTTCACCAATCCGTGTTCTCCAGAGCCATTTCGTGATTGTAATTGGCCCATCATTTCCACGTGGGGGCTGATGCAAGGAGAAGCTGTGGCGAGACACATGGCCAAACATCGCTGCCTGTTCTCTTCCACAAGCCCACACCAACCGACCATGTGCTTTCATTTCTTCATTCCAGTGAAGTGGACACATCAAGGAGCACGACATTCATCGAGAAGTTAGCATGGCGTCTCCAGACATCACACTTCAGTTACCTCCCCTAATTCTAAAAGCTGGCTAGTGGGATTGGAGTTAATGCTTGCTGTCGACTGTAATTACTTGCCTGACTGATCGCGTCGCAGCAGATTTGGAGTTCCGACAACCAGCCTTGCTCATGGCGTAAGAATACACGATTGTCGAACTTAGTCGGACTTACCGTCTGTGTCTAAGGCAGGCTTCTTGTTTGCGAAACAGGTCACCTATTGAAAAGACAGAGAATGGTCGAGGTTCGTTACCAAACGAAAGCACCCCTTTGTTGCCAGCTAAGGCACAAGATATCCCAATTCACGCCTCGCTTGACCAGAATGGAGAATTTGAAGGGATTTCTCATGGACATCCCGGAAGCACCCTGGGATCTGCCATATTTAACCTCTCCAACACCATCATTGGTGCCGGGATCATGGGACTTCCAGCGACCATAAAGGTTCTCACTGGCCTGTGACGAAATTCACGATCAGATTATAGTTTGGCCAGGCAATTTCAACAATTTAGCTGGTTGGCTGACTTTGTCAAACCCGTGAATGGCAGGTCCTGGGAATTCCTCTTGGTCTGACAGTGCTGGCCATAATGGGAGCGGTGAATGAATACTCACTCCAGCGGCTTCTCAGAAGCACAACTGCAGCTAAAGCGTGGTCCTTTGGTGATCTAATGGCTGCTACGTATGGAAGAGTTGGAAGATTTTTGCTCCGAACGAGCATCTTTGTCAATAACACAGGCATCCTCGTCATCTACCTTGTCATCATAGGTCCGCAACTTTTTCAAGTCAGAATTTCTTGTTAGTTGCTTATTCTCTCGTCATTATCCTTACAAATATATTGTCTCTTCGCCTTTCACTATCCCTTGGTCAGGGGATGTACTGTCTGGTTCGGACGGCGCAGATGGAGAGCACTACTCAGGGTTACTCGAGGAGTGGGCTGGAGGTTCCACATGGTGGAACAGCCGTCTCACTGTGCTCCTTGCCTCAATTGTCACTGTTATCGGGCCTCTTGCCGCCCTTCCTGACATAGGTTTGTCCAGTTTGACTCATCTCAGAGACACTCAGGAATCAGTAGGATCGTTGTTCTTGTTCGTGCAACTCACTATGCACCCCCCCAAATTGACCTGCAGACTCCCTCTGGTTCACATCAGGACTGTCAGTCCTGCTAGCAGTTGCTTTTGTCATCATCACCATCCTCATTACTTTGTACAAGCTAGTTGAAGGGACCATTGATTGGTCTGGAGTGCACTGGTTTCCTCAGCTGAACACATCGCAGGACTACTGGCACCTCCTCTCTGTCATCCCCACCATGGCTACGGCCTTCACATGCCACTACAACAGTGAGGGTCCCTCTTCAATGTTTTTTTTTTTCGTTCTCAATCCAATTGGGTCTAACGTTTGTTGATCTCTCCTCTGCTCAGTGCATCCTATTCTGGTGGAGCTAAAGCCACCTCGAGAAGAGAAGATGCAGAATGCGATACAGAAAACATTTTTTGTTTGCACGAGTGTATACACTGTGACAGCTCTTTTTGGTTACCTCCTTTTCGGTGAAGCGACCTATGCTGACGTCCTTGCAAACTTCGACTCTGACCTTGGGATTCCTGGAAGCCGCTACTTGAATGACATTGTCCGGCTATTTTATGCGCTTCACCTGATGCTGGTTTTCCCTGTGATTCACTTCTCGCTCCGGTCCACAGTTGGATTCGTGCTGTTTCCACATTCAGTACCTCTCAAGCATGATCTTTGTGGATATATCTTCACCACGGTTTTGCTGTTAGGGACCATTCTGGCAGCTTCTCTTTATGTCCCTGGGATTCAGTCAGCATTTGAGCTAGCAGGCTCAACAGGAGCAGCCACCATTGCTTTCTGTCTCCCTGGGATGGTGGCACTAAGGTATGTCTTGGTGATGACTTCCACATTCCACACTGCTGCCATTCTGATTCTCTTTTGGCTGATGCAACATCTTCTGTTGTTGGTGCAGTGAGAGAGCCGGGGGCTTGACAGCTCCAGCCACCCAAAGAGCTGCCGCATGGTTTTTGCTGCTCTTAGGACTCGGAGTGTGTTTTTCGGGCCTCGCCGACAGCATTCATACGTTCTTACAATAGCGTCTTACATTCTCCGAACACAGATCAATATTATCTCATGCCTGACTCTTTTGTCAGTTGCAATACAGTGACTCCACATTTTGATGACTCTGAAAGCACATCCACACAAAATCTCCTTTCCAATCCATCTGCTATGGGTAAAGATGAAGAGGGGGAACTTGAGTGCCGGCTGATCTGCTGATGACCAATTGCAGTGAGCAGAACAGCTGATGGCTTGGCACTGGCTAGCAACCAGGCACCATATGGCTTCAACGATCTGTGCACTGACCTGGCGCACATGAGTCAAGGATATAACCAGCAGACATAAGAGATGGTTAATGGACTATGGTGCAGTGGAATGAAGAAAATTGAATGTGTAGGCAGGAATGCCCGTCTATCCAGGTAGCTTACCTGGCAAGGGATGTCACGCCATCACTTCTCTCAGCTTCTGTCCAAAGCACAAGTTGAAGTGGCATGACCATTTGTTTCTCTGAAGGTGCCGCCTCCATGAGCTCACACAAAAGTGGTTGTAACTTGCACTCCTGGAACAAGAATGGCCAGCAGAACGGCTATGTAAGCATTGTACTTGACTTCCTGTTTGTCTGTTGTGCAGAGAACGGATGTACCAGAGTAGGTATCTGCTCTACATAGCAAAGGTACACTTTTACTCCCCGACTACCTACCTTAGAAGGTGGCTGGCACAGCAGAGCATCCAAGGTATACTTGCATGCTTGCTCTTGCTAGGTTGTGATCACTGTACTGCTTGTGTTTTTATAACTCTGCATGTGAATTGGCCTTGTGGCCGCTTGCTTGTGCTCAGACTGCGTGGTGATCTTGAGATCCACCCTGAGCTTTGCTTTGCTTTGTTTTCTTGCTTGACTGGTCTTGTGACCGTTGGTTGTTCTTGCTATCCCCCACTTTGCCTATGGCGGTGTGTCAAACTGTGTTTGTATGTCTGTAGGCTGTAGTGGGGGTAGCCTCTACTGAGTAGAACACTTTAGGGTTAGAAACTACCGTACTTGTACTCATCCATCCTTTCTAGTCACTCATTCCTGCACACTATTCTGACACGACCGGGGCAGCAGGGTCGACGGGGCGAGCTGCATGTGGGCAAGCGGTGGGCCCATGGCGAGAGAAAGGAAAATAGGTCCTAAGGACGGACCTGCACAGGATACCATGTTAATTACTTATTTCTTACCCCTATATCCACCACCCCTGTCAGCAACAAAAAGAAAACATGAAGCTCAGTCAGCAAACCGTCATACAGACATTCAGAACGGAGAGCACTGAATCGGCAGAAAAACCTCGTTCATAAGCATCATTCCATACCCCGGAATGGCAGGCATCGTGCATCAGCAACCATGCGGTCAACTGGATGGGCGGCGAACTCAGGATGGGAGGCATGGAGTCGAGACATGGAGGCCATCACGCCAGCGTCCACGTCCGTGCTGATCACATGTAGGCCCCTCTCTGCCATGCGCATGCTCCACTCTGAATTGCCGCTGCCTATCTCCACTACCACCAGCGGTGCCACTGCTGTTGCTGCCCTTGCCTCCGTCTCAACCTCTGCAGATCTGGATGCTGCCTCTGCTGCTGATGATGCTGCTGACACTGCTGGTACCGAAGATGACGCATCTATAAATAGGGGGTTTCCCTTTTGGCAAGTGTTGTCCAGCTCCTGTAATTCCCTCCCTTTCCTGACTTCTTTTGAACAGAGAGGCACGATGTGCGACTGCCAGAAGGACTCGAAGTCAACATCGTACCTGAGTATTTTGAAAAAGGGTTTGACAGGTTGATGGTTTTTGATGGGATGCGGATGTGAGACTGGACTTCAGGAAACCGCATGTGCGTCATGTCAGGCAAGACTAAAGTACTTCAGAATGTGTTGTACAGATAACAAATGTGTCGTACACACATTCGTCGGGTTATGACGTCCGAGTCAGTGTCAAAAAGCCCTTCAAGAAACCCCCCCGTGTCGTCAAGTGCAGGATTTTCTCCCACGTCTGCCATTGTGAGCTACCGCGACCAATCTCAGACTAAGCATGGCGAGGATGACGGGCATAATGTAGCTTGGGGGTGTTGAGGGCGAACGAGAATTGGACTCGATATGGAAAACGCAACGAGCAATTCAAGCTGTTGCACCTTGATGTTGTTCACTTTGGTTACATATAACCGCTTTATTTTCAGTTCGAGTCTTCACTTTGCTTTCCCGAGGTTGGCTTGCAACGTGGCAGGTTTGTGTGGCCCCAGTTCCTCCATTCCACATCCGTCGTTCCCTCTCCCTATTCGCACGCGAAAGTCCACGCTTCTTGGAACCCTTCGCCAACCGTCTCAATTGTCACAGCGACTGTCGTAAAACCTCGAGCTCTCCAGTAACCACTACCCACCATCTACGTCCAGTTTCCAGCTACTCCTCGGCAAACGAAGTGTCTCACAGGTCGCAAATCTTCGTCGAGATGAACCCTCAGCAGCAAGCCAGTAGGTGTTCGTCGCACCTATCTTTCCTTCTCCCCCACCCTTCCCACCCCAACACTGTTCATCTCTTTGGTCTTTTGTATCTCCTCCTACCACTCCCGTTTCCTCTTTTCACTGCTGCCGTTGCGGATGACTGGAGCTTGGCCATGTCTGATCCATGGTCACTTCACAGATGAATGATTACACTAAACTTCACTTATCTTAGTGGCTGAAGGAAGTTACGTTATAAGGCGGCTGCGGATCTCATTCCTTATTTGGATGTTTGGGTTTCTTCGCTTCCAGTTCTGTAGGGTAGCACATGCGTTACGGGTGCTGGTGTGGTTGCAGAGGTGGTTCGAAAGCCCGTTTGTCATACGAGGGATAAGTAGGTCTTATAGATAACACGTCGCCGCTCTCCGCCTCATCTCGAAGCTACCGAATACGGAGCTTATGCAAGTTCTTCCCTAATTAGCCGACTTCTTTTTTATTCCTGAACTCGGCGATTTTGTGCGACATTCGCGAAGTCGATTGACACCATGGTTGACGACAGTCAAGTTCCCTCGTACGTAGCGGGAACGATGTCAAACGGAATCTCATCCGCAGAAGGATCTCCAAGCTCAGATCGCGGAGGTTCGTCGGATTCCGTCGTCAGATGGCCAATAGCAGAAGCCCGCGTGGCTGATCTGATCTCCCAGATTCAACCCACAACAAGAGCAGAGGAAAGACGGCTGGCCGTTTCCGAATACGTCACGAGGCTTATCTCACGTTGCTTCGAGTGCCAGGTAGCTCTTCAGTCATTGTGATATTCTTTACTGTCACCAAACGCTGCAGATCAGTGTTAGGGTTATCTAATTCGGCCTTTCTTCCTCCGCGTAGGTGTTTATGTTCGGGTCAGTGCCTCTGAAGACTTATCTTCCTGACGGCGATATTGACTTAACCGCATTTTCCCGGGGTCCAACCGTGAAGGACGCGTGGGTCCACGACGTTCAAGCGATCCTGGAACGCGAAGAGCGGAACGCAGATGCTCTTTTCCAAGTGAAAGAAGTTCAATACATCCACGCGGAGGTACTTATTCCCACGACCTCTAGATGATATTACTGTTTACCAGCACACTGTTGAAAGGTTTTAGATACGATGAATTCCTTTCGTGTCTACGAAATATGTATGATTCAATTTGGGTGATTTTTTCCCCTCGTGCTATTTCGCAGGTCAAGCTGATCAAGTGTCTCGTGCAGAACATTGTGGTTGATATCTCCTTCAACCAGCTAGGGGGCCTATGCACGCTCGGGTTTCTAGAAGAGGTGTATACCTAAGCCGTTCCCCTCGCACGCACATGCGATTTTCACAACGATTCTTTGTTGACAGAATGGGCCGGTACTTAGCAGCATTCCTCGTTGCGTGATGTCGGTTCAGGTGGACGCTCTGATTGGCCGGAACCACATTTTCAAGCGGAGCATTATCCTGGTGAAGGCCTGGTGTTACTACGAGAGTCGAATTTTAGGGGCCCACCACGGGCTCATCTCCACATACGGCCTGGAGACCCTCGTTCTGTACATTTTCCACGTGTTCCATAAGGAGCTGCACAGTCCGTTGCACGTAAGTCTTTTGAGTTTGAAGTGTTTTCCTGCTCTTTTTCCGTCACTTCCTTTCGTGTTCATTTGACCCTTTCCTGCAAATGGTAGTTTTTCTTTGTTCAGTGACATTTGAAAACATTTGTGTTTGATATTGTTGCAGGTGCTTGTCAAGTTTCTGGAGGTATTCAGCAAGTTTGACTGGGAGCAGTTTTGCCTCAGCCTCAAAGGCCCCGTTCCTCTCTCGTCTCTACCCACCATGCTCGGTACGTCCCTGTGCACTGCCCCGTCCTCCTCATCCCGCTCCGTTCTCTAAACAAGAAATCCTGCATACTTGTCATGGAAACCCTAATTCACTGAAATCTACACACGTGCTGAAATTTCTCCAGTGGAGCCTTACACTGATTTCAATATTTCGATTCTTGTGTGCAGCTGAGAGGCCTGGTGGAGTAGAGGACCTGCTCCTCACAGACGAGTTTCTGGCAGAATGCTATGCCAAGTACTCACTGGCTCCCATGGTCCAGAAGCGGCCGTTCATGGTCAAGTTCCTGAACATCATTGACCCTCTCCTGGACAATAATAACCTCGGCCGCAGCGTCAGCAAAGGTATGCCTTGCTCATGCATACTTCTCCAGTTCGCCTCCCTTACGTTTGAGTTTGTCGCACACGCTACTCGCGTCCTTTTTCTATGCTTCTCTAGGATCAGTTTGCGTGCACAATGCTTGCAACACAATGCCGTGCGGGCATTCACAACCTCCTCAATCCGTCCATGTCTCCTCCTCGCGGCCCCCCTCGCCTCGTCCCTCCAGCCAACTTCTTCCGCATCAGGAGCGCACTGGCGTACGGCTCGCGCAAGCTGAACGCGGCGCTGAACGGCCCGGAGGAGCTGGTGGCTCTGGAGGTGGACCGGTTCTTCCGCAACACGTGGGTCCGCAACGCCTCTGGTTCCCGCCCAGACGGCTCCAACCACGAGTTCGTCCTCCAGCACATGCCCCGCCGCTTGCCGCTCTTCGCCCAGCCCATGCCGCCCCCGGTGCAACCCGGAGGCGTGGCACCCGCAGTTGCAAGCGCGGCAGCAGGTGCAGGAGTAGGGGCAGGAGCAGGAGCAGGGGCGGGGACTGGTGTTTATGCTGTTAGGCCGGTCGTGGGTGTTGGTGGGGGGTACCGGGGGCAAGTGAACGCAGCAGCGGCTCATGAGAACAAGCCTCCGGGGGAGGGGGATGTTATGCGGGCGCCGTACTCCCATGGGGGGCAGCATGGCGTGGTGATGAACGGAAACATTGCCGGGCATGTTCCTGGGAACGTGGCTGGGAACATGGGTGGGAACATGGGGAGGCGGCAGCAGGTGCAGGCGTCGGATGGGCCCCACCGGGTGCCATATGGGGGAGGTCATACCTGGATCCCTGCTCCTCTGTTCCCTGTGCCTGCTAATGTGGCGCATGTTCCCAGTGCAAGAGCTTCCCCTCCCATGGCTGGTGGCCCGAGACACGTGCAGCTGGCTCAGCAGCAGCAACAGCAACACCATCAGGCTCAGCAGCAGCAGCTGCAGCAGCAGCAGCAGCAACAGCACCACCACCAACAGTCGCAGCAGCAACAGCAGCAACGACAATACCTACAGGCACACCATCAGCAGCAACAGCAATCGCAACAGCAGCAGCAGCAGCAGCAGCAGCAGCAGCAGTTGCAGCAGCAGGCACAGCAGCAGGCGCAACAACAGCAGCCACAGGGACATACAAAGAGAGCAGAAGCAGTCAACGGGGTATATCCTGTCCCACCAGTGCGGCCCACTCCGGACCTAGCAGCAACCCCTCACAGAACAGCACAGGCGGATGATCATGCAGTGCAGGCAGGCACACACGAAGCCACAGTGGCTGTGAGGCCGACTGAGAATAGTGTCCGTCCCTTGGAGCAGGCCGTTGGTGCTACTGGCATTAGAGCTTCTGTGGCGCAAGACACGTTGGTGAGCGAGCTTGTGGAGAGGAAGAAGGCGGGAAGCGCAGTTGCACGTGTGAGGGAGGAGCAGCGAAGCGAGAGTGAACGGAGTGGAGGAAGTGAGGGGAACCAAGGGAGTGAAAGGAATGAAAGAAATGAAGGGAGTGAAAGCCAGGGCGCACAGCAGGGCGCACAGGGAGGGTTGGACGGAGGGAGTGCAGGACCTGCTGTCAGCTCAGGGAAAGGCGAGGGGAAGGCGGCAGCAAGGCAATCAGACACAGCATCACGAGGTGAACAAGAAGAAGCTGGTTCCGGTTCACGCGCTGCCAAGGGAGCATCGAGAGGTGCAAGGAACAGCAGCAGCAGCACTAGCAGCAGCAGCAGCAACGCATCATCCAACGTACAATGGAGAAGGACGCAGACGGGCTCACGAGGGGCTGTTGCTGGTAACAGCTCTAGTGTCGGCACCATCGTTGCTAGCACCCCTGTCATTAGCAACAGCAGCGCGGTTAGCAACAGTGGTTTGAATGCAGCTGCAGAAGCAGAGCCGGCACAGCAGGTTTCAGGCGGGATTGATGCTTCCTTGGTTGCTGGTGCCCTTCGGAGACAGATCTCAGATCAAAGCAGTGTGGGGAATCAAAGTGTGGGGAATCAGAGTGGGGGGTACCACAGCCGCAGCAACAGCATTCACAGCACTGGATCATCCAGCTCAGTGGAACCACCCCTGAACCAGGATGCAAGCACATTGGACAGCAGAGGCACTGCGAGTCCCCACGCTTCTATCAGCCAATCACCTGTAACAGCTGTAGGAGGAGCTGCAGTGGCAGGGGCAGGGGCAGCGGGTGCTGCAGGGCACACAGGTGTCCCTTCTCGGAGTTTTTCTGATAGGGTTCCGGACAGAAACAAGAGCTGGCATGACACACAACATGAAACAAGACACGGACCTCGACATGGAACGCAGCGTGAAACGCGGGCTGACAGCCCCTCTGTTTCCCCTGCAGTCAGACCAGAGACCATTGCTGTGCCCCACGTTCCGGTTCCTCTTCCTATCCCTGTTCCTGTTCTCGTCCCTCGCACAGCCTCCTCCTCCCCAGTCATGTCCAGCACCAGTTCCCCCACGCCCGACACCATTCTCACCACCCTAGACGCCCGTTCCCAACCCGTTCAACCCACTGCCGCCCCTGCTCCGCTCGGCCCTCCTCTAGGCCCTCCAGCTAACTCCTCCTCTGGCCCTTCACCTCTCCCGCATGTCAGCCCGTTCCCCTTCCCCCCAGGGCTCCTCATCATGGCTTCTACCCCTAACGGCCCCTGCCTTGTTCCGCTCTCCGCCTTCCCAGGGGCGTTGCACCCGCGGCTGCTACAGATGCCTGTGCAGCAGCTGCAGGCGTTTGGATCTCAGCCGTCGGATGAAAGCTTCTCCCAGCAGCTACAGCAGCAGCTGCAGCAGCAGATGCAGATGCAGCTGCAGATACAGCAGCAGCTACAGCCGAGACGAGATGGGGAGGCCAAGGCATCTGGTCCAGGTTCAGGCAGCAACCTGCCACACATCATGCCAGGATCCCAAACCAGGCTCCCTGTTTCAAACTCGGAAGGTTCCGCGGCTCTTCCTCCAGTCCCACAGCTCTTTCCATACATGGCGCTTCCCATGCCCCTGCCGGCAGCAGCAGGCTTTTCGCAAGCGCCTGGGCTCGTGCCTGTGCGACCGGGAGGGGCCGAAGGGGAAGGGTCGTACAGGGGAGCATTTGGTGTGGGTGACAGTGCTGCTAACGCGGATGGCCTTGGGGTTTCAGACGCAGCAGCAGGTGCCCCCGCTGCTGCTGTTGCTGTTGGTAGCAGCGCTAGTGGTGGTGATGGTGGTAGGGGAGACTCAGGTGCTGCGGTTGCTGCTGTGCCACCTCCTATGTTGTGGCAAAGGATGGACCAGCTGCAGCAGGCGCCAGGCTCGAAGCTGCAGGAGTCAAGGCAAGCGTTGGGAGAGCTGATTGGATCAGCAGCAGGAGCAGCAGAGGGAGTTCAGGTCCCCTTACCCGAGGGCGTCAAGTCAGTCACACCGCCTCCAGGACACGTCCCCTTCATTCCCCTCATCCGCCCTGCCTCTGGCGCCCCTCCCTTCGCCCAGATTCCAGGCATGGCGCCGTTTCTCCCGCAAATCCCCATCAGGGCGCTCCACCTCGCTCCCCCGTGGATGTTCCCCCCGCATGCCCATGCGCCCATGCAAGCCCAGGGCGCTGGCGTGGCAGCAGGTGATTGGTCGGATGGACTGGCCAGGGCGGGTTCGCCTATGGCTGGTAACGCTCTGGGTCTGTCTGGGTCTGCAGCGGTGGGGAAGAATGCGGAAGGGGATGGGAGGGAGGAGGTGGAGAAAACAGGACCAGGGCTCGTGGCAGGACTGGGGGCAGGACTTGGGGCAGGTCCTGGGACAGGTCCTAGGGCAGCAGCAGGGGCGCCCGTGGTGTTTGTGGGAGAGGGGAAGGCAGGTGTTGGCACTAGCAGCAGCAGTGGTGGCGATGCTAGTGGGTGGAGTGGTGGTGGGATTGCCGGGCCACAGCTGACCCCGTTGACCCCGTTGACCCCGTTGACCTCCACTGGTTCGCCTTTGGTGGGTTCGTTAGCCATGCCATTGGGCAGGGAATCTCCAGGGCAGTCACCTGCCCTGAATAGACCCTCCCCAGGCGTACCTGCCCCAAGTAGACCCTCCCCAGGTGCACCCACCCCTCTGCTCCACCCGACGTCTGCCATCCCGTCACCCACGTTTGGCCCATCCAAACCAAGCACCGATCCCACAAAGCAGCAGCCATATGTCCCATCCACTTTCCCCACTGGGGTTCCAGGGTCCTCAGGGGTTCCAGGGGTTCAAGGGGGAGGTCCTGGTGCTAACCCAGGGGGCGTATTCCCCCTCCACCCCTTCTCCCGCCCGTTAGGCCCCCAAGCTGTCCTGCTGTCTCATCTAGGCGGTCCGCCTGGTGTCTTTCCCTCGTACGTCCTTGCTAATACTCCCGTCACGCAAGCAGGTGCACCTGGCGCACAGGGCGTAGGTGTCCCTGGTGCAACCCCAAGCGTTCCAACCACAGCAAGTGGCGCTGCTGCTGCTCCTGCCACTGGGATGCCTAGTGCTGCTGCGGCTGCTGCTGCTGCTCCTGCTGTCACTGCTCCCTCGCTCTCCGTGCTGGCTAATCCTGTGCCAGGGCAGGCTGCAGGAGGCAGTGAGGGAAGCAAGGCGGTGCAGGTGCTGCCCAACCCGCAGCTGCTGCAGCCAAGCACGTTCCCTCCTGGTGTGATACCAGGTGGAATCTCAGGTGGGCTCTCAGGTGGGCCATACTCCTTCATGCTCATGTATGCCCCCCAAGCTGGCATGCTCCCGGGCGGCAGTGTGCCAGGTGTAGGGGCGGCAGGGGCAGGCAGTGGAGGAGGAGGGTTGGGAGTAGCGGGGGTGGGAGGAGGGGCTGAAGGAGGAGAGGGAGGGACGGGAAGAGTAGCTGGTGGTGAGGGAGGAGGGCTAGGAGGGAAGGAGGAGGGGATGCTGAGCACGGGTGAAGTGAGTGTGGAGAGCAGAGAGGGGTGCGAGGCAGGTGGTCCTGCCGTTGCTGCTGCTGCTGCTGCTGCTGCTGCTGCTGCTGCTGCTGCTGCTGCTGCTACTGTCCCTGCTGCTGTTACTCCCGCCACTGCAACAGCTGCTGCCGCTGTGGCTGCCGCTGGTGCTGGTGGTGGTGTGAAGGCAGGTGGGTTGGACAAGAGCAAGATCCTGCAGGCTCTGGCGGATGGCAGCGGTGGTGGGGAGTTCCGCATGCTCCGGGTGGCCAGTGCTGGCAGCATCGATACCTCCAAGCGAGCACCAGGCAGCAGCACCAGCACCACCGGCACCAGCACCACTGGCAGTGGCACCACTGGTACCAGCAGCATTGCTACCAGCAGCACCGGCACCAGCGGCATTGCCACCAGCAGCAGTTTTGGGACAGCCGCGACGGGCTTTGCGGGGCTTCCTAGAAGCAAACTGGCAGGCTCGCAGGGCGCCTCCGTTGGCCCAAACCTGACTTTTCCTCCCGAACCCACAGGGATCGTGCGGTCAGAATCAGCCCAAGAAGCAGTGAGGCTTGCACCTGCTGTGCCCCCGTCTTCCAGTGTATCGGCCTCTGCTGTTTCTCCTTCTGTCGTTGAAACATCAGCATCAGCAGCTGGTGCCTGTGATACAGCTGCTCCCAGTCCTCTCTCCTCGTCCCCTTCCTCCTCCTCCTCGTTGCCTTCCTTGTCCTCTTCCTCAGTGCGTGCACGGTCCAATTCCGTGGCCACAAGAGACCCATCGTCTTCCTCTGCCAGTGCTCCACGCGTGGTGCGAGGCAGGGGCGGCAGCGGCGGGGGGAGTGAGGGCGTGTTAGCAGAGCCTCGCAGGGGGGCCAGTGGAGTGGGGGGCGAAGGTGGGGTAGCAGAGCCACGGGCTGATGCTGCTGGGGAGTCTGCGTCTTGGGGCAGTGGGGAAGGTTCTCAATGGGGCCATGGCACCACTGCCGGTGCAGTGAGAGGGGAGGCGCGGCATTCAGGTGGAGGGAAGCAGCAGCGAGGGGGCACAAGAGGGGAGGATGGCCGAGGTGAGGGGAGTGGAAGGGGAGAGGTCAGCGGAAGAGGGGAAGGGAGTGGGAGAGAAGGGGGTGGAAGGGAAGGCAGTGGAAGAGGAGGGGAGAGAGTCGGGCATCGTAGGGGAGAGGCTCAGGATATGGGAGAACAGGCAGAACAGCCTTCCTCAAAACTCCAACAACAGCAGCAGCCAGCAGCACTCAAGGGAGCACTAGGGGTGCCCCAACAGCAGCAGGGTCAGGTTTTGGCAAAGCCGAAGCAGAGTCTTGGGTTGAAGCCCTCTGGTTCCACAACTAGTAGAAAGGCTGGTGCAGCCACTGCAGCCAGTGCGGCTCCTGCTCCTGCCACTCCCACTGCTGCTGCTTCTGCTCCTGTTCCTGTTGCTTCTGGTGGTGGTGGTTTTGATGGTGGTGCTCCGAATGCAGTTACTTCCATCCAGAACGCATTTTCCAACAGCATCTCTCCTGTCACTCCATTTAGCGCACCTCCCATGGCACAGCAGGGCGCCGAGCCTGTAGAGCTGGACCGGCGAGTGCCCGAACCAGATGACGAGCCTCTAGCTTCGGCGGAAACGGTGACCATCAGTTGGAGGTCGTCCTTACGGCCGGGGGAAGAAAGGCAGGCGGCAGGGAAAAGGGCACCAAGAGCTTCCCAGCAGCAGATACAGGCCACGGGGTGGGGAGAACTGGAGGCGGCTGGTGAGGGTGGGGGTAGTGCGCTTGTGAGCAGTGCGGCACAGAGGGAGGAAGGAGGGTTCCCTGAGGCAGGACGCAGCAACAGCCCGTACTCCTTACAGCAGCAGCAACCTCAGCAGCCTATGCTGTCGCAGCAGCAACAACCCAGAACTCCTCGCAGCAACAGCCCCGCAGCTGCAGCTACAACTACAGCTGCTGCAGCATCAGCTACCACAGCATCAGCTTCAGGAGTGTCAGCAGCAGCAGGAGGGGAGGTGGCATCTAGGGAAGGCACAGCTCGTGAGGGTCCACAGCGAGTGCGCAGCCTGGGAGGGGCGTCCCGGTCAGAAGACAGGTTCTACAGCGCTCACCGAGGAGGACTTGGTAACCGCAAGGGCCTGGGCTTGACAGGAACTGCAGCTGCTGGTGCTGCTGGTGGTACTGCTGCTGGTTCTGCTGCTGCTGGTTCTGCTTCTGGTGGTTCTAGTGGTGGCAGTGATGGGGGCTCAGATGGGCTGGGGAGTTCTGGAGGGTCCATGGCACCTGGCGCACCAACAGCAGGGCCAGGAGTTTCTTCAGGTAGCTCAGGTGCCTCTGGTGTCTCAGGGCCTAAGAGTAGTTCCAGTGGAGGTAGCTCAGTGGTGAGTGCCAGGGAGAGAGGAGGGTTCAGCAGTACTGGGGGGAAGGCGGAGAGCAGGAGCAGCGCTGGCAAGGGTGCTGCAGGCTCAGCTTTGTCGCCTGCAGCGTCGGCGGTGCCACCGTCTCTGCGGTCGATGTCGCCTCGGGCGGGTGGGAAGGGGAGTGCGGGCGTAGGGGCGGGTCGGAGTGGGCAGAGTGGGAGCGGAAGTGGCTCCCCGGTGTTGAACTCTCCCAAAGCAGGGAAAAGAATAAGGTGATCCCTTCAGCATTCCACTCCACTCCATGCCTCTCCACTCCAACGCACCCGATTCTCTCCACTCCTCTCCACTCCATTCCACTTCACTCCACCCCACTCCACTCCACTCCACTCCACCCCTCTCCACTCCTCTCCATACTTTACTCAAGTCCACAGCATGTCATTTCAAAGCTATGGTCTGCAATACATACCTTGTCCATGCGTCCCAAGTATTGTGCAAATTCTCTCCAAACCCACACCAACACCGATCTTGAGCACCATTTTTTGTCTGCATCGTTCTGCTGCGCGTTCACGTCTTGCATGCTGCAGAGGGGAAGACGCTCTATATGAACTCAAGGACGAGGATTTCCCCCCATTACACACTCCCAAGTGATTGCAAGGAACTTCCTCCCTAACATTATATTATATTGGGTGAATCAGGAGTTACAGGCGCTTGGCTTCTCTAGACTGGTGCATAATTACCACGTTGCGTAGGAAAGGGAGTATCTGATTTCCTCTTTTCATTGTTGTCTGGTAGGTTTTTTTTCTCTCTTAGCTAGTGATAGGTACATGTTGCGTAATTAACATGCTAGATTGACAATCAAGTTGTCTCATCCTTGGCCATAATACTTGTAGCCCGCCTGTCTCCTTTGTCGGGTACAAATTTGCATTACGGCTCGAGGAAGACTCCGCGAGATTCGAGCAAAGTTGATTTCCAGGTGCTGCCTCTAGATTCTTTCCACATTGCACTCTCGTGGGTGCGAAAGCTCGTCGGCGACGCTCGAAACCTACTGCTCTCCTCGGTATTGCCGAGCTGGTCTACTTCGCGGTGCTCGTTTCCGTGTCGCTAGCATTTCCTCGCGGACGCATGTTACCGTTCGCCTCTCCAATCGCCAATGCGCGCTTTTCCGAGCCCGTCGTAGTGTTACCTTCTAGTACCAAATGCGGAACGAGAATACGCGTTACTAGCGATTCCGCCATGGAATGCGTTTCTTTAAGACGCGTCTCAGGACGCGCTATAACAGGTTGCGTTTGTAGCAGACCCGGCGGAACCAGGACCGTTAGTCCCTGGCCTCGCTCGCAGAGCCTCTCCGTTTCGCGGCCACGTGTCAGATCCGCCGCTTTTGGCGGCTGTTATTTATCCAACCAGGCTTTTCCGCGGTCAGGTTTTGCTACTGTCACGAGAGGTGCTGCTGCCGGTTGTAATAGTATCGATAGGAGGAGGAGCAGAGGATTTGGAGCTCCCGCTATAAGATTGGCTGGAAGAATCTCTACAGGAAGAAACGGATTCGGTGGCAGTAGCTCGTGTAGGAGTATTGGCACTAACAGCATCAGCATTCACAGCCGTAATTACGTCGGGAGCAGCATTAACAGCAGCAACAGCAGCAACAGCAGTGGCAGCAGCAACAGTAGCATCAGCAGCAACGGGATTTTGAGCAGAAACGGAAACGGACATGAAAACAGTAGCGAGTATAGTAGCAGCAGGAGTGGTTTTGGTAACAGAAGAAGCGGCTATAACAGGAGCGGCGGGAGCAGCAGTAGCAGCAGGAGCAGCAGGAGCAGCGGGAGGGGCGGAAGGGGCGGGACGCAATGGGAGGATAATTTCTGGGAGGAAATAGAGGCAGTGGGGCGGGAGAGGGATTCCGGGGAGGTGTGGGCGGAGATTGTGGCGCAGCTAGGGGGAACGGGGGAAGGGGAGGCGGAGGCGGAGGCGGTGGTGGAGGGGGAAAGGGAGGGGACAGGCGAGGCGGAGTGGGAGAGGCGGGGGAAAGATTCGAGGGGAAAGAGGGAGGATGGGGTGAAATGGTGGGAGGGGAAGGTGGGGGGGAGAGTGCAGCCGGAGGCAGTGTTGGAGGAGCTACATATTAGGTGTGTGGTGCGGTAGTGAGTGGCTGAGTAGAGTGTGAGTGAGTTGGGTGTGATTGGGTGTGAGTGAGTGGCAGGGTGAGTGTTGGTCTTATTCGCTACTTTGAGTTGGCGTTAAATCAACATTTGCTAGTTAGCCACCTGATAGCCGGTTAGGATGGTGGTTGGGATGGTGGTTGGGATGGTCGTGGGATGGTCATAGCTTTCCCTTCCTTCCTTGCACTCTCTTCTCCCTGTCGCCACTCACTCACTCACTCAATCACTCTCTCCTTGCCCCAGGGACTTCGCGCTGGTGGAGCGCCAGGTGCTGCATTTCTCGCCTGCTTTCAACGTCATCACAGGCGACAGCGGGTCCGGCAAGTCAATCATCGTGCAGGCAATAGGGCAGGTGAGGCTATAGGGAGAATCTAGCCGTGTTGGAGAATTTTTAAAGGGCTTTTCCATAGGGTCAGCAGCATCAGAAGGCTCTGTGCTACCCCCAGCCCTCTCCTCCCCCCCTCATCCTTTCCACTCAAACTTTCCCTTTCCATTCTTTTCCCCTCTTTTCCTGCCCTCCTTTCTCAAATCAAGGTATTGGGAGCAGCAGCATCTGAGGACTCTGTACGACCACCGGCCCTCTCCTCCTCTCTCTCCGCACATCTCTCCCTCTCCCCCTCCGCCTCTCACTCCCTCCTGCAATTCCTCAGGCAGGAAGGTAGGCTAGATGTGGTGAAGGCCGTTACTGGGGGAGGTGGTTTAGCTGATGGTGCAGGTGATAAAAACGGAAAGCAGGAGGAGCGTGGTTCAGGAATGAGCAGTGCTGGTCGTGTGAGAATGAAGGTGATTCTAGAAAGGGAGATTTTCCGCTCTGTTGCTGCTGATGGTGATGCTTATAGCGAGTCTGAGGCTGATGGCAGCAGCAACAGAGGAGGAAGCAGCAGCAAGAGCGGAGGCAAGAGCGGGAGCAAGGGCAGGAGCTCGAGCGGAAGCAAGGGCAGGAGCAGCAAGGCGCGGAGTGTGTGCCGGGTGAATGGAGTGGTGGTGCCTCTGAAGGTTCTGCGTGCCGTGGGTGCAGCCCTGGTGGACCTGAACGGGCAAAACGCGCAGGGGGCTCTTAGAAGCGAAGGCGCTCAGCTGATGCTGCTGGATAGATTTGCAGCGCGGTGGGGGGATGGGGAAGGGATGGAGAAGGGTGGAGGGAAGGGTGTGGGGAAGGAGAGAGAGGGGGAGGGAAGGACGAGGGAGGAGGAAGAGGAGGGGAGAAGGGAGGGAGAGGAGGAAGAGGAGGGAGATGAGGAGGGTGAGGAGGAGAGGGTGGAGGTGGGAGTGTTGTTGGCGAGGGCGCAACAGGTGTGGGAGGAACAGAAGAAGCTTCAGGAGGCAGGGGGGGAGCAGGCGCTGATGGTGCTGCAGGAACTGGTGAGACGGGGTAGGAAGTGGTGAGACGAGGTAGGAAGTGGTGAGACGAGGTAGGAAGTTGTGAGACGGGGTAGGAAGTGGTGAGACGAGGTAGGAAGTTGTGAGACGGGGTAGGAAGTGGTGAGAGCAGGTGGGAACTGGTGAGAGGAGATAGGAAATGGTGCGAGGAGGTGGGAAGTGGTGAGAGGAGGAGAAGGCACAGAAGATCAGGGAAGACAGCTTAGCAGATGAGGGAAAATGGCGCGTTGGTGCTCCGTATGCCCGTTGCACGCTGCCTCACTTCGTCTCGAATTATTGCTCATTGAAAGTATGCCCTTTCCCTGGCCCATATTTTCTCCTTCATTGCCCTTCAGGTGGACGATGTGGAAAGGTTAGGCCTGAAAGAAGGCGAGGTGGAGGCGATTAGGGAGGAGATCAAGGAGCACGAGCGGGCAGGCAGGGCAGCTGAGAGCTGTAGTCGCGCCCACGGGATGCTGGAGGGGACTGGAGCGTTAGGCGTGCTGCATGGGTTGAGTAAGGCTGTGGAGGAGTTGAGAGAGGTGGAGGAGGAGGAGCAGGAGCAGGAAGAGCAGGAGGGGGAGGAGGATGAGGGGATTGGGAGGAAAGGGAAGAGGGGAGGGAGGGGTGGTGCAGGGGGGTATGTGCAGAGGGGGAGGTTGGAGGATGTTTCAGCTGCTTTGGAGCTCCTGGGGGAAGCTAAGATGCTGGTGAACAGAGCGGTGAGTGGTGGTAACAGAGCGGTGAGTGGTGTGAACAGAGCGGTGAGTGGTGGTAACAGAGCGGTGAGTGGTGGTAACAGAGCGGTGAGTGTTGAGAACAGAGCGGTGAGTGCTGAGAACAGAGCGGTGAGTGTTGAGAACAGAGCGGAGTGGCGAGAACAGAGCGGTGAGTCATGAGGACAGAGCGGTGAGAGCTGAAGACAGAGCGGTAGTCCGTCCGTTCTTACCAGTTTCTTCCCTTCAATCTTCTTGCCGCAGATTTCTTACCATGATTTATTTCATTCCACTTGGACGGCTTTTTTTCTATCTGTGCTGTGACGTGCATCCCCTTGCACTCCACTGCATTGCACCCCACCCCATGGCACCGCATCACACCTCACCACACCATTCCACACCGCACTGCACCACACCAGAAGGACCACGTGGAGTGCTACTTGGACGACCTGCGGTTCTCACGGGAACGCATGGACCGGCTCAAAAAGCGGTTGAGAGAGGTGATGAGCGGTGCAGAGCGGTGCAGAGCGGTATGGTAGTGCCAATTCTGGGAATGGGAAAGATCAGAGGGTATGAGCACAATTGGATGAGACTTCGATCCAATATCCTCTTGGTAGAGGAGGGTGTGTGGCATAACAGGTGTCTCGTGCAATCTGCGCTTCTTCTTGACGTGTAACAATCTTCTAATTGTCTCTCGCTGGCACTGCCCTTTGTTCTTGCTGGCACTGCCCTTTGTTCTCGCTGGCACTGCCCTTTGTTCTTGCTGGCACTGCCCTTTGTTCTTGCTGGCACTGCTCTTTGTTCTTGCTGGCACTGCCCTTTGTTCTGACACACTTGTCCGACTCCTCTCTCCTCTCTGCTCTCTGCTCTCTCCTCTCTGCTCCCTACCCTCTGGTGTGCCCGTTGCTCTCTTCTCCCTGCTCTGTGCTGCTTCCACCAAAACTGCACCGCACCGCACTGCACCGCACCAATGCTGCATCGTGGCTGGCAGATAGAAATTGTTCGCAAGCGCCACGCCATTCGATCAGCAGCAGAGCTCTGGTCGGCGGCCCAGACGGCGGCAGATCAGATCGCCACCTCAGGTGCGACGATGACGATGGTCATGCTGATGCTCATGCTCATGCTCATGCTCATGCTCATGCTCATGCTCATGCTCATGCTGTTGCTTATGCTTATGCTGATGCTGATGCTGATGCTGATGCTTATGCTGATGGTGATCCTGATGCTGATGCTGATGCTGATGCTGATGCTGATGCTGATCCTGATGCTCATGCTCATGCTCATGCTCATGCTCATGCTCATGCTCATGCTGTTGCTTATGCTTATGCTGATGCTGATGGTGATGCTGATGCTTATGCTGATGGTGATGCTGATGCTGATGCTGATGCTGATGCTGATGCTGATGCTGATCCTGATGCTCATGCTCATGCTCATGCTCATGCTCATGCTCATGCTCATGCTCATGCTCATGCTCATGCTGATCCTGATGCTGATGCTGATGCTGATGCTGATGCTGATGCTTATGATGCTGATGCTGATGCTGATGCTGATGTTTATGATGCTGATGCTGATGCTGATGCTGGAAATGGTTTAGTCAGGTGCGATGCTGCTGGTGGCCAACCGCCCAGACAGCGGAAGATCAGATGGTGGTGGTGGTGATGGTGGTGATGCTGATGGTGGTGATGCTGATGGTGGTGATGCTGATGGTGGTGATGCTGATGGTGGTGATGCTGATGGTGGTGATGCTGATGGTGGTAATGCTGATGGTGGTGATGCTGATGGTGGTGATGCTGATGGTGGTGATGCTGATGGTGGTGATGCTGATGGTGGTATTGCTGATGGTGGTGATGCTGATGGTGGTAATGCTGATGGTGGTAAAGCTGATGGTGGTGATGCGGATGGTGGTGATGCGGATGGTGGTGAAGCTGATGGTGGTGATGCTGATGGTGGTGAAGCTGATGGTGGTGATGCTGATGCTGGTGATGCTGATGCTGGTGATGCTGATGCTGGTGATGCTGATGGTGTTGATGTTGGTTTTGCTGTGTGATGGTGATGGCAGTGGCTGTTCTCTGTGTGCTGATTAGGTTTCGTTTGTGCCTCATGCTCGATACCTCATACCCCATTCCCTGTCTGTAACATGCCCCATTCCCCGTAACATGCCCCATTCCCCGTAACATGCCCCATTCCCCGTAACATGCCCCATTCCCCGTAACATGCCCCATTCCCATGTCCCATGCGTCAATCCCCATTTGATGACTCATGACCCATGTTCCATGACCCATGGTCCATGACCCATGTTCCATGACCCATGTTCCATGACCCATGTTCCATGACCCATGTTCCATGCCCCATGTTCCATGCCCCATGTTCCATGCCCCATGTTCCATGCCCCATGTTCCATGCCCCATGTTCCATGCCCCATGTTCCATGCCCCATGTTCCATGCCCCATGTTCCATGCCCCATGTTCCATGCCCCATGTTCCATGCCCCATGTTCCATGCCCCATGTTCCATGCCCCATGTTCCATGCCCCATGTTCCATGCCCCATTTCTCCTTTCTTCCTCATCGCTTGAAAACACACCTTCGCCCACTCACTCCAAACTAAACCGCCCCCTTCATCCCCTTTTCCTGAACCCCCTTCCCCGTGTGCCCTCGTCCTCATCCCCCCTGCCCTCGGCCTCATCCCCCCTGCCTCTCCCCCCCAATTTTCCTACCTCCTGCCCTTGCAAAATCACAACAGGGAGTGTGGAGAAGAGGCGAAGGGAGCTACAAGACGAAATGAGCCACCTCGCTGCGGAGATCGGGCGGCTCTTTTTGGCAGCTAGCAGGAGGAGGCGGGTGGCAGCAGAGGACCTGGGGGAGAGAGTGGAGGGCGTGCTGAGAGGGCTGGAGATGGGTGCCGCGCGGTTCAGAGCGGTCGTGTCGTGGGTAAGAAGGGGATGGGTTGGGTTGGGGGGGATGATGGCAAGGGGTTGATGGCAGATGATTGGAAAAAGGGTGAGCGAATGCCGGTATAGTTCCAAAGTCAATAATAGGTGGGTGCCGCATGGTTCAGAGCATTGGCCATGTGGGTAAGCTGCTCATGAGTAGATTCTGCATTGGGTATCTGACCTTCCTAAATTACCCCCTCCGTTCGTCTCCCCTTTCTGCCCCGCCCGCTTCTCCGCTGCTCTCCTTCTCTTCCCCCTCTGCTCTTTCATCCTTTCTCCCTGGCTCCCCATCTCCTCCACCCCTTCGTTCTTTCAGACTCCTCTCTCCCCATTCCGTCTCGACTCCTCCCTCCCCTCTCCTCCCCTCCCTTCCCATCCCATCCCATCCGTGCCCCTCCGCTCCCCTCCCCTCCCTGTCCCCCGCTCCTCCCCCCTCGTTTGCAGGAGCCAGCAGCCCCCCACTTCTACAGTGCCACGTCAGCTCCTCTCAGCCAATCACAGCTCAGCATGCAAGAGAGAAGAAGGGGTGGTGGAGGAGAGGGAGTGAGGGCGAGGAGGGTAGGGGGGAGTGGCGGCTGGGGAAGGGAGGTAGAATCAGAGTGGGAAGAGGAAGGGGAAGGCGATGAGGAAGAGGAAAGGGAGGAAGAAGAGGAGGAAGACGATGAGGAGGAGGAGGGGGAAGAGGAGGAGGAAAGCGGGCAGCAGAAGCAGCATGGGACAGAGATTTTGGTGGAGGAGGGATTGATACGAGTGGAGGGGGCTGAGAGTGTGGGCGAGAGGAGCGACGTGCTCTATCGATACAGCAGCACTGGCATGGATAGGGTGGGTGGCATGAGCACGAGGGTGGGTGGCATGAGCGTGAGCCATTTGTTCGATACTTCACATACTGGAACGTTTATAAATCAATGCCAGTGCTCACGCTCCAATGCAGGTGGTGTTTCAACTGGCTCACCCTTCCAAATAATCCCAGTGCCATCCGAACCACCAAATCAATCCAGTCCCATCCGCTCCAATGCAGGTGGTGTTTCAACTGGCTCACCCTTCCAAATAATCCCAGTGCCATCCGAACCACCAAATCAATCCAGTCCCATCTGCTCCAATGCAGGTGGTGTTTCAACTGTCAGCCAATCCGGGAGAGCCTCTGCTGCCGCTCTCCCAAGTGGCGTCGGGTGGCGAGTGCTCCCGAATCATGCTTGGTGGGGTGGGGTGGGGTAGTGTGGGGTGGGGTGGGGTGGGGTGGGGTGGGGAGGGTGGGGTGGGATGGGATGGGCTAGCTGAGGGATCGTGCTGGGTGGATTGGATTGGACTGGCCTGAAGTGAGGTTGGGCTGAGGTGCTGTGCCTGGTCATGTTGAGTTAATAGGGCTAGATTCGTTCCGCAGTTATGCTTGCAGATTGGTGAATGCCCCTCTCGACATAAAGTCTGCGTGAAAGTAGTCGAGCTTTGAGACGTCTCAAAACTGTGCCGCAGTAATGCTTGCAGTTGAGAGGACATTGGTGAATGCCCCTCCCGACTCTTCCATTCTTCCTTGTTCGCTTCCCTCCGTTTCTCCCTTCCCCATTTCTCCAGCGCTCAAGATCATTGCAGCTACCACTAGCACCAGCACCACTGCAGATACCGCCTCCACCAGCAGCACCACCACAGATACCGCCTCCACCAGTCCCACCTCCCCATCATCTTTGGAAACAAGCACAAGCAGCAGCAATGAACTCCCAGCAGCCAATGGGAGCGTGCCAGGTGTCAGCGTGTCGGTGTTTGATGAGCTGGACAGCGGTGTGGGCGGCAGGATCGCTTCCCGATTCGCCCTCGCCCTGCGACACCTGTGCAGACAGGGTAACCAGGTTAGTACACCTGCGCAGACAGGATAACCAGGTTAGTACACACTAACTCATAGGTAACTAGGTGAGGTTCCTTATAACCGTGGGTAACCAGGTAGTAAGCTTTTGAATTGTGGCTGACCGAGAGGGTGTATTTCAATACAGGTGAAACTACGTGGGTTTACCTAAGAGTTTACCAGGTGTAGCCTTCCCTGCAAGACATTTACCTAAGAGTTTACCAGGTGTAGCCTTCCCTGCAAGAAATTTCCTGCTAATACACTCCCTGCCCCCAGGTGATATGTATCACCCACCTGCTGCAGGTGGCCGTGCGTGCAGACACACACATCAGTGTGTGAACGCTCGGGTGCTTCCAGCTGATCCCATGCCCCACTTGACACACCCCACACGCCACATCACGATGCATCCCCCTTTCCTCCAGGTCATATGTATCACCCACCTGCCCCAGGTGGCATGGCAGTACACGCAGACGCGCACATCAGTGTGAGCAAGCACGTGGACTTTTGAGGCGCCTCAAAAGTCGCACATGAGTGTGAGCAAGCACGTGGACAGGGCCGATGGTCGCATGCGCACCACTGCTGTACCATTCACCCCCCTTCATTCTCCCTGCCCCCACACCCCCTTCCCTCCAGGTCATGTGCATCACCCATCTGCCCCACGCAGACACGCACATGAGTGTGAGCGCAGGGGGGAAGAAGGGAAAGGACAAGGTGCAAGCAGATTAACGGGGTTGATGGGCGCATGCACCTTGTCCCTTCCCTTCTTCCCTCCTGCCTCCCCACCCCCCTGCCACACCCCCCTGCCACACCCCCCTGCCACACCCCCCTGCCACACCCCCCTGCCACACCCCCCTGCCACACCCCCCTGCCACACCCCCCTGCCACACCCCCCTGCCACACCCCCCTGCCACACCCCCCTGCCACACCCCCCTGCCACACCCCCCTGCCCCCAGGTCATTTGCATCACCCACCTGCCGCAGGTGGCAGTGTATGCAGACGCACACATCGTTGTGAGCAAGCACATGGATGGGGTTGATGGGCGCATGCGCACCACTGCTGCACCACTCCTCCCCCTCCATTCTCCCTGCCCCACACCCCCTTTCCCGCAGGTGATCTGCATCACCCACCTGCCGCAGGTGGCAGTGCACGCCGACGCGCACATCAGCGTGAGCAAGCAGATTGGCGGGGCCGATGGCCGCATGCGCATGTGCACCACTGCTGTTCCATTCCCCCCCTTCATTTTCTGCCTACCACACCACACCCTCCTGCCGCCAGGTGATCTGCATCACCCACCTGCCGCAGGTGGCAGTGCATGCCGACGCGCACATCAGCGTGAGCAAGCACATGGACGGGGCAGATGGTCGCATGCGCACCACTGCTGCCCGCCTCACGACCCTGGAGGAACGGGTGAGGCTGGGGAGAGGCACGGGTGAGGCTCGGAGGGAGGAACTGGTGAGGCTGGGGAGAGGCACGGGTGAGGCTCGGAGGGAGGAACGGGTGAGGCTGGGGGGAGGCACGGGTGAGGGTGTAGAAGACAGGGCATGGGGAGTCTGGTGCTTCGTGGCAGAGGCAAGGTTTGGCTAGGTGAGAGTGGAGGGTACGGGGGCGAGGCGATGGTCGAATCGTATGTGCACATTTTTTAGTCGACTCGAAAATAGGCCTATATACGAGTAGAGAGGCCAATCGGCAAGGTTAGACTAGGTGAGAGTGGAGAGGACGCGGGCGACGGTCCAATCACATGCGCACCACAGCTGTCCGCCTCACAACCCTGGAGGAGCAGGTGAGGCTGGGAGGGGTGTGTGGAAGACAGGGAAGGGGACCTTTGTTGTCCAGTGCATAGGGAGAAATATTGGAGTGCGCACTCTTTCCCCCTCTTTATCCCTCTTTCTCTCCTTCCCTCCCCCCCCCACCCCTTTTCAGGCCTCGGAGGTGGCTCAGATGCTGGGGCTGGGCCTGCCCTCAGCCCTGGAGCTGTTTAAAGCAAAGGGAGGCATGGAGAGAGCAGTGAACACAGTGAACACAGAGCGGCACTTGAAGGCTGTCCAGAGGGATGCTTGATTGGTTAGCAGTGCTCGCCTCTGCGAGGCCTGGGTGGGCCTGGGTGGGCCTGGGTGGGCCTGGGTGGGCTTGGGTGGGCTTGGGTGGGCTTGGGTGGGCCTGGGTGGGCTTGGGTGGGCTTGGGTGGGCTTGGGTGGGCTTGGGTGGGCTTGGGTGGGCTTGGGTGGGCTTGGGTGGGCCTGGGTGGGCCTGCCATCAGCTCTGGAGCTGTTCAGTGCAGAGGGATGCATGGAGGAACCAATGAATAAGGAAGGAGCAGTGAGAACGGATGAAGCAGTGAGAACGGATGGAGCAGTGAACGAGGAGCAGCATGTCTGAGGTCCACTGGTGATCCCCGATTGATCCTAGGGAAGGGTTACAGGCATGTTGGCCTGGGGGGTTATGGGCGCACTGACCCGCTACTTAACAAGCCCTTTTGTCTCAGTGGTCTAGTGACTGAGATTCTGACATGGTATCAGAGCGTGGTCCCTCCTAGGACCTTGTTTTCATGGGCCCACCAAACCCGCGATCTGCCATGGCGACTTATTGTGCTGCTGGCATGGCTGCTACTGCTAGTAGCGCGAAATCCGCTGCTGGCTCGAACTCCGCTGCTTTTGCAGCTCCCGTCGCGCTGCCCCCTTTCGCCTGCCCCGTCGCGCTCTGCCAGTGGCGAGCGTGCCAGCGAGGCGACGGCGGGCGCCAGCGCAAGCGCCAACGGCGGGCGCCAGCGCCAGCGCCGACGGCGGGCGCCACCGCCAGCGCCAACGGCGGTCGCAAGCGCCAGCGCGGACGCCAGCGCCGACGGCGGGCGCCACCGCCAGCGCCAACGGCGGGCGCCAGCGCCAGCGCGACGCCAGCGCCCAGCGCCAGCACTTCCGCCAGCGCCAGCGCATGGGGGGGAGGGGGATGAGGGGGTGGCGGGAAAGCTTCTGCCGCGCCAGCCACCTCCTCTCCTCTCCTCTCCTCTCCTCTCCTCTCCTCTCCTCCTCCTCTTCTCCTCTCCTCTCCTCTCCTCTCCTCTTCTCCTCCAGCCGCATCTCCTCCTCTCTCCTCTCCTCTCCTTCTGCCGCATCTCCTCCTCCAGTCTCCTCTCCTATAGCCGCATCTCCTCCTCCTCTCTCCTCTCCAGCCGCATCTCCTCTGCTCTCCTCCTGTGCACCACCACCAGCTTCCTCCTCCTCACCAACAGTTGTGTTTGCTCGTAGATGGCGAGCGACCAGCATCCTTCGCCCTCCGGCTATCCCAGCCCTCCTCCGCGCTCTCCGCGCCCTCCTCCGTTCTGGCGTTCACAGGTGCTGCCGCCCAGCCACCGCTGTTTCTGTGCCTATCCCAGCTACAGCAACCGCTCTCCAGGCGACCTGGTGCCAGACACCACTAGCTATAGCCGTAGGCAGTTACGGGGGTGTGTTGAATTATATTGCATATCCCAACTGCCTACAGCTTGCTAGTGTATTAGTTAGTTATTAGGTTCAACTGCTGGTGGTGTACCCTATCCTCTCCCCTATCCTATATCTTGTAAACATTCCTTAGTGAATCCCCTCTTTTGGCCAAACTTCTCCCTCCATGATTCTCCTTACTAAACCTCTCCTAAACTTACGTACTGCATAATCTCCTAAACTTGACATGGTATCAGAGCGAAGGTCTCGGGTTCGAATCCCTGTGTGTGCACTTCGGGCATCCCAGTACGGGGGGGTGTCTGAGGACCACTGGTGATCCCTGATTGATCCTAGGGAAGGGTTACAGGCATGTTGGCCTGGGGGGTTATGGGCGCACTGACCCGCTACTTAACAAGCCCTTTTATCCCAGTGGTCTAGTGACTGGGATTCTGACACAGCACTTGAAGGCTGCCCAAAGGGATACTATATCTCCATGTTGTTGCCATTACAGTAATATTCAAGAGTAATACCCGTCCCTAACTGAGGATTTGGAGCCACCATACATGAGTGTTTCTATCAATCTTGTGGGCTGATTATCGGGCTCGATGGAGCATGAGCTCGACCCGTTTAGGGTCACCTATTGCTAGCTTGTGGCAGACATGTTTCAGAAATAAAAACAAGTTATCTGCCAAAAGCTTCTGTACAGAGTGGTGACACCAGTAAACCCGAAATATTGCCACATCATAAAACCTGCAAATATCAGGAGCAACCCGGGTTTGAACCGGGGACCTATCGATCTGCAGTCGATTGCTCTACCACTGAGCTATTGCTCCGTGTGAGGTATCTGAAGTTGCAGTTATCAAAAATTCACTAATTTTCATGAGAATCATCGGTCATGTTCCCCATGTTCGGTCCACGTGAGCAAATCTAATCGTTCAGTTCGCAAGGATTACGGTTTCTGCCCGTACACTTGTTGTAAGTTTAGTGTTGGACCATTCCACCCGCTCTCACATAAATGCTACTTGAGCTTCTGAAATGGTGCTGGAAACCCACAAGAAATTGGTTTCTCTGCCCAGACATCGTTGAATATCTGGAATTGATTTCGTCCCGACTTGAGCCTTCCCGCACCGAATCCTCCGTCCTCAGGCGTGCTGGATTTCGTCGCCGTTGGCCTTACCTTACTCATTGACAATGGTTGCACCCCACCATGTCCAACCCGTTGAAACGTACTAAACCTAGGCAAACCGCATAGGTTACTTGGACCCCTTCTTTGAGATCCTAGATTTTCCGGTGAGGCGAGGGACCATCCGCTCCCTCCCTCTCTTACATTCACTCATCTGCCGAGAAATGCAAGCTCGAGAGAACCAAATTTTTGCTCTGCGGATATGTCCCGGACTATAGAGCAGCCAAATCTTGGATGGCCTATCCGATACGATTTGAACGGTGGCAGCCACAACAGCAAACCGTTTGTCTCGTCTTCCTTCAATCAGAGCAAAGTGACCGAACCAAAGCCAACGAACAGTTTTCTCTTCTCCCAATCACCTCACTCACCTCACCACCACCCACAAATGCATTTTCAGCATGACTCGCAGGCTGTTTTGCCTGTGCCAGCCCCAGTGTGCCCCATTGTTCGCCAGTGTGTCTGTTCATTTTGATGAGATTTGCGTCCGCCGCAGCAGATACATAACGTCTGCGATGCCATATCTGTGTTTTTCCACCGGACCTGGGTTACATACAGACGTACCCGTCTCCACTCTTCCTAGCATATCTGCCCAAATCTACTCGATGCACACACCAAGCAGCCTGCTTTCATCTTCCTCCTCAACAATCCTTGGTTGAATACAGAATCGTACTGTCATCACAATCGTCCTCGTTTCACGATCCGTTACAAGATCGGATACAGCATTGATCCGTCCGATCGTCCAGCTTGGCTGGGAAGGGAAAGGTCGTCCAGCCTGGCTGGGAGGAAGGGAACGGTCGGCTAAGTGCATGAAATCGCCGTCTAAGAACTGTATCAACTGACATAGAATCGCCGGATTGAAAATCTGTTGCGTCAATTCAGTTTGCCCTCATAGGGACGATCACAATCTGGCCGTCCCGAAATTACTCCTCCCGGTGGGACGAGCAAGTCCTCCGAGATTGCGAAACCCTTCCTTCACCTGTGGTTCGCCCCGCCAGGCCTTGCCAGCTGGCGTGGGCCCGAACCAAACCCAAACTTTCACTCAACCTCGAGTTCTGGAGGGCACAAATCTCCTTCCTCAAGAGCGATGCCTATCATTATGTGTTTTCAGGAATAGGTTCATTCAGCTTCTGAATCCAATTGGGGAGCTGGACGAAGATCGCGTGAAGCTACTACTACACTATTCATACTACGAGCCTTCGGTGCCCTGATGTGGGAGACCCACAGTTGCTCCGAGAGCGCAGCGCACCTTAGGCTAAGTAACAATACACCATTGTCAACAGCGATACCAGAAGTGTGATCCGAGTGTCAACAGACGCCTGGAGGTCTCATAGTCAGAGAAACCTGTCTCAAACCGCCTGCTTGTAGCAAGGCATGGCAACACCAGCAGCCATGGATCCACCTCCATTCCCGTACCCTTCTTCATCGCCTCGCAGTGCTCCCCCGAGTGAGGAATCCCCTTACACCGACTCTCTTCTGCCGCTCTTTCCGTCACCAGCTCAACCCGGCCACTCGCCAGCAACCCAGGCCCCTCTGAACCGCGACAATTCAGGATTTCGTCTTTCTGAACCGATTGCTCCAAAGCCGGTCTTCTCAGGAAAGAGGGTAGGATCAGAACCGGACTCCACCGCTTCTGGCTCCAGGAAACGCTGTCAGAGCCAGCCTTTTCCTCGCAGCAGCAGCACAAGCCGTGGCAGCACGTGGCAATCAGAGCAATGGAGAGCCACATCAGCAGCTCTGGCAAGCCCCACGAATCGCCCGTCTGATGCGGCATCAGCACCCGCACACAGGCGGAGAAGGGTCGGAGGAGCAGCAGCAGCGGCAAGCACGGCGAGCCTGCCTGCTAAGCTGCCTACAGCAGAGGGGTTTGCGCGTGAGATTCAGGAAACGGCTCGATCCATGAGCTTGGATCTGCCTCCGCCTTGCTGCTCGTCTATGTGTTCCTACTTCTCGGTGCCCTGCAGGATGAAAAGCGGGTGGTATGGTGGCGTTTTGGCGGGAACTTCTAGGAGTGGGGGAGCTGGGGTGCATGAGAATAGCGGCATGGCTGTGCAGCAGGTAAAGCAGCGGGAACCGCAACATTCAGAACAGCAGGCACAGCCGCAGCCACCGCAGCAGCAGCAGGCTCAGCAGCAGGTGCAACAGCAGCAGCAGGTGCAACAGCAGTCCCAACAACAGCAACAGGCGCAGCCGCAGCAGCAGCAGACACAGCCGCAGGCACAACAGCAGCCGCAGGCACAACAGCAGCAGCAGGCACAGCCACAAATGTGGTGGCTCGGACAGGAACAAGGCCAGGCGATGCCAAAGCGGCTTGCACAGCAGCAGCAGCCGCAACAGCAGCAGCAGCAGCAGCCGCAACAGCAGCAGTGGCAGCAGCAGCAACAACAGCAGCCGCAACAGCAGCAACAACAGCAACAGCAACAGCTGCAGCAGCAGCAGCAGCAGTTGGTGGCTCTGCCACTGCCGCCATGTCTTGAGCTGGGACCACAAGAACATCAAGCACTCTCACATCGCCTCCAGCTATTCCCCCCTCATGATGTCTCAGAACCAGAGTGTACTCGCCCGAACAGTTCACGTGCCGTGCCTATGACCGAGTCAGCTTATATCGAGGATCGTGATGCAGCTGTTGGAGAGACAGGTCAGCACCCTATCCAGATCCAGAGCCCTAGTTCAATGGACACGAGAGGCAGTGTGTGCAAGGATAGGGAAACCCCAAGGAATGCTTCTGAGGTGGGGCAAGATATTCCTTTTCGCACAGAGTCACGGCAAAGCCAGTCGTTTGCAACCGAACCAGCTCAGCAACAGCCTTTGTTGTTTGGCCGGGTTCTTTCGTCTGTCAGTCGTGATGTGGAAAGCCGGGAAGATTGGGCGGTGAAGCGAGCTGCGTGTTTTGAGGATGTTGGGTGCAGTGGGAGGGAGACTGAAGCATCTGCTGGAAATAAGGGTCTTGAAGGTGGTAATGTGTTGGGTGCGGGTAACAGATTGTTCGGTTGCGTGCTTTCTCAGACTAGCGATCAGCACGAGCCAAGTAGGGCAAGTCAACATATAGATCTTAACCTAGACCTGTGAATAGATATACCGTAGGTGGGATGTGGGTTGCTGCACAAGATGTGAAATGTTATAATACACACAACCCAAAGTGCACCAGAAAAGGTGAAGCTACACTAACGTGGGTTGTAAGAGGTGAAGCTACACTAACGTGCAAATTTCGCTACACGTTATAACACGTTATCACAAATTTCGCTCCCGCCTTTCCTTCAGCTCCAAGGCACCCTTTGTACCAGATATCGGATTATATATTTCTTCTGGCCTCGGGGTCTCCGAACAAGCGCAATGGCGGTTCCTCTTCCACAAAGCCGCTTTACGTAAACCACGCAGGGATCCTTTTACCCCGCCCCTCATTAGCTCGATTTTTGGGGTCCTCTTTCGCCAAGCGCCCCTTAGTTTTCGAATATCCTGACGGCTAGATGAGTAGCAGACTCATGGACTAGTAGGGTCTGTGACGCGTCCCTCATTTCGTCGCGATGCGTCCTGGTTCTCGCAGCTCCACTCGAGTAGGTGGCGCGTCGCGTACGTCGATACGATTCTGAGGCTTGAAGTGCTGGCAGGCTCTGTTGGACGGTCGCGTCGGCAATTTCTAGGTTCAGCAAGTTCGTTCGTCGAGCTTCCAGTTCTGTAGTTTTACCTCCGCTTACTGCCGACGACGAGTATTTTTCAAATTCGTGCAAATTTAAGCCTTCGAGTTGCCTTAGGGATTTCTGCTTACGTTTCCGGTAGGTAGTTTCTAGAAAATTGCTCTCAAACCGTTATATTTCGAGAAATCTACCGGCTTTAGCCCGTCTTCTGCTGTTTAGGGCGTAGTTTCGGGTCGTGTTCAGGTTATCTGTGCTCCTGCGTGTTTTCCCGAATTCGTGGATTTCACTTCCATCCATCAGAAGCAATCAGAAATCTTGTTCAGCGTCTTAACCGGAATAATATTTTAAGCCTTAGTAATTGAGAGCAAGATTCGGTCAGCATCACAGATTGGAACATTATCTGAGACGAGATCAAGACTCGGTCAGCATCAGAAACTCGAATCCCGAGCGACCTCGAATTCACCGGTTTCCAGCATGCTTCCTAGCAGTGCCGTGGTAAGCATTAGCCGACCCATTTGACGGATTCTTCCCATGATGGTTCTTGTCGAGGCGTCTTGAAAGCCCTGCATGCTTCTCGCACTGTTGTGAGTGTTGTTTTCTTAGAATTCTCCTCCTTCCTCCTCTCCCCCCGTTCCGCAGCGCGAGCTCCGCAAGACTCGTCTAGTACAGCCGGTGGACATATAGCAGAGGGACCCGCCTGTATCCCCCGCTACTCCAACGATTTCCCCGTTTCCTCCCCTCTCCTCCCCCCCTCTCTCTCCCCCCGCTTCCCCAGCGCGAGCTTCTCAAGACTCGTCGGCTACAGCCGGCGGACGTAGCAGGGGGGCCCGCATGTCTCCCCCCACTCCTCCGCGCGCAGCCCCACCTCGCCCCGCGCATCATCTCCGCCCTCCTCACTTTCTGCGCTCCCCCCCAGGAGGGGAGATGGGGGGAAGGGCGGGAGGTCAGGCGGGATCGGGGACGAGGCTCTTGGGGGGAGGGCGCGGGGGAAGGAGGAGCAGGAGGGGTAAACGAGGGTGGTGGCGACGCTGCTTTCTTAGACGAGGCAGTAGAAGCGGTTATGGCTTTAAGCGGTGGTCGCATGGGCTTTAATCTCGATCTGGATTCTCTAGCCATGGTGAAAGAAGCCTATTCTGGTGCTGTGGATTGGATTCTCTGGGCGGCATGCGGATCCGATCCAGAATCCACACTGGCGGCTCTCGGCCAATCAGGAACGTCGGGGGTATGCGGGGCGGTATGGGGGGCGAGCGACATAGCATATAGATGCCGATCGTGTGAGCATGACCCTACCTGTGCCATATGTGTTCCCTGCTTTCTAGACGGGGACCACGAGGGGCATGACTATGCAATGATCAAAACGGGCGGTGGATGCTGCGACTGCGGCGATCCAACGGCCTGGAAGCGTCAGGGGTTTTGCAAGAAGCATCCTGGCCCTGGGCACGCCCCGCCCCTCCCGGAAAGTTTCGTTGCCCGGGCAGAGCCCGTGCTGGCCGCGGTTGCTGCGGAATGGCAGCAGAAAATAGTTTTCGCTGCCCGGCTGGAGGAGGAACGGAGTGGAGGCGCAGCAGGGTGGGGGGGTTCTGGGTTTGGGTTTGGAAGCGGGAGAAGCGGGGGCGGAGGGGGAGGGGGAGGCGGAGGGGGAGGAGGGAGAGGCGGGACAGCGGGAAGCAGTATGAGCTCGCTGCTAGGTTCCCTCACAGGGGGTGTGGGGGGGTCGGGAGGGTGGATGAGTGGTAACGATGGGTTCAGAGGATCTTCCTCCTTCTCGTCCTCCCCCTCCTCTTCCTCCTCCGCAGCGCTATCAGCAGCAGCGCGGTTGCGAGCAGCGAAGAACGAGGCAGCAGCAGCAACTGAGAGGTTCTCGGAGATGTTTCTGAGACTGGCCAGCACCAGTGAAGGGCTGCTGCACCTTGTCTCGTCCGTGCTCACCAGGAAAAGCCCTATCCCCGTTACTGCCCGCCCTGATACAGTGCCATCGGGGTTCCATCCGACCAACATTACCATTACTCCTACTGCTTCTTCTGCCCTTACAGCCGCTGCCCCTACTGGTCCCGTCTCTGCTCCTGGATCTTCCCATGCACTCTCTTCTTCGGCTCCTGTGGGATTAGGCTCACTGCTCAGCCCAGCAGCAGGGTCGTCTCTCCCAGCATTGTCACATCCCGCAGCATCACCTCCCTTAGTGTCACCTCCCCCAGCCTCACCTCCCTCTACCACCGCTGCTGCTGCATCCGCCAGTCTGTTGGAAGCTCTGGTGGCAAACGAGGAGGGTATTAAAGAGGACTCCATGCTCGTAGCCCACCGCCTTCTCTACAAGCTCCTAGGCGACCCGGGCTTTAAGTACCAATTCGCCCTCGCGTTCGTTGCTAACTACTCGGCCTTCGTGCTGGGGAGTGGGGGGAGAGGGGACGGGGAGGAGGGCGGGGGAAGGTGGGGGGGAGGGGGTGCGCGGGGGAGCGGAGGGCGGAGGGGAAGAGGAGCGGCGGGGAGTGGGAGTGCAGGGAATAGGGTATCGGTTCTGGAGAGCTTTTCGGTGCAGATTCTTACGGTGCCGGTGCTGACGCCCAGGCTCGTGGTGGAGGCTCGGCTGCTGGATATCCTGCTGGGTACCCTGCAGAGCATGCTGCAGGGGGCGCTGGGACGAGACGGGCGCATCAATGTGAGTTGCGGGTCTGTCCTGAGAAAATTCAAAATTTGAGACACACTTTGGCTGAGAATGCTTAGAAGAGGCTCGGCTGCTGGATATCCTGCTGCAGAGCATGCTGCAGAGCATGGTGCAGAGCATGGTGCAGAGCATGATGCAGAGCATGCTGCAGAGCATGCTGCAGAGCATGATGCAGAGCATGCTGCAGAGCATGCTGCAGAGCATGCTGCAGAGCATGGTGCAGAGCATGATGCAGAGCATGCTGCAGAGCATGATGCAGAGCATGGTGCAGAGCATGATGCAGAGCATGGTGCAGAGCATGGTGCAGAGCATGATGCAGAGCATGATGCAGAGCATGCTGCAGAGCATGCTGCAGAGCATGCTGCAGAGCATGCTGCAGAGCATGGTGCAGAGCATGGTGCAGAGCATGCTGCAGAGCATGGTGCAGAGCATGATGCAGAGCATGCTGCAGAGCATGCTGCAGAGCATGATGCAGAGCATGATGCAGAGCATGCTGCAGAGCATGCTGCAGAGCATGATGCAGGTGCCGCGTGATTGACGGCGTTCGCTGCGTCTATCTCCCACTTTTGTTCCGACATTCGCCGTTCTCTCGCCTCCCAATCCCCCGCTCCCCCCGTTCCTCCCATCTCCCCCAGCTGTCCCGAGAGGAGGTCCACAATGGGCGAGTGACCGACGACATTCGCTACATTCCTTCCCACTCCGCCTCCTCCTGTGCTTTCCTCTCTTCTCTTACCTATCCCCACTCCCCCACCCCCCCCCCCTCAGTTATCCCGAGAGGAGGTGCACAACGGGCGAGTGACCGACGATATTCGCTACGTCCTCTCCCACTCCGCCTCCTCCCGCCACGTCACCGCCCGCCGCCCGGACCTGCTGCGCGCGTGGCTGCGCCAGTTGGCGGCCGCCCAAGGCATGTGTCCACACGTGCGGCGCACAACCACCCACGTGGCAATAGAGCTGGACGATTGGAGCTTCGCGTACCTGTTAGAAGCACAGCTGGCGACGGTCAACCCGCTGCTCGCCGAAGCTAGCGCCGTGCCTGAGCTGGAGGCTCGGAAGGAGGGTCGGCAGGTGGAGGGAGGATCGGCAGGGGAGAAAGGGGGAGGAGAGAAGGTAGGGGAGAAGGGGGGTGAAGGGGGAGGGTTTCCGGGGTTGGGGTTCGGGAGGAGGAAAACCCTGAGATGGTTTGTGGATGAAGGTGCAGGGCAGCACGCAGGGCAGCAGGCAGGGCAGCAGGCAGTGGGGCAGCAGCAAGGGGAACAGGCAGGGGGCAGTGGCAGTGGCAGAAGCGATGGCACAGCAGCAGAAGCAGCAGCAGGAGAGACCATCCCTGGGGATGGAGGTTGGGGGGGTGGTGCTGCTGAACTTGATGCTACTACCAGCTGGAAGGCAGAGGGTTTTGACCCAGAGGCATATGCGGATGACTGGAGAGAGACCGAGACAGGCACGCACACATACCTGCCGCCCCGAGCCTGCGAGGTTCGGCAGGTGGCGGCGAGGTTCGGAGTTCCTCCGGCGCTGGTGCGGCTGCTGCACGAGTGTGCGTGGGTGCTGGCGCGGTGGGTGGCAGTGGAGGGGTTGAGGTCACTGGGGTCAGCGTTTGGGAGCGGGGCGAGCAGTGTGGAGGCACTGAGACTGCTCGGCCTTACCAGGTCGCACTTTCCTGCGTTTCCATCTGCTGCTGCTGGAAATGCCGGTGCTGCTGCTGCTGCTACTGCTGGTACTGCTGGCGGTGGTGGCGGTGCTGGTGGTGGTGCTGGTGGTGGTGCTGGTGGTGGTGCTAGTGCGACGGCGATGAGAGGGATGAGGCAGCTTGGGCAGCTGGGTCTGTTACCAGGTGCAGCCGCAGCAGCCATGGCTCGTATCACCTCCCCTTCCCACCCGCCCCGCCCCACTCCCTCCGCCTCCCCGCCTTCGCCTCTGCTAACCCCTCTGCCTGCCGCTGCCACCACAGGTAGACTCTCTGGTGGGGGCACGTCTGGGGAAGGCTCACCTGGGGGAGGGGTTGCTGGTGGGGGTAGGCCCAGGGGGGTCTCAGCGCCTTCGCTGACTGCTGCTGCTGCTTTGGAACAGCAGCAACAGGAGGGTCAGTCGTTGCAGCAGCAGCTAGAGGGTCAGCAGCAGCAACAGCAGGAGCGGCAGCAGGTGCAGTTACTGTCGTCGGTTCTGGTGCACGCGCCAGGAGCTTCTCTCCTGTCGTTCAAATGGGCCCAGGACGAACTGAAGAGCCTTGCTTCCGAGGCAGCTGCTGCTGCTGCTGCAGCCGCAGCAGAGAGGGCGGGTGGAGGCGGAGGGGCTGTGGGTGGTCGAAGCAGCATAGCAGGTGACGCTGGGGAAGCAGGAGCAGTAGGAGGAGGAGGAAGAGGAGCAGGAGGCGGAGGGGGAGGGGCAGCAGGAGGCAGCGGCGCCAGTCCAGTGGGGCGGGCAGGGAGGTTCCTATCAGGCATGGCCGCAGCAGCAGGGGCGGCAGCTGCTGCTGTGGGCGGCAGAACCACAGGAGCAGGCAGTCCGGGCACTAGAGGGGGAAGTCCAGGGGGATTGGGGCAAGAGAGAGTGGCCACAGCAGGAGCAGAGGCAGTGCCTGCGCTTGGGCTTGAAGGGTTGGGGAGAGGGGGAGGGGAAGGAGGTGTGGGAGGAGCAGAAGCGGGAGGGGGTGCTGGGTTAGGAGCGGGTGCAGGGCTGGGTAGAGTGGGTTTGAGAGACGGCGAAGCGCCTGCTGCGATTGTTCCTGCTCCTGCTCCTGCTGCTGCTGCTGGTGGTGGTGGCACAGGAAGGGGAGGGGAGGAGCACGCAAGGCAGGAGGGGGAGGACATGACCCACACGCAGAGGGGCCACATGGGGATCTTAAGCAACTGGCTCAGAAGGGCGTCTAGGTTCAGGGCGACAGGGGGAGAAGGGGCACAGGGAACCCAGGGCAGGCATGCAGGGGCAGGTGAAGCAGCAGGCGCAGAGGCAGCATGGGCAGACGTAGGGGTAGGTGCAGAGGCAGGAGGGGCAGGAGGAGGGGAAGCAGCGGCAACAGCCATGCAGGCAGATTCGTTGGCAGCAACAGAGGCAGTAACTCTCTCTGCTGCGCACCCCCCCTCCGCCGCCCCCCCTCTCTCCGCTGCTGCTGCTGGTGCCCTCAGTGCACGGAGCAGCCCCTGCTGGTGGGTGGGGCGGCAGCTGCTGTCGCTTCTGGAGGGGCTGCTACCGTTCCCTCCCCCTCGGGTTGAACCAGGGGACTTGGCAGGAGACACGCCACAGGAGGGGGCTTGGGCAGAGGAATCTGCTGCAAGAGGGGCAAGAGAAGGGCCAGGGGCAGTTTTGGGGGCAGGGGCAGTTTTAGGGGCGGGGGCAGGGGCGGGGGCAGTAGCAGGGGCGGGGGAACGCTGTATTACCATGGCTACGGAGGGGTGGGAGGCGAGTTCTATGTCAAAGGGGCCTGTGGGTGGGGCTGAGAGTGTGCTGGAGTGGCCAGTGGTGGAGTACGATGTGGCGCGGCAGGAGGTGTCGTTTCACCTGCCTCTGCACCGCATGCTCGCACTGCTCCTGCACTCCCTGCTGCGCCTCTCCTGCCCCGTGCCCGACCCACCAGGCGACGCACATGGGGACTCAGAGCAGAGGGTTGGGAACGAAGGGATGGTGGAGGGCTCACGGGATGCGAGGGAGGAGAGATGGAGGGAGAGAGAGGCGGCAGAGCTGTGCTTGCTGCGCCTGCTGCCCAGTAAGCTCCAGAGAGGAAGCTTCCTCGCAGCTGTGGCGGAGCACGGGCTGCGAGTGCAAGTGCTGTGCGCGCAGATATCAGCGGGAATGTGGAGGAGGAACGGGCAATCCATGGTCGCTCTCTGCGACCTCTACCACTCCGTGCACTGGTCAGTCGTTTCTGCCGCCTCTCTCTGTGCTCCTCCTCTCTCTCTCTGCCCCCCTCACCCTCTCTGTGCTCCTCCTCTCTCTGTGCTCCTCCTCTCTCTGTGCTCCTCCTCTCTCTGTGCTCCTCCTCTCTCTGTGCTCCTCCTCTCTCTGTGCTCCTCCTCTCTCTCTGTGCTCCTCCTCGCTCTCTCTGCCCCCCTCACTCCTCCCTCTGTGCTTTTGCCACCTCCCTCTCTGCGACCTCTACCGCTCCGTGCACTGGTCAGTCTAGTCATTGGTTGGTCGTTCTGGTCGTAAAACCCATGTCAGTCTCTTCATAGCCCCCGTCTCCACGTCACATGGCATCGCATCGCATCGCATTGCATCGCATCACATCACATGCCATGGCATCATCATGTGTATCCCACAGGTGCGAGGACAGTCTGGAGTTGGGTCTCTTTCTCCTGCAGTGCACTGCCATCTCGGCTCCTCCTCACCCCTCTCAAGCTTCATATGACCGTCATACCCTCCCCCTGACCCCTCTTCCCATGCCATGCCATCCCAGGTGCGAGGACAGTCTGGAGTTGGGTCTCTTTCTCCTGCAGTGCACTGCCATCTCGGCTCCTCCTCACCCCTCTCAAGCTTCATATGACCGTCATACCCTCCCCCTGACCCCTCTTCCCATGCCATGCCATGCCAGGTGTGAGGACAGCCTGGAGTTGGACCTCTTCCTGTTGCAGTGCACTGCTGTCTCGGCTCCTCCTGATGCCTTTGTGCGCCAGGTTGTAGCGCGCTACAGCCTCACCAGCTACTTCTCCCTCGCTGTGGGGACGGCATCAGAGTGAGTAAGCAGTAGAATGCAGTAGTGCACTGCTGTCCCGTTTGGCCCCTCCTGACGCCTTTGTGCGCCAGGTTGTAGCGCGCTACAGCCTCACCAGCTACTTCTCCCTCGCTGTGGGGACGGCATCAGAGTGAGTAAGCAGTAGAATGCAGTAGTGCACTGCTGTCCCGTTTGGCCCCTCCTGACGCCTTTGTGCGCCAGGTTGTAGCGCGCTACAGCCTCACCAGCTACTTCTCCCTCGCTGTGGGGACGGCATCAGAGTGAGTAAGCAGTAGAATGCAGTAGTGCACTGCTGTCCCGTTTGGCCCCTCCTGACGCCTTTGTGCGCCAGGTTGTAGCGCGCTACAGCCTCACCAGCTACTTCTCCCTCGCTGTGGGGACGGCATCAGAGTGAGTAAGCAGTAGAATGCAGTAGTGCACTGCTGTCCCGTTTGGCCCCTCCTGACGCCTTTGTGCGCCAGGTTGTAGCGCGCTACAGCCTCACCAGCTACTTCTCCCTCGCTGTGGGGACGGCATCAGAGTGAGTAAGCAGTAGAATGCAGTAGTGCACTGCTGTCCCGTTTGGCCCCTCCTGACGCCTTTGTGCGCCAGGTTGTAGCGCGCTACAGCCTCACCAGCTACTTCTCCCTCGCTGTGGGGACGGCATCAGAGTGAGTAAGCAGTAGAATGCAGTAGTGCACTGCTGTCCCGTTTGGCCCCTCCTGACGCCTTTGTGCGCCAGGTTGTAGCGCGCTACAGCCTCACCAGCTACTTCTCCCTCGCTGTGGGGACGGCATCAGAGTGAGTAAGCAGTAGAATGCAGTAGTGCACTGCTGTCCCGTTTGGCCCCTCCTGACGCCTTTGTGCGCCAGGTTGTAGCGCGCTACAGCCTCACCAGCTACTTCTCCCTCGCTGTGGGGACGGCATCAGAGTGAGTAAGCAGTAGAATGCAGTAGTGCACTGCTGTCCCGTTTGGCCCCTCCTGACGCCTTTGTGCGCCAGGTTGTAGCGCGCTACAGCCTCACCAGCTACTTCTCCCTCGCTGTGGGGACGGCATCAGAGTGAGTAAGCAGTAGAATGCAGTAGTGCACTGCTGTCCCGTTTGGCCCCTCCTGACGCCTTTGTCCGCCAGGTTGTAGCGCGCTACAGCCTCACCTACTTTTCCCTCACTGTCGGCACTGCCTCAGAGTAAGCATTAGGTTCAATCCCATGCGCTACAGCCTTATAACCTACGTTTCGTTTCCCTCACTGTCCACACTGCCTCACAGAGTAGGCAGTAGGATTCCTGCACTGCACTGCCATCCTATTTTGCGAGTAGTTGCATCCCCTCCTTCCTCGTCTGCCCCATCTCCGAGTGATCCTTCCAGCCTCCGCCCCACCCACTTCCTCCACCCCTCTCCACTCTCTCCTCTCTCTTCCCCCAACCCATCACAACCCCCCCTCATCAGGTACGAGCCTGCAGTGGCCCAGGACTGCATGGCCTTCCTCATCCGTCTCATCTCAGAGCGATCCTTTTCCGGCCTCCCCCCCACTGCGGCCCTCCGGAGGGAGGTAGTGCAGCGCCTAGCCATCGGCAACGCCACCCGCAGCAGCGTTGTCAAGTCCCTCCCCCCTCGCTTCGCCGAAAACCCCGCCATCCCCGCCGTTCTCGCTGCCGTTGCGGATTATTCCCGCCCCTCGGGAATGGAGCAAGGGCGATACTTACTTAAAAGAGACTGTTACAGGGAGCTGGATTTGTACTGCCTAAGATGGGCGCCTAGGGAGTTGCAGCGAGCGGAAGAGAGGTATGCGGAGGCGGTTAAGAGATCTGCGGTTGTGGAGCAGACGCCGAGATGGCGCGATCCTGTCCGTCCGTTGATGGGCCTGCGGGAGATTGCCACGTCAGCAGGCATGCATGATGTGGTGCTGTCGGTGGTGCTGCACGCGTGGTGGGATGAGGAGGGGAGAGAGATGAGCTACAGAGAAGCCAGAGGCAGCAACGGTGCCAGCATTGGGAGTGGTGGTGGTGGTGGTGGTGGTGGCGGTGGTGGGAGTGGGAGTGGGAGTGCAGGGAGTGGGAGTGGGAATGGGAGTGGGTTGTCTCGTGCGCCTGATATTGTGCTGCATGCCGCGCTGCATCTGCTGGCATTGGCTCTTGACACTTGCGTGGCGTGGCAGGAAGCCGAGGAGAAGAAGGGGCGGGAAGGACAGAGAGGGCAGGGAGGAGACGAGGAAGAGCAGGGAGAGAAGGTGGGGAGAGAGGGTGGTGAGGAGGAGGGGATGCGGATGGATGTGGATGGGCGTGTGGGAGGGGATGCGAGCGGCGGTTGGAGTGAAGGAAGAGAAGCAAGAGGGGGAGGAGAAGGAAGGGAAGGAGAAGGAAGGGAAGGAGAAGGAACGGAAGGAGAAGGAAGGGAAGGAGAAGCGGGTTCAGGCTCAGGCATGGAAGTGGAAGGGGCGGACTGGATGGCTCGTGATGCACGTGGTCATGTTGACCATGCAGCTGTGCAGAAGAGACACTCCTGGCCACCGGCCCTCCTGTCCCGAGCATGCCAGCCGTTCGAAGCACGGTTACCAGACAACAGCAGCAGCGGCGGCAGCGGCAGCGGCAGTGGCAGCAGCAGCACGGCCGCGGGGCTGTTCGCCCTGCTGCCAGGAGCGACCCTCTCGACCCTCTCGTCCTCTCACTGGTTCCGCGCGTCGCACGCTGCCCCGGTGTCCCTGCTTGCGCTCCTCGTGCGCCTCCTGCGGTGCTGGCAGCGCCAGGCAGGGACGACGCACGGCACCGCTGCTGCTGCTGGTAGTGAAGGGATGGGGTTAGTGGCCAGGAATGAGAGTAGGGGGAGGGAAGGCGAGGAGGGTAGAAGCACAGCAGTTGGGGAGAGGTCGGGCGGGGCAGGAAGGGGAGGGGGAGGGGAGGGGCGGGCGGAGCTGCATGTTCTGGTGCTGCGGCTGCTTAAGCGTTTCGCTCAGCTAAGCGACGAGTGCAGGAGAGCTCTGGAGGTGCTTTGCCCGGAGGAGTTTGATAAGGGAAAGGGGAAGGCGGCGGCTGGAGGCCGCGGGGGAGGGGCTGGGGAAACGGGGGAGGCAGCAAAGGCAGCACGGGCAGGAGGAGCAGGGGGAGCAGGTGTGGGAATAGGAGGCAGAGAGATAGAGGTTGGAGAAAGTGAGAGGGGGAGTGGTGGTGGTGGCGGCAGTAGGGGTGGTGAGGAGAAGGGAGAGGGTGGGGTGTTGAGTGAAGCCGATGCAAAGAAGTCGTTTGCTCGGGCAAGACAGCAGGCGTTGCTGGTACGTGCCTTTCATCAAAACACCCTTTTTTTAACACGAGTTGGAAGGAGGTGACTTATGAGTCAGCTCAAAAGAGCTGGCTTTTGAGTCAACCCAAGAGTCAGCTCGTTACAATGTTACAAACGCTGCTGGTTTGTGCCTTTCATTAAAAAACCATTTTATAACACGAGTTGGAAGGCTGGGAAAACAGCACCTCTTTTCTGTTACTATTACTGCGTACGAAAATGACCCAGACGTTTTATTGTTAAGAACCTTTCATTCTCCTCCTGCTTATCGTTTCTCTACAACAAACAGGCAAAGATGCAGGCAGCGCAGCAAAGATTCGCAGCACCTCTTTTTTGCCATTATTACTGCGTACGAAAATGTCCCGGATTTCTTGCTGCTTATCGTTTCCCTACAACAAACAGGCAAAGATGCGGGCAGCGCAGCAAAGATTCGCAGCAAGCATGAATCAAGGCAAAGGAAAGGAGGGGGAGGAGGAAGAGGAGGAGGAGGAGGAGGAGGAAGAGGAAGAAGAGGAGGAGAAGAAGGGGAGGGTGGAGACAGGGGGGTGGGAGTATGGACGAGATGTAGACATGGGAGTGGGTGAGGAGGAGGGGGGGAGGAAGCGAGGGAAGAGGCGGAAGGGGAAGGCAGTGGTTGAGGAGGAGGCAGAGGAGGAGAGGGAGTGTGTGCTGTGTAGGGAGGGGGACAAGGGGGGAACTTCCTCTCCCCTCTGTCACATTGTTTTCTGTCAGGTGGGTGCTGGGCTCGTTGCTCTGTGTCAGTTGCTTCTTGGCTGTCTGTCTGGTGCTGCTCTGCTGTCTGTCAGGTGTTGCTCTATTGTCTGTCAGGTGGCGCGCCTGTGTTTGACTCGTAACTGTCTTGGAGCCTCCTCTCCCCTCCCATTTCGCCCATTCAAAACTCACCCCCTACCCCTCCCGTCTATCTGCAACCCTAACAGAAGTCTCGCCTCGTAGGTCTCTCCAGCCGTCCCTCCCCCACCTGGCAGCATGGTGCTCGTCCCCCTGCTGCCCCCACTGTCCTGCCTGTTGCTTTTTAAGCCCCTTCCTCCCTTCTCCTATCCTGTCTACCTACCTGCGGATAACCCCCATCAGAAGTCTCGTCTCGTGGGTCTCTCCAGCCGTCCCTCCCCCACCTGGCAACACGGTGCTCGCCCCCCTGCTGCCCCTGCTGCACCGCCTGCTACCTCCCGAGCTGCTGTGGCTGCCGCTCCCACAGCAGGTGTAGCAGGAGCAGGGGGGATTGGGGAAGGAAATACTGGGGCAGTCGCGACTGGGGCCGGGGGTACCGTAGGGCAGCAGCAGCAGCAGGGGTTGGGGCAAGCGGTGATTGTGCTGGGGGGAGCACGTGCAGCTGCTGCAGCTGGTGCCACTGGTGGGGAAACGGCAGGAGGAATGGGGACGGAGGCAGGGATAGGCACAGCTGCTGCTGCTGCTGCAGCACTGACAGGAGCAGCAGCAACAGGAGCAATGACAAACGGAGCAGCAGGAGCAGCTACGACAAACGGAGCAGCAGGAACAGCAGGAGCAGCAGGAGCAGCAGGAGCAGCAGGAGCAGCAACAACCACCACGGGGACGTGGGTGCAAGCCACAGAGTTTCTAGACTGGATCAGAGCGACCTTGCGCGAGGGGGGAGGGGGGCCTGTGACTGTACAGGGGCCCAGGGGAGAGTGGCAGGTGGATGGGGAGGATTTGATGGATATCCTGCAGCAGGAGCTACCGGGGGAGGTGCGATTCACAACCACTATAGTCACAGGGGAGGGGTGGCCGGGTGTGGAAGGGGGTGGGGATGGGTTAGGAGTGGGGTTGGGGCCTGGTGGGGTTGGGGTGGGGGGAACGGGAAGGGGGGAGAGGGGAGAGGGGGATGCGGGAGGGGATGGTGCGGATGGGGGAAGGGATGAGGGGAGAGGGGAGGGGGCGAGGGACGAAGGTGGGAGAATGGGGCGGGATAGGGAAGGAGGGGAAATAGGGGTTGGAGAAAGAGAAGGGGCAACGACGGAAGTGGAGGAAGAGGAAGAGGATGAGGATGTGGAGGAGGAAGGAGAGGAAGATGGAGAGGAAGAGGGAGAGGAGGAGGAGGGGGAGGATGAGATGATGGACGGGCAGGGGCTGATGCTGCTGGGGGAGGAAGAGATGAGAGAAGTGGGGGGTGAAATGTTTTCAGATACGGATAATGACACTGGTGATGATGATGAGGAGGAGGATGGGAATGGTGCTGGTAATGGTGCTGGTAATGGTGCTGGTACGGGTGGGGATGGTGCTGGTGCTGGTGGGGATGGGGATGGGGATGAGGTGATGCAAGATGCTGCGAGTCAGGGGTTGGAAGAGGATGGGGATGAGGGGCAGCAAGGGGGGGGGGGACCACCCGAGCAGCAAGATGGACAGACCCAAGGGGTGCCGGGGACTGCAGCAGCAGCAGCACCACATGTGGAGCACGCAGGTGCAACAGCACCCGCGGCAGCAGCGGCAGCAGGGGCAGCAGCGGCAGCAGGGGCAGCAGGGGCAGCAGGGGCAGAAGGGGCAGCAGGGGCAGCAGGGGCAGCAGCAGTGGAGCAGGCAGGTGCAGGTGGCATGGGCACTCATGGCATAACCACAGTGCCGCCCATTGCTGCAGTGCTGCCCGTTGCTGCAGTGTTGCCCGTTGCTGCAGTGCCGCGCGTTGCTGCAGTGCCGCCCGTTGCTGCAGTTGTGGGAGCAGGCACTGCCATTCCTGAAACCACAGCAGGAGCCACCGTACCGACAGGGAGAGCCGGAGCCACCGTACCGACAGGGGGAGGGCAGGGAAGTGGAGGGGAAGCACGAGCAGCGGCAGGGGGAGCGCGAGCAGGGGCAGGGGGAGCGCGAGCAGGGGCAGGGGGAGCGCGAGCAGGGGAGGGGGGAGCTGGCGCAGCCAGGGGGAGGTTGGATGCGGTGCAGGCTGCAGCAGGGGAGGTGTTTCGTGGGTTCTGGATGAACATTCCCCCCATCAGGCGCACTGCCAGGCTGAGGCGCAGGGGTATCTCGGGGAGGGCGGATCTGTTTGGGCAGGCAGGGGGAAGGGGGAGAGGAGTGGAGGAGAGGGAGAGTGGGGCGGTGGTGGGCGGGGGGATGGCGAGTGGGGTGTGTGTGAAGGGGTGTGGGCATGTGATACATCATTCGTGCATGGACCAGTACTTTTCAAGTCTCTACCAGAGGTGAGTGTGCTGTTACTAGCTGGGAGTGTGTCTTATCCAGGTGTGAAGGGGTGTGGGCATGTGATACATCATTCGTGCATGGACCAGTACTTCTCAAGTCTCTACCAGAGGTGAGTGTGCTGTTACTAGCTGGGAGTGTGTCTTATCCAGGTGTGAAGGGGTGTGGGCATGTGATACATCATTCGTGCATGGACCAGTACTTCTCAAGTCTCTACCAGAGGTGAGTGTGCTGTTACTAGCTGGGAGTGTGTCTTATCCAGGTGTGAAGGGGTGTGGGCATGTGATACATCATTCGTGCATGGACCAGTACTTCTCAAGTCTCTACCAGAGGTGAGTGTGCTGTTACTAGCTGGGAGTGTGTCTTATCCAGGTGTGAAGGGGTGTGGGCATGTGATACATCATTCGTGCATGGACCAGTACTTCTCAAGTCTCTACCAGAGGTGAGTGTGCTGTTACTAGCTGGGAGTGTGTCTTATCCAGGTGTGAAGGGGTGTGGGCATGTGATACATCATTCGTGCATGGACCAGTACTTCTCAAGTCTCTACCAGCGGTGAGTGGGGTGTGTGTGTGAAGGGTTATGGTGTGGGCTGGGCATGTGATTCACCACTCGTGCATGGACCAGTACGTATTGAGTCTGTACCAGTACAACGATGAGTGGTTCCTTTTATGAGGGTCTCGCTGTGATGGACCCTGAACTTTGAGTCGACTCAAAAGTCGAGGTGGACATGGTAGATGATGAGGAGGAGAGGAAGAGAGCACGCCTTGCCGACTTTTGAGTCGACTCAAAAGTCAGAACGAATTGAGTCTGTATCATTGATGAGTGGTTCCTCTTACGAGGGTCTCGTTGTGGTGGACCCTGAATCTGAGACATCTCAATCCCCACCTCTCCCAAGCTCTCCCCACCGCTTCCCACCCACCCACCTCTCCCCCCCGCTGTGGGCTCATGGCAGGTATCTGAGTGGTTCTTTCTATGAGGGATCGTCAGTGGTGGATCCTGAAGCGGTGAGTGGGTGGTGCATCTTGTCAGGCGATTGGTTCCAAACAATGTGAAGCAAAAATTAAAAGAGTTGCTGTTGAAGCTACAACTTAAGGCGAGCAATCGTTCCAACCTCATGCATTTATCTTGTTGACTGCATTGGCCTTACCTTTCCTCCTCTCTGCCCCTCAATCACATCCTGCTTGTTTTATTCTTTCTCCCCTCCTGTCTCTGTCCTTCGCCCGCCCCACACCACACTACATCGCAGGGCGAGTTCCTGTGTCCCGTGTGCCGCCGTCTCGCCAACGCCACGCTCCCTCTGCTCCCATCTCGCTCCCCGCCTCTGCCCTCCCCACCGCTTCCCTCTCGTCCTCTCCCGGCTGCTATGCCCTCTCCTCCCCTCCTTGGGGTTCCCCTCTCCACCCCCCTTGCTGCACTCGCTGAATCCCAAGTACGGGTGCATGAAGCAGCGCAGACCGGGGCAGCAACAGCAGGAAGAGAGCTTGTAGTAGCAGCAGCAGAAGCAGCAGTGCCTAGAGTAGCAGCCGGAGAGACCAGAGAGCATGGGTCTGAAGGCATGTCAAGTGGAGCGTCTGGTTTGGCTGGTGTAGTGTGGAGAATAAGGGAGGCGGAGAGCAGGGTGAGAGAACGTAATCTCCGAGCCTGCATTGTTGCCGAACCTGCTGTCAGGTCCGGGGAAGGCAGGCTCGGCACCAGAGCTGCGTCAAGGAGAGATTCAAGTGGTGGGACCACCACGAGCAGCACTGAAGGTATTATTAGGGGGGGCTCCTCTTACCCTAGAGAAACAGGTACCGTGGTAACGGGTAATGCGGTAACTGGTAGCGCGGTAATTACCCCTCAAGACATGGTAACCAGACAGTCTCCACGTATGCAGGAGGCTATAGAGGCCACAGCCATGCGCATCTGCCAGGTGGCACGCTCCGATTCGTCGAGATTCCGCCACGTGGCGCTTGGTCGCGAGCTACAAGGCCTGCTGATCTGGCAGAGTTTGGAGTACACCGTCGCCTGCGCTGAGCTGGCAGGGCGAGGGGCACCACCTGGCTGTCCAGCTGGCAGAGTTGACACGTCAGCACAGTTCTGGGGGCTGGGGGAGACAGCAGCAGCAAGGATGAGGACAGGTGGCGCGATGTGGTTGACTACTGCTGAGGCAAGAGTTGCGGCATTGGCTGCTTGTGCGGAGGAGGAAGGGGGGAAGGGGGAGTGGATGGAGGGGAGGGCAGAGGGAGGGGGGAGTGGAAGTGCAAGCATTGGTGAGCGTGAGCAAGAGAGAGGTGGGTCAGGCAGTGCGATGCAAGTAGGGAGTGCAGGAGGTATGGAGGTAGGAGGGGATACCAGCAGTAGTGGTCAATCGAGGGGTGAAGGAGGGAACAGCATAGGAAGAGAGGTGGGCGGTGGTGAGGAGAGGAGCAGGGATGGTGAAGGGAGGAGTGGCGGTGGGGAGGAGAGAGGTAGCAGTGAGACGATGGACGAGGAGAGGAGACATCAGGAGTGGAGGAGGCAGCTTATAGAGAGGATGCAAGGGGGTTCGCAAGGGGGGGGAAGGAAGAGGAAGGCGGAGGGCACAGTAGGAGCACTGGCTCGCCTGGCAGTGGCGCAGGCGTCTCACAGCACACATGCTGTCTTACTCAGGACACGTGGCATGCTGCTATTGGTGGACAGCTTGGCCCCTGGGACACCGTTGGAAGCAGCACAATCCGCACCTCTTGTTGCAGCCGTCCCTTCATCTGGTTCTCCCCACCCCTCCCACCCCTCCCATCCCTCCTCCTCCTCTGCTTCCACGTCCACCTCCCCACCTCCCTCTCTCCCCTCCTCCCTCACCACCGCCCCATCCCCATCCTCTCCCCTGGAGGAAAACGCCTTTCTCCGCCTCCTCGCCTCCCCCGCTCTCGTCCGTGACCCCTTCCTCTCCCTCTCCCGCCTCCTCTACTGCCTCCTGCCGCTGCCCCTTCCCCACCTCGCCTCGCCTTCCCACCCATCTCAACACACAGCTTCAGGTTCGATGCAGCACAGAGCATACAGTGAGGAGGGTACAGGGGGTGTGGTGAGGGATGCAGTGCATCTGGCATACACAGCAGCAGTGGCTCAAGCGCTGCTGCTTCTCGCCCCTGCTGCCATCCGCCTAGGCTTACTCCCCTCTCCTCTTCCTCTTGGCAGTGTTCTTAATCAGGCATCCTCAGGGCCTAATAGCGTTCCTGAGCCTGCCCCTGCTCTGCCGCCGTTCCTCTCGTCTCTGCTCGCTGCCATGCTGCATGCGCTAGCTGCTGGTTCCCCGCCGTCTACCCCAGCGACAGATGCTGCTGGTGCTGCTGCTACACCTGCAACCGTCACACCATCAGCAGCAGCAGCAGAAATACCACCAATCCCCTTGCTCGCCACATCTCCCTCCCACTCTGCCTCTACCCCCTCCTCCCCCTCTGCACCTCTCCTGCCGGACCTCCTCCTCCAGCAGACCTCGTTCCTGGATGCCGTGCGTCGCCTCTCCCTGCCCTTCCTGCGCCGCTCCGCCCTCCTCCTGCACCTCCTCTCCCGCAACGTCCTCCCTCTGCTGCTCATGCCCTCCGCTCCCTCCTTGCTCTTCCCCTCCCAACCGTCAACCATCCCCTCCCACCCCTCAATGTTCCCGTCCCCAACTCCCTCTCCTTCTCTCTGCGCCCCCTCCACTTCAACCGCCCCGCCCTCCCACCTCCATCATCCCAACCAACCAGGACCCTCGACCCCATCCCCTGCCACACCCCCCCCACCACCACCATCAGTACCACCACCATCACCAGCATCATCAGCAGCACCACCATCAGTACCACCACCATCACCAGCATCATCATCATCACCATCACCACCAGAACCATCATCATCATCATCACCATCACCATCCACAGCCACCGCTGCCCTGCCTCCGTGGGTGGGAGACACCCAGGCGGTGGCACAGCAGGAGGTGGCGGAGGCAGCTGTGTGGGAGAGGGAGTTGCATCTGCCTCCGCTCCCTGTGTTGCTCTCAGACCCTGCTGCTGTGCACCTGATGCTCTCCTGGTGCCGCCACGCTGCTGCTGCTGTTTCTGCTGCTAATGCGGCGACTGCTGCTAGGCCAGGCTCGTCACCTGCTGCTCCTGCAGCACCACCGGCCGAAGTAGCAGCAGCAACAGCAACAGCACCGGCAGCTGCAACGGCGGCAGCAGCGGCAGCAGTGACTGCAGTCATCTCGCCTCTGTCGTTGCACCAGCCATCGCTCGCCTTGCCCTTCCACCTCGTCTCCCTCCCCCACCGCTACCTCGACTTCTTCCAATGGTCAGTTCCCACCCTCCCCTTCCCTCCCTGCCCCGGCCCTCCTTGACCCCACCTCATGCTGCTACATGCAATCAGTTCCTACCCTCCCCAGTCATCCCTCTCCCCCCCTTGGGCTACCACCTAAATCATATCTAAGCCCTCCTCCTCCTCCTCCTCCTCCTCCTCCTCCTCCTCCTCCTCCTCCTCCTCCTCCTCCTCCTCCTCCTCCTCCTCCTCCTCCTCCTCCTCCTCCTCCTCCTCCTCCTCCTCCTCCTCCTCCTCCTCCTCCCTCGCCGCTGTTAGTGAGCCGCGTGCATTGTGCCACCTGCTGCCTTTTGCGCCGCCTCAGAACTTCCCTTCACCCTCCCCACCCTCCTCTCCTCCCCATTGCAGCTACGTGAATGAGCCGTGTGCATCGTGCCAGTTGGTGCCAAAATAGCCTGCCTTCAATTCAATGTCTCCTTCCCCTCCTGCTTTCTCCCCGCCTTGTCTCCTCTTTTTCTGCAACTACGTGAATGAGCCGTGTGCATCGTGCCAGTTGGTGCCAGAATAGCCTGCCTTCAATGTCTCCTTCCCCTCCTTCTTTCTCCCCGCCTTGTCTCCTCTTTTTCTGCAGCTACGTGAATGAGCCATGTGCATCGTGCCAGTTGGTGCCGGAGCAGCCTGCCTTCTGCCTTCTCTGCGCTTCGCTGCTCTGCGGATCCACCAGGTGAGGCCCTCGCACTGCCCCACCCCTTTCCTCTCTTGTGTGATGAGATGACTCTACAAACAACTCAAATGCCAGTTGGTGCCAGAACAGCCACCCAACTGCCTGCTCTCTGCTGCACTGCTCTGCGTATCCCCCACGTGGGTGGCTCGCACTGCCCCACGTGGGTGGCTCGCACTGCCCCACGTGGGTGGCTCGCACTGCCCCACGTGGGTGGCTCGCACTGCCCCACGTGGGTGGCTCGCACTGCCCCACGTGGGTGGCTCGCACTGCCCCATCCCACCAGTCTCCTCTCACGCTTCACATCCAATGCTTCAGTATATTTACCCACCCCCCCTTGTCTCCAGCCCGCCCCCGCTTGTTCCCAACCTGGTTTCCCGTTGGTCCCTCGCTTCTCCCACCGCCTTAAAACAGTGCTCCTTCTGCTTTCCCACGCTTCTTTTGACTTTTGAGTCGACTCGAAATTCGCTTCTCCCACCGCCTTAGAACAGTGCTCCCTCTGCTTTCCCACGCTTCTTTGATCACACCCTACCTTCCATTACCCCATGCTCCCTTGCTTGTGTCTCCTTCCCTGCAGTCGTGTGCATGAATCAAGGAGTGGGAGCACCAAGAGGGGCTGCTGTGGGGGGAGCTACGCACATGCCAAGGAGTGCGGGGCTGGCCTGGGGGTGTTCCTCCTCGTGCGGGTATGTATGTGTGTGCAGTGCACGTAACCAAGTCTTTTGCGTCACCCCAGAAGTCACCTCAGGGTCTATTCCTGTGGGGGGAGCTACGCACATGCCAAGGAGTGCGGGGCTGGCCTGTGGGTGTTCCTCCTCGTGCGGGTATGTGTGAGCATGCATATGGCCATGTGCATGCACATTGTGCACACTCTTCCCCTGGAGAAGTTACACACATGCCAAGGAGTGCAGGACTGGCCTGGGGGTTTTCCTCCTCGTGCGGGTATGTGTGGCAGTGCGAGCAAGGCCAAGGCCATGTACACGTGCAGTGAGCAATTTCTCTCTGTCATCATCATGGCATGTACACGTGCAGTGAGCAATTTCTCTCTGTCATCATCATGGCATGTACATGTGCAGTGAGCAATTTCTCTCTGTCATCATCATGGCATGTACACGTGCAGTGAGCAATTTCTCTCTGTCATCATCATGGCATGTACACGTGCAGTGAGCAATTTCTCTCTGTCATCATCATGGCATGTACACGTGCAGTGAGCAATTTCTCTCTGTCATCATCATGGCATGTACACGTGCAGTGAGCAATTTCTCTCTGTCATCATCAAGGCATGTACACGTGCAGTGAGCAATTTCTCTGTGTCATCATGGCCATGCGTGCATGGCCATGGCCTTGCTCGCACGTGCAATTAGCATTAGGGTATGTGTGCATAGTAGTGTAGTGTGCCATGCGCTGTGTACAGATGTGCTTTTTCTTTGCCTTGGTGAAAGCATCTTTGGCGAATCCATGCGAATCTGTTTAAAGGCTGTGTATCTGACGTGGTCGTGATTTACTAAACCTTGACTTTGATGTTAATTTTTCGTTCGTTCCCTGTTGTTCCCTTTTCCTCCGTTTGCAGCGCACTTCTGTGATGCTGCTGCGCCGAATGCGCTATGCCGCATGGCCTTCACCCTATCTTGACGCATATGGTGAAGAGGTGAGTACGTAACTGCTTTCTACTTAGAGCTCCAACGGTCCTCGAAGCAGGAGTGATATGCTGCTGTCCATTTTTCACTTAATTCCTCCTTTTTTTTAACTTAGTGCCTACTCTAACGTTACCTGGCGGCGTTGTGCATCACATCGCATTCACCAGGATGAGAACCTTCGGCGTGGGAAGCCACTGTATCTCAGCACCGACCGCTTCCACACCCTCCAATCCATGGTCAGTCTTGTTCTCTTGAGTCACTCGGCATCTTTTGAGTCGACTCAAAAGTCACCTTGAGTCGACTCAAAAGTCACCTTGAGTCGACTCAAAAGTCACCTTGAGTCGACTCAATAGTCACCTTGAGTCGACTCAAAAGTCACCTTGAGTCGACTCAAAAGTCACCTTGAGTCGACTCAAATGTATCTCAGCACCGATCGCTTCCACACCCTCCAATCCATAGTCAGTCTTGTTCTCTCGAGTCGCTCGGCATTTTTTTTGCTGCCCATGCGCTGGTTGAAGCATGCTGTGCTGACCCAATGGAATTCTGTGGTTTTTGCAGGTGGCATGTCATGGGGTGGATCACAATTCCCTCGTTCTCTCTCACTCCACGAGAGTACCCTTCTAGATTCAGAATCACACTGGCATTAACAGCTTCACTAGATACCATCCCATCTCTAGGTAGGTCGAGTTCTCTTTGTGAAAGGGTCTACGTCTGCAAGTTAGCTGCAAGTTAGCAAGCGTCTAGTTAGTTTTTGCTTCTCCGCTAAAGAGCAGGCAGATATGGATGGATTAAGTTCTCTTCTATCTTTTTGTAATTTGCTCCCGCACCTACGCACAGCACCGTAAAGCAAATCCCGATAACTAAATTACGCAAAGTGAGTATAGCAAGCAGTGGTATTGCATGGGGCAAAAGGAAAAGTGTTTGGTGCAATCATGGCTTCGGTTGTAAGAACGAGTGGCTTCGGGAAGGGCCCATGCTTGAAATCAACCTCGATAAACATCGCTCGATATCCCACCTGTGCAGCAGAGCAGCACAGCAGGAGGGAGAAAACAAAGCGAGATGAAGAAATATGGTTTCAACAAGCTTATGGATGGACACCGTGTGGTGTGGCACTAAAAGTATGTGTCATGTCAACGCATGGAAAGGAGGCCGGATGCAGAGACGAAGCGAGACAGCAAAGAAACTGGCACCTGAGTTGTTTGTGTGGAGAAATGGGACTGTCAAATGGGAGCATGTAGCATCAGCTGGGGCCAAAGTGCCAGGACCCATCAGGCTGCAGGGCAGGTGTCGAGTTTCGAGACATCTCATTTCTCGCTTTGGAAATGCGTTCATTGGAGGAGCTGAAGTGACTTTTGAGACGTCTCAACACACGCGCACCTTGGGAATGTCTTTGACGGATGAGCTGAAGTGCCAGAGCCCATCAGGCTGCAGCGCCAGTGACGACCCTGGCTTTGAGACACCTTGAGATTTTTTTTTTTTTTTTTTTTTGGAAGGAACTGAAGTGACCTCGGAGAGTTAAAAAAAAGAAAAGAAACGGAAAAGAAAAGACGCGCACCTTGGGAATGTCTTTGACGGCTGAGCTGAAGTGCCAGAGCCCGTCAGGGTGCAGGGTAGGTGGCGGGACGGCATACTGGGAGAACGGGATGGGCTGCACACACAGCGTGCCGAACTTGGCTATATAGGACTTTGGTAAACTCGTGAAGGGCACCGTGCTGGCAGGGAGGATGGGGGCAGGCGGGGCGGAAGGGAATAGAAGAGTCTTGAGATACCTCACAACTCTTCAAGGGAAAACAATTTGAGTCGATAAAAAAAGAACCCACACACACACACACACACACACACAAACACACACACACACACACACACACCCCTGCCACACCACTCACCACCCGGTGAGCCCCTGCTTGACGATGAATCGGAAGTCTCGCCTCTTGCTGCCCTGACTGGTGCGCCCCGTCCTGCACTAGGGGCAGAGGGGGTAGCGGTAGCGGGCATGGAGAGGAGGGGTGGGGGGGGGTTGGAAGGAGGGAATGGAAGACACGTGTCAAAGTGACGTCTCAAAAACTCACTTTTTACAAGGGGGTAGCGGGAATGGAGAGGGGTGTGGGGGGGGTTGGAAGGAGGGAATGGAAGAAAGGGAGGAAGGGAGAGAGATGCAGCCACTCATTGCAATGCATTTCAGAGGCTTATGAGTCGACCTTAAAAACACGATGATTTAGAGACTCTTAGGGTAACGATGATTTAGAGATTCTTAAAAGCAAAATGGTTTAGACACTCTAAATATTACGATGACTTACAATAAGAGGCAGCTCAACAGCCTTCATTTCAGCTCAACAGCCTTCATTTCAGCTCAACAGCCTTCATTTCAGCCCGCTCTAACCCTTCCTCACTCCCACCAGCCCCCCACATCTCCCCCCCTCTCCCTCCTCGTTCTCTGCTCCATCCCCTTCCACTCCCCATCCCCTTCTCCCCCGCACATCCCCTTCCGTTTTCCCTCCCCAAACCCTTCTCACCATGCTCTAACCGCCAGTGGCTTCCTGTCTGACGTGGCATGAATAGTGAACGTGGACCAATCAAACCGCCACGTCAGCCGCGGCCAGTCGACAGCTGGCAGCCTGGGAACGCAACTCCAGGGGCGGGTGTGTGCTGCTGTCGCCGCTGCTACCGCCGCCGACGCCGCTGCTGCTCCTGCATCTGCCTCTGAGAGACTTGAAGGAAGACGGTTTTGAGTGAGTGAGGATGAGGAGGAGGAGGAGGTGGTAGGGGTGGAGATGGGGTGCGTCCAGGTGAGGGAGGGGCGGGAGGAGGCGGGGAGAGAGGCACAGGAGGAGTTGATGTGGAGGAGAGAGGAGAAGACGGAGAGGGACGCATCATATGCCTGCCATGTTGGGGGGGGGGGGAGGGGACAAGGGTTTCAGGTTTAAGGTCGGGTTAGGGTTTAGGGAAAGGGAGTTGGAGGGGAGTGAAAGAGAGGGGGTACTGGAATAGGGATGGGATGGGTAGAGGAAGAGGAAGCATTTAATACACCTTACAAGGGTGTCTTAAATTGTGTCTTTAAGATACGCCTGCCATAATAAGTAGGGGAATAGGGACGGGAAGAGGAATGAGATGGAGCATGGATGGAGTGTCTGCCCTGTGGGGAAAATGGAGGCGAGTTTGAGACGACTCAACGGGAGATGGCAACAAGGGCGTGGGAGTGGATGGGGAGGGGAGAGAGGCAAGGAGAGAGAGAGGAGAAAGACGGTCCGTTCGTACCCACTGCGACATCTGAATGACCATGTGGTCCAGGTTGGCCACGATCTTGAAGAGAGTGGGGGCTGGCAGATCGTTGAAATAGAAGTACCTGCCAATCCAAGCCCAGCGAATTTGCATCAAGATGCAGGGGTGAGTGACATGAGAGGTGACCTTTGAGTTGACCCCTCTCTTTGTACACGTCACTTTTTATAAAAAAAGAAACAGAAACAGAACTGCTTCTGGGAAAGGTACTTCTAAGGCAAGTGCATTTGCAACCAGGGGTGAGTGAGAGCATGACCTGTGGAGAGTGGGTGGGTGGGTGCAAATCAAGCCGGGAGACACTCCTCCTTTCTACTGAAAGGGTTGATATGCTGTAATATCATAATATCATTTATCACATATCTTATATGTATATTTGTGTATATGGGGCACTCACGAGTCATCCATGGAGAAGAATTCGTCGTTGGAAGCGGCAATGAGCAGCTTCGGCATGGTCAGGCGGTCCCGGAAGAAGTACGGATCCGTGTAGCTCTGTGCAGAGGGGTTGGGAGGGGTTCGAGAGGATGGAAAGGTTGAACGGGTGGGAGGGGTTGGGAATAAGCAGCTCGTTCAGGCCGTAGAAGTTGAGCAGCCTGGGCATGGTGCGTGAGGCGGTATTTAAAATAAGTACAACTTTTTTATGCGCCTCAAAAAATGAGCAGCGAGGACATGGTGAGTGAGGTGGTATTAAAACATATTACGGATCCGTGTAGCCCTGGCAGAGGCAGGAGGAGGGAGAGCAGGGCGAGTGCAGCAGCGTGCAGGAGGGAGAGCAGGGCGAGTGCAGCAGCGTGCAGGAGGGAGAGCAGGGCGAGTGCAGCAGCGCGCAGGAGGGAGAGCAGGGCGAGTGCAGCAGCGTGCAGGAGGGAGAGCAGGGCGAGTGCAGCAGCGTGCAGGAGGGAGAGCAGGGCGAGTGCAGCAGCGTGCAGGAGGGAGAGCAGGGCGAGTGCAGCAGCGTGCAGGAGGGAGAGCAGGGCGAGTGCAGCAGCGTGCAGGAGGGAGAGCAGGGCGAGTGCAGCAGCGTGCAGGAGGGAGAGCAGGGCGAGTGCAGCAGCGTGCAGGAGGGAGAGCAGGGCGAGTGCAGCAGTGTGCAGGAGGGAGAGCAGGGCGAGTGCAGCAGCGTGCAGGAGGGAGAGCAGGGCGAGTGCAGCAGCGTGCAGGAGGTAGAGGCGGCACACCGAGCGGAGAACCATTGCCCACCACCTTCTCTCCACTCTCACCATGATGTGGCGCATCTGTGGCGAGTGCAGCAAGTGGGTGAGGTTGTAATCCGCATAGAACCGCCCCAGGATGGGCACGGCACCCAGGGAGTCGAGCAGGTGCTGCATGTTGGGCTGGAAGTTGATGAGATCGTAGCCGTACGATATGAACGCCACCACTCGCTGTAAGGGAGGGGAAGAGTAGGGGAGGGAGGGACGGAAGTGGTGAGGTTTGGGCAAGTGCCAAGGGTTTGGGTGAGTGCGGGCAACAGGTGCTGCATGTTGGGATGGAATGAAGTTGATGAGATCGTAGCCGTACGATATGAACGCCACAACTCGCTGTAGTGAGAGGGGGAGGAAGAAGGTTTTGAGGAGGGGGGAAGAGAGAGAGAGAGAGTATTCTGTGGAGGGGCGGAGCAGCGATGCGGCGTGAAAGGAGACGCGAAGTGGATTCAGCTGGGCTTGAAAAAACAAGGTGGAAGAAAGCGGATTGATTGACAATTCATCAAAAAGCATGTGCAGGGTGGAAGAGAACGAGCGGCAGATAAGCACGTGCCTTGTCAAGAGCAGCAGAGAGCCAAGCCATGCACGCGCGCTTGCTCACTCCAACGGTCACAAAGCCCTCGACCTGTGGGGCGGAGAGGGAGGGAAGAGGGGGAGTGGGGATGTGGAGAGAGCACGCAAGGCATGTGCAGTTTGGGAAGAGAGCGAATGAGACCATTCCAGTGCCATTCAGTGACAAGGACCGCTCGAGAGAGTGGCGTGGGGTGAGCTGGGTCAAGTAAGCATTCTTACTTGACTCACTCGCTCACTCATGCAGTCACTCAATGGCTCGTTCACTCACTCAATGGGGCACGTGGGGCAGCAGCACTCTGGCAGCGAGCTGCACTGCATCCATGGCTCGGGTAACGGATGTGGCCATGGGCATGTAGATGGGACGGGAGGGGGCTTACAGTACCCACCCATGCGGGGTACTGGCACTCACAACTCTCACCGGCACGTGGGGAATGAGCTCTCTGGCGGCGAGTTGCGCTGCATCCATGGCTCGGATGACAGACTTGGCCATGGGCATGTAGATGGGCCACTCGGGGGTGGTGGGGTCTTGCAGGGCCATCGCGAGGGTGACTGGCGGACCGGGAAGAGGGTGAGGGGTGAGGGTATGGGAATGTTGGATGGGCCAGTCGGGTATGTGCACATGAGGATGAGAGCTTGCAGCCATTACATTGCACGCACTCACCCACCACTCTACCACCCCTGAACTCTCTTCCTGCTGTTGCTGCTGACACCAGAGGCGAAACGGGCACCACTTTCCTCACACATGCTCACACCAGGGGGGTTAGGGTTATGGACTCGATATAGGGTGACTGGCTTACATGCGACGATCTCCTCCTCCTGAAGCTTCTGGCTCCTGCTGCTGCTGATGCCTGGTGGAGTGACGTGGAAGGTGATGGGCATCATGGGCTCCTCGTGCAGCATCACGCCCATTATGCCCAGATCCACCACGAGGCTGCATGCGAGGCGAGATTGTGAGAGGGAGAGAACGGAGAGAGGGGAAGAGGAGAGATGCACGGGGCACCAAGGTGAGAATGGGCATCATTGGCTCCTCGTGCAGCATCACGCCCATCATGCCCATGATGGGTATCATTGGTTGGCCCACCACCAGCCTGCACACCACAGTGGAAGCGCAGAGGGGAGGACGCTGATGATGGGTACCATCGCATTTCCTTTCACGCCTCTTCCTCTCACGCACCATTTTTAGCCACGCCCCTCCCACTCACGCCCCTCCCACTCACGCCCCTCCAACGCCCGCCCGCCCGGCCCTCCAACTCACGGGGCAGCAACGCGGATGAAGACAGCGTTCCCCATGGGCACGTGGTACCCGCTGTCGTCCTTGCCGTCGTCGCTGCCCGGGTAGATGCAATGGGCAACAAGGTTCTCACGACTCCCCCTCCCACTCACGCACCACACCACGCCCCACGCCCACTCACGGGGCAGCAACGCGGATGAAAACAGCGCTCGCCTTGGGCACGTGGTACCCGCTGTCGTCCTTGCCGTCGTCGCTCCACCCCGCCCCAATGAAGAAGAGCACAAGGCCCTTGCTGGCATTGGGCATGTTGTCCGGCGCCTGGGAGGGTGAAAGAAGAGGGGAGGGGGGGGGGAAAGCACAAAAAGTTTGTCTGTTTGGGTTGGGCACATGCTACCCACGGTCGTCCTTGCCGTCATCGCTCCACCCCGCCCCAATGAAGAAGAGCACAAGGCCCTTGCTGGCATTTGGCATGTTGTCCGGCGCCTGGGAGAGCGAGGAAGCACAGCCAGGCGGGATGAATTGAAGGAGCTTATATTTGCAATTGCAAATCACAAACTGGGGCGGTTTCCCAAGGCAACTCAGACATCACATGAGAGTCACAAAGCGGTTGTTTCAAAACCAAATAGCTTTTCAATATAAAAACCGCGTGTGATGAGTCTGCTTTTGAGTCGGCTCAAAAGCAAATCATATGAGAGTCACAAAGTGGTTGTTTCAAGACCGTCTGACGGAACAACATGCACTGCAACAAAAACTAGCGACGCTTTTTTATCGAAAAATGCCCAGTGTTCACAAAAAAGCGTTAGGTGGTGACACCAAGAACATCAGACTGGTACTTCAGTTGACAAAAAATCAGCTCACAATGAGGGTGAGGTGGTGCCACCAGAGGAATCGGTTGGTAACGGTCTGGTTGAGCCAGCGGTGAGCGTTCACCAGCAGCACATACCCCGTCCACCACCCTCCGGCCTCCTTGGCTCGCATGCGATTGCCCGTGTCCTTCCACCTGCCAACACCAGGGCAGAGAGAGTAATGAACACCAAGAAGGATGGGTTGGTGAGAGTGACAGCACTATTCAGCCACAGGTGGAATCTCATGGAGTTTAGAGCCGAATGCATGATATTTTCTACCGCATGGGCCAGAAGATTTAGCTAAAACTGCATGGCCGGCTTCGCATCAGCAAAGGCGAATGGTTCCTGCTGCATGCAACCATTGAAAAACTCACCCGAATTCCGCATCCGCGCTATAGACATATCCGTCCAGCAGTGTACCGCGACAGTTCCTCGCCGTCTCGCAGACGCTTTGCGGGAAAAGCGGCGAGCCGGACGACTGTGCGATATCGGCGGAGAGCAGGTTTGGTCGCACGAGCTCGAAGAATGTCAAATAAGCGACGGTCAGTGCGACGGCGAGCGGCAGAATGCGACGAGCCAGAGCCCCCTGGAGTCGCCTGATGAGGACCCCAGGGCTTGACGCGTGCGGACGCGTCATAATAAACCGTTGTAAAGTACTGATTAGTTGCCTCACATTAAGAACCAAAATACAGTACGTCGCTACTGGTAAGAGCCTAAATGCATAGGCATTTACGATCTCGGGCCGGCTCCATATAGCTGAATGCAACAACGAAACCACGGGGTGATATTTCAGTCGAGTATCTACTAAAATGCGGGTGCTGAAAGTGGTTTCTATTTTGGGATTTTTCAATGTGGGTCTTGAAATGGACACTTTTAGAAGTTGCTTCGATTGCAGGATAAAGAGAAGCAGGGGGGTACGACGTCCAAGAGCAATCCTACGCTACTGTTTGGAACACCAGCCATTTTAGCTGTTTATGATTATCTTGAGGTAACCTCAACAGACCTAATCAGGCATCCATATTTGCCACATATTATTCCTTATTTTCTTAGAATCTGCTAATTCTTCAAAACTTCGTAAGAAGTTTGATTTGACACCCCAACAACCACGAGCCATGAATGAGTTTATCCGCCAAATTATTCTGCCATTCTCCAGACATTGGTGAGTCGGTCTCAGGCGAGTACATACGAAGCAACAGAAGTGGAGACTGAGGACGCGTCACCTTTTTTCGATCCCAGCACCGATCCTACGCAGGATCGTTTTTTAGCGCATGCATCATGCATCATCGCCCATTCACTACGACATGCAGTTCGACGACTTTCCATTACCTTTGGTCCATAATCCTTGGTGAAGTTTCTGAAGCGTGATTGACTCGGTGATTCTTGGTGATTCATTCACCGAGTGATTCACTCGGCAATTCTACTACAGGATAGCATAGGAATCCTGATTACAAGTTTGTAATGGACCCTGATGTAGATTAGGGTCAATTTCAGTAGACTCTTCCGAAGATTCGTCTGAGTAGATTCGTCGCTTCAAGCAGTTATATCATCAAATGGCGGCACGTTCTGAGAGCTCTCAAAATTCACCAGGAGCGTCGCACCATCTAGAAAAGGAGGTTCGGCTCGAGCCAGACGCCGAGGCTGTCGAGGAGATTCTAGAAGATGACGCGGAAGATGCGGAGAAGAATCGCGAAACTACGCGGAAAGAGCGACGAGGGGAAGCGGAGGCGGCAAGGGAGACTGGTGGGAGGGAAGGTGGAGACGAGGTGGGGCAAGGGGAGGAAGGGGAGGAAGAGGAGGAAGAGGAGGATTGGGAAAGGGAGGAGCATCTAACGATCGGTGATATAATGAATCGGGTGGGTGTGCTTGTCATGACTTGACCTGTCCCACCATTAAGCAGTACATTTCAAGACTCGCGACACATTGCAGTCCTCCAGTGCCTGACTGACACTCCGCACTCTACTGCACTATCCTGTCCTATTCTTTTCCTGTCATGTCTGGCTGGTGCACGCTGGAGTTGGAGGTTTTGTTGTTTAGGCCCCGCAAAACAATACTTCTACCCTGCCGGTCTTCCTCCCTCCCATACCGCGCATTCATGCAGGCAATCGCGGAGCAAGCGTTCCCGGGAGGAACAGTAGCCTTTGGCTCATTCGAGGGCCCTGTTTTCCACGCCTGTGAGTGCCATGCCATCATCTCACCCCTAGCAAACAGCTTCTTGTCGAGACACCTTAGAATCCGCCCGATAGCAGACCGTTTATCAGATTGCTTGATGATATACAGCATTTATGTTATCAGATTACTCCACCCGCATGCGAGTTGACTTTTGAGTCGACTCAAAAGTCATCTGATATACAGCATGTATGTTATCAAATGACTCCACCCGCATGCCATGCAATGGTCTTCACAAATCCGCCACCCTTTTTCTCCGTGTTCTCTCATTGGCATGCGCTGTTCCATGATACTTGGCGCATGGCTCATGCTCCACTGACATACGACGCATAACCTGACTGGGACTCTCAATCAACCAGCCTTCGGCACTTATACTTAGTACGGTATCTTATACTTTACTGTCCTTCCAGTGCTGTCAAGTGTGTCGGTTTTGTTACGCTTCACTTCCGCCTTTCCATCAATTGGTCTCTTTCGTTCAAAAGCCTCATTTACTAGTTAAGTTCATTTGGTTTAAGTTCATTTTGTTTAAGTGTCTCATGTCAATGCCTTGTCGCCTCTCGCTGCTCATCCCTCTTCTTCCCTCCCAGTGATTGCAACAGACCCATCACCTCAGACTCGCTCTGGGACCTCGCCTCTCTCACCAAGGTGAATGGGAAGAGGGGGAAAGGGGGGAAGGGTTGAAGGGGGGTAGGGTTTGAAAGTTGTGAATGGGTGGCTCCAGTGATTGCAACAGACCCATCACCTCAGGCTTTGCTCTGGGACCTCGCCTCGCTCACCTAGGTTGTTGGGAGGGGTGGAGTGGGGTGGGGGGAAGGGAAAGAAGGAGGGCAAGACGGGGGGGCGTGTTTCTGAAAATGGGTGGTTGCCATATCCCTGCCATGAACCTCCATATCAGGTTCCTTGGAATATGAGTGCACATTGGCCGTTGACTGCACTGACTCACGTTCCTCACCCACCCATCCCATGTGCCCTTGCATGGCTGCAGATCATGGCCACTGTTCCCGCTGCAATGATCCTCTACGAGAAAGGTCTATTGGGTAGGCTGCTGCTCCTCCTCCTCCCCCCCTTCCCCCCTTCGCCACGCTGCAACCCCGCCCCATACCGCCCGCTCCTTATCTGCTCCTTTCGTTGCACCCATGGTCTATCATCAATCTCTCGGCACTACCAAACACGTAGTCCCCCCTCAGCACCACCACCACTACCAAACTTAGATGCCCCACTGCATCGTTGCCAGCCAGCCTGCATGCGGCACGAACGGGAAGCATGTGTTGACGGTGCACATGCTGCTTTTGAGTCGACTCTGACAAGCCTCTGAGGTGTTCTGAGCGCCTTTGAGCGACTGAGGTGTTTCTAGGCGTGTTTGATGTCACACTACCGAACCCCCTCCCATCCCCCACCACCACCACTACTACCAGACTTACAAGCCCCAGTGCATCGCTACCTACCTGCTTTCGGAGCAAATGGCAAGCATGTGGTGACGGTGCAGATGCTGCTGATGCACACCGCTGGGCTGAGGGAGTTCCACCCCTTCTTCGCCCTCCAGCTCTCCACTCGTCAGCAGGTGCGCGCTCTTGCCCTATAGCATCCATCCAATTCTCTCAACACAGCAGACAGCAGGTGTGGTCTCGAGGTCTGAGGGGAATGAAAGGGGTGTGCATCGTCGCGAGGAATGGAAGGGCAGTAACTGTGTGAAACAGCAAGCATGTGGTGACGGTGCAGATGCTGCTGATGCACACCGCTGGGCTGAGGGAGTTCCACCCCTTCTTCGCCCTCCAGCTCTCCACTCGTCAGCAGGTGAGCTCTTATGCTCTGAGACTTTTAATCTCCTCAATACAGCAGACAGCAGGTATGGTTTGGGGCAATCTGAAAGCTCAAATCTAGCAGACAGCAGGTGTGCTTTCTTGCTCTGAGACATAACATACCCCCTATAGTCACGTTACAACTGACTGAGAGATATTTTTTCTTGACCTGTTTCACGTGACTCGGTCACAGGAGATTGATTCTATTTTGGCAGGCTGCCTCTGCTACCCCCCTTAAGTCACATTTTAATTTGCAATATTCTTTCCTCGCTTTTTTCACGTGACTCAATCGCAGGTGATTGACTTTATAATGGCGGACCATCTCTGGTACCCCCCTATAGTCACAACCCGCTACAGCGACCTCTCCATGATCGTGCTGGCGCTCGTGATCGAGCGAATCACAGGCTGCCACCTCAGCACGTTCGTGCACCGGGAGATCTTCAGCCGGCTGGGCATGACAAGCACAGCGTTTCGACCAATCCCAGGGCATCACGGCAGCACGTTCCGACCAATCGGGGACTCAGGAGGATTTGATCCACGTGTGGTCCCTACAGAGGTGGATTCTCTGCATCGCAAGAAGCTGCTGTGGGGAGAAGGTGAGAGAGGGAAGGGAGGTGAGAGATGGGAGGGAGAATCGGGGAAATGAGGGGCTTAAGAAGGTGGATGTTACAAGGCTGCAGTGGGTGTTGATTCCCGTGTGGTCCCTACAGAGGTGGAGTCGCTGCATTCCAAGAAGCTGCTGTGGGATGGCTTTTGAGAATTCTCGGTGCGACTTTTGAGAATTCTCAGTGCGACTTTTGAGAATTTTCGGTGCGACTTTTTAGAATTCTCGGTGCGACTTCTGAGAATTCTCAAAAGTTCCTGTGTCGTCCTTACAGAGGTGGAGTCGCTGCATTCCAAGAAGCTGCTGTGGGATGGGGAGGGTTTGAGACGCTGCAAACTGCGTACGGAGCATCATTTGTGTACAAATGTGGTGTCCTAGGGGTCCCAGTGCAGGCTATGCAGCGCTATTCCTGACTGACTGCCCCCACTCACTGACTGACCGCCTTCCCACTCACTTACTTCCCAGCCGTACCATCTCATCGCTGCGCCATTCCCCCATCCCCCCTTTCCCTCTTTCACCCCTCTACTCCCTTCCCCCCTTGTTCCCCTCCCCCTCCCCGCCAGTGCACGATCCCACGGCATGGATCATGGGGGGTGAGGCGGGTCATGCAGGGCTGTTTTCGACCATTCTTGACGTCGCCAAGGTGATTCACCCAGACCTATGCGTGGAGTTGGACTCAGGGAAAGGGCGTATCTATCTGTGGTTATGGGTGAGGTGAGTGCATGCATGTGTCTATAGACTCTATACCAGGTCATGCAGGGCTGTTCTCGACCATTCTTGACGTCGCCAAGGTGATTCACCCAGACCTATGCGTGGAGTTGGACTCAGGGAAAGGGCGTATCTATCTGTGGTTATGGGTGAGGTGAGTGCATGCATGTGTCTATAGACTCTATACCAGGTCATGCAGGGCTGTTCTCGACCATTCTTGACGTCGCCAAGGTGATTCACCCAGACCTATGCGTGGAGTTGGACTCAGGGAAAGGGCGTATCTATCTGTGGTTATGGGTGAGGTGAGTGGATGCATGTGTCTATAGACTCTATACCAGGTCATGCAGGGCTGTTCTCGACCATTCTTGACGTCGCCAAGGTGATTCACCCAGACCCATGCGTGGAGTTGGACTCAGGGAAAGGGCGTATCTATCTGTGGTTATGGGTGAGGTGAGTGCATGCATGTGTCTATAGACTCTATACCAGGTCATGCAGGGCTGTTCTCGACCATTCTTGACGTCGCCAAGGTGATTCACCCAGACCTATGCGTGGAGTTGGACTCAGGGAAAGTGCGTATCTATCTGTGGTTATGGGTGAGGTGAGTGCATGCATGTGTCTATAGACTCTATACCAGGTCATGCAGGGTTGTTCTCGACCATCCTTGGTGGTTTCCAAGGTGATTCACCACAACCCCCTCTCCCTCCTGCTTCCCTTCTTCCCTTCGTATGTAGTTTGCGCGCTGCATGCTAGCAGGGGGCACAGACCCAACGATGGGGCATCAGCTCGTGTCATCACGTACCCTCCGCCTCTTCACCACACCACCTCCCCCTTCGGACCACAACCCTCGACCATTTGCCCTCGGGTAACTAACCCCTTCTTGTAGGTGTGTTTTGGATGATTGCCCCCATATGCCTCTGACCACAGCCCTCGCCCTTTCGTCTTGAGCATTCACCCTGTCGTGTTCACTAGGCTGACCCCATTTTGGTTGGGATTCACCCAGTACTCGTTTTTTAAAGGCACCAATACACATTTATACTTTCTTCGTAATCTAAACACCGCCAGCATCTCTCTTTTGTGTTCTCCTGATCCGCTCCCTGTCGCCTTCTGTCTTTCTCGCCCTTTCTCCTTCATTCTCTCTCCGTCTCTGCTGGAATCTCCTGGCTCGGTGCCCTTGCTAGCCTTGCTCCCTCCACTCCGTGCTCCTGCTTCAACCTTGCTCTCTCTCCACTCACGCGCTCCTGCTTCAGCTTGGGGCCAACAAACTTCTCAGTTCCCAGTTCATCTTTCCCTTGTTGCCAGCCACTCACCGCATCTCTACTTTGACTTGTTCGTTTCGGTTCTCCCGCCTACCTGTCATTACTCCCTATATACGCTATCTTCCTAGCATTTTATAAGTCACGAATTTATATCTTGTTCACCTATTCTAAGATTAAAATCGTGACATCTCTCTCAGGTGGGACGTGGCAATCAGAAGGGGCAAGGATGGGTACACATCAGCGGGTCGATTCATGGGGCCTCGCACATTTGGTCATACGGGCTTTACTGGTGAGACATTGTGGTATGAGGCAGGTGGTTTAATATGTTATAAACGAATCAGCCACATCAGTGGGTAGATTCATGGGCCCACGCACATTTGGTCGTACGGGCTTCACTGGTGAGACGCTGTGTCATGGCGTCTGATCCTCTCGCTTCTACCTGTGTCATCACCTCCACTAGCTCATCATGTGGGAGGGAGAATAGCTGAGAAAACAAGAAATACATAAAACTATAAAAAAAAAAACACACAAAAAAAAAACCACACACACACACACACACAATCAAACAAACAAACCTGCCTTCATTTGTTCTCTGTACTCTGGAAATTCCCACCACAGGCACATCGTTGTGGATAGACCCTGATCGCAATACCTTTGTGGCTCTGCTCTCCAATGCCGTACACCCCTCCGTGGTGAGAGAAGAGAACCTTTCAGTCTTATCATTGTTTCCTGAAATTCTTACAAAACACAAGGGGGGGGGTTGAAGTCATTTACTCACCCAGCGTCCCTCACCGTTCGCGATGTCTGTCCTCTCTTCGCCGACACTGCTGTCACCACTCTCAGCCAACTGGCCCTCTTGCTACTTAGGCTCACTCCCACCCTCATCCCCAACTACACCCGCACCCTCTTCTGCTCCCCGTTCCCTATCCAGGACACCCCTTCGTCCCTCATTGTTCGCGTTGTGCATCCTCTCGTCACCAATGCTGCTGTTAACATTACTCTTGGCTCATCAGGCCCTCTTGCTACTTCGGCACCCTCCCTACCCTTGTCCTCTTCCTCTCCCCGTTTTCTCATCCAGGACACGCCAACGGCCCTCACCATTCGCGACGTGCGTCCCCTCATCGCCAACGCTGCTGTCACCACGCTCGGCCAACTGGGCCTTCCCCGACGCACACTCACCTGGCACCTGGGCTCACACACAGGCGAGCAGACAGGTGTTGGGGCTGATGCAGAGACTGGCGCACATAGAGGTGTTGAGAGCGGTGTTGAGGCTGGTGCGGAAGCAGGAGCACGGGCAGTGGATGGCACAACACGGGTACAAGAAGCGAGGATGGCAGCAGCATGTGGAGGAGTAGGAGTAGAAACAAGAGCAGGAGGAGAAGCAAGAGCAGGCCAGGTATCCATGTTGATCGCAGCTCAAGGCAGGAGGGTGGGAGCAGCACCACCAAAGGGAGCACCACCAAGGGGAGGCAAGCTGGCAGCAGAGCAATCTGTGCCTCAGCATGGAGAACCGGCTTTGCCTCAGAAGGTGCGGGCTACCCAGCAGCGGAACCAGCAGCGTGGGCATGCACTGCCGCAGCCATGCCGACCGGCCGTGGGTTTCGAAGCAGCGGGAGCATGCGAGGCAGTGGATGGGTGCCAATCCAGCTGCATGCGTGAAGCAGCAGAGTTGTGCCAATCAGGTGGGTTGTGTGAGGCAGGTAGATGTGAGGCAGGTGGGGCGTGTGAGGCAGGTAGATGTGAGGCAGGTGGGGGGTGTGAGGCAGCAAGAAACCCAAGTGAGCATTATATTGATCTAAACCAGAGGGTGGCATGTGCCAGATTGGCATCGGGCTGTGTACCAAACGGGTTTGCCGCAGCACATGCCAGGGTGACGAGCCTGTGCGTCCTCCGTGCTGGTGCTAGCTGTGAGGTCGAAGGGCCCTTGGCAAGGCAAAGCAGTTGTGGTGAAGAGGTAGTGGTGAATATAGGGAAGGAAGGAAAGGATGGAAAAGACACACCGGTGGTGCTTCGATGGCTCACAAAGCTGAAGAGGGAACATATGGCTAGAGGCGGCCTTGTACTCCTTATCACTGCCTTCATTATTGTTCTTTGAGTGCTTCTGTTGGGCGTGAAGCCATTGAAGAATGTGTTATTGCAGCTCCTTCCCTCAGCTAGACACATTCCATCAGCACCACATTTACCAAACAAATCTGGGAATATGAGGCATCGGGTCGTATGGATAGGCAGGCACGCAGGCAGGCTTACACGCACATATTAGAAACGACACCACGTGTCACATCACAAGATCACACGTAAGGGCTGCTGGTACTACCAGCCTGGTAGGTAGTGTAGCGAGCCGCCGAGCCATACAGCAATCTTCCTTGCCCTGCTGACATCACCCCTGTTCTCCTGTCATCTCGCCTGCGATCCTTGTCGCTGCCTGCTGCTGGCACTGCGGCTCAGTTGACGCTGGGGCTGCAGGGGCGGTGGGTGGCGTAGTGAGCTGTGCAACAGGATAACTGCGAAGCAGGACGGAGAGAGGGCATGGGGACAATCAGGCGAGCTGGGGTCAACAGGGCAACACATGGGGTATGGGGGGCTACACGGGTGGGGGGCAGGAAAGCAGGATGTGCAGCAGAATAACTGCAAAGCAGGGAGGGGGGAGGACATGGGGGAAATCAGCCTATGGGGAGTTAACAGGGGGTTGCAGGGGTGGTGGGTAAGAGCGGGTTGTGCAGTAGGATAACTGCAGGGATGGAAGAGGAGGAAGGCTGGGGGCGTATTGAATGAGGCAAAGATGAGAGCTTACCAAAGAGGGAAAGGCTGAGGGCGAGTGAGAGAGCCGGCACAACTCTGAAGCAGAATGCGACAACCCACAGGGCTGGCAAATCAGAAGGAGGACAGCAGGGACGGCAAAGAGCGAACACGAAGGGGGAGCGGAAGGATGGCATGGGGAGTGCTTTTGAGTCGCCTCAAGGGAGCGGAAGGATGGCATGGGGAGTGCTTTTGAGTCGCCTCAAGGGAGCGGAAGGATGGCATGGGGAGTGCTTTTGAGTCGCCTCAAGGGAGCGGAAGGATGGCATGGGGAGTGCTTTTGAGTCGCCTCAAGGGAGCGGAAGGATGGCATGGGGAGTGCTTTTGAGTCGCCTCAAGGGAGCGGAAGGATGGCATGGGGAGTGCTTTTGAGTCGCCTCAAGGGAGCGGAAGGATGGCATGGGGAGTGCTTTTGAGTCGCCTCAAGGGAGCGGAAGGATGGCATGGGGAGTGCTTTTGAGTCGCCTCAAGGGAGCGGAAGGATGGCATGGGGAGTGCTTTTGAGTCGCCTCAAGGGAGCGGAAGGATGGCATGGGGAGTGCTTTTGAGTCGCCTCAAGGGAGCGGAAGGATGGCATGGGGAGTGCTTTTGAGTCGCCTCAAGGGAGCGGAAGGATGGCATGGGGAGTGCTTTTGAGTCGCCTCAAGGGAGCGGAAGGATGGCATGGGGAGTGCTTTTGAGTCGCCTCAAGGGAGCGGAAGGATGGCATGGGGAGTGCTTTTGAGTCGCCTCAAGGGAGCGGAAGGATGGCATGGGGAGTGCTTTTGAGTCGCCTCAAGGGAGCGGAAGGATGGCATGGGGAGTGCTCTGAAACAATCCAGCCATTGTTCCTAAGATGCTTCCAAAGATATTAACCCATGCCATAACCCACGCACCAAAAGCCAACCCACCCTCCCCAGCCCATGCCTCAAACCTTCCCCCACCCGCCCCAGAAAACGCACTTAAACGCAGCAGGAATTGGCCAGCGTGCAGGCGCCAGCTATCCTTGTGCACTAGCAGCGCCTTGTGAGTCTACCCCAACCCCACCCCTAACCCATCCCCAGCCCCAGGCCCCCCTCAACAAAGCACCTAGCTGCAGCAGGAATCGGCCTGCATGCAGGCGTCAGCTGTCCTTGTGCGGTCGCCGCACCTTTTAAGACAAAACCTTCCTTCCCCCAAGCCCCACACCCCACCCTAAACGACGCACCTAGCTGCAGCAGGAATCGGCCGGTGTGTAGGCGCCAGCTGTCCTTGTGCACTCGCAGCGCCGCGTTGCACTTTTTCAGTTCCTGCCACAGCCGCACCAGCGCTGCCAGCCCCGCACACGCCACTGGCCGCTTGTACCTGCAGGAGGGAGAGCAAGCACAGACGGACGGACGGATGGACGGATAGAGGGGGGGAATGGAAACCTGGAAAGCTGCAGCTCGTGTGATGGGGGTGGAGGAGGGAATGGAGGGGGGATGGGAGATGGGATGGAGGGGGAAAGTGGTGCGGAGGAGCGACTGGAGGGGAACAAGGCCGGGTATGGGATAAAGGGAAAAAAGGAGGAAACGAGGGTAAAGTCTGGCGATATAGGGGAAACAGAGCAGGGGAAGAGGGAAGCGGGAAGCACGCGGAGAAAGCGGCGGATATGCGGCTAATACTGACTGTCGGGCGAATGACGAGGACACGTACATGACGCAAACGAGGAAAAATAGAAGAATCCGGAGGTAGTTTCCCAAAAACTCCACAAAATTTGAATCCACTCGCCTCCCCATTTCCGTCCAGCTGCCCGGAAGGGAATACGCCGACCGTAATTGACCCCAGCCGAAAAACAAATCCGTCCACGGTAGAGGCGGTTTTTTTAGATCCTCTATAGTTAGCATCGATATACGACTGGACGGCGCTGCTGCAACGGATCGCCGAGATCCGATATAAGGAGGCGCGTTTCCAGCACCGGACGAGCCTTCGCGGCCTCCTCTCCATCTGTTGACGTCGTCCGTTGGATCTAACGAATCTACACCGTCGCCTTGTGCTCGCCGGAGCGCCTGGTCCTGCAGTAACGCGTGGACTTGTTCCGGCGGGAACGCAAGCGACAGCGGGTTCTGTGCGAACGCCATAGGCGATCTCGCCTGTCACCCTGTCGCCAAGCTCGCCTGTTCACCTGTCTTGAAGTGCAGTCTGTTACACTGTCGTAAATCGTGCCCGTTGCCTTATCTTAGAAGCGCTGCTTCCCGAATCGGCTACTGTTGAGCATGCGGAACACAACTGAAAATGGTGATGCGGAAAACTCCGAGGCCACGGGATCACGGAGGTCAGCACCTCTTCCTTTTGAGAAATCGCGTTTGTAAGAAACGGAAATCGAGGCAAATGCGTTTCTTTTTACAAATAGCTATTTTGCATCAATCATCTTGTCCCGAAAGGTTTGTTAAATATGTATCGGCGCGTACAACAGCGAGGTATGCTAAGCTGACTTGTCGAAACCTGGACGTCCACCTCATCTCGAACCTGCCACGCTTGCACCCGCCAAGTTGCGACACGGCGGACGAGGTAGACACGGAGGACTTCGCAGTCCTCTCAGTCAACCCGGCCTATCCCCCTGCTGCTCCCTGCAATGCTGGACGCATTTCCCGAGCCGCGGTTTGTATGTCGACAGTTCAACTGGCGTTCCCTGAAACTCCTCGTCGTCGCGCAATTCCACATCGTCGCAGGGGAGGAATTTGCCCCGCTGTCAGCACAGCACCAAGGAAATGTCGCTCTTCCGCCCATCTTCTCCTCTCTCATCTCTTCCCCGTGACCTGCCCCTCCCGTCATCCTCCCCTCATCCCTCATCCCCACACCCCTTCCCCCTCCCCTCCCTCTCCCTCCAATATTTTACCGCACCATAATCCCAAGATCGTAGTACGTATCTGTTCATCCGCCTTTTTCTATTCGGCACTTTAGACTCAGTTCCCTTGCCATATTTACATCACCATTCCGTTTCATTCTAGATAAAGACGCTTTTTGGCTTGTGAATGATTGTGTGGCTCGTGAAACATCCTGTTGCTAAGACTCCTACCTACCGCCACTTGTAGAACCAGCGACCGAAACCGGAAAATTTCACTATTAGTGTCCACTCGTTACCACTACCACTGGTTAAACTCAGCTCATACACAACTAATCCCGATGAAGAACTTCGCGAATATTTTCCTTCTCGTCGTCTTTTGGACCGTCGCACCGGCCACCCACGCGTCGCGCGTTTTAAAGGCCGCCACGACAGAATCGTGGGATTCGCCGCCCGCGGTGGTGGTGGGGGTCAACTATCTACCGACTCGTGCGCGAAGAGAGCTCGCGACAACGAACACGGCTGTCGGAGGCTCCTTCGGCGATATTAGCGAAAATCCAAGCAGTAGTGGTAACGCCCCGGCGACAAGTCGCACGCGACGAGTTCTAGCGAGCGACTACTTTTACGAGGAAGAAGATAGCGGCGGCAGCGGCGGATCGTACGGCGGCGACTACTCGGGCGGCGCGTGGGAGCCTCCGAAGCCTCAATGGGGTTACGTTGGCTCGACGGATACTGGGGGAAGCACGGAGCCCTGGATGGGTGAAGACTGGGTTCCAACTGACGGCTCGTCTTCAACAGACTCCGGTGCTGGCGGCGAGGAAAGCGGCGGGGAGAGCGGCGGTGAAATCGGGGGCAATTCGAGCTGGCAAGACGAGCCATTAACAAGCGATTTCAGTGACGGCGGCAGCGGCGAGGAAAGCGACGGCGGCGGCGGGACCTGGGACGACCTGTGGAGCAAGTGGGGGTGGGGGTCGTCAGACGAGCCAGATACTATCAGCGGCGCGGACCCCGGGACTGACTGGGGCGACGACGGAAGCAGCGGTGGCGATAGCGGCTGGACGGACGACTCTACTGACGGCAGTGATGGAGGCGACGGGTCGAGCGATTGGTCAGGCGGCGACGGGTCGAGCGGGGGAACGAGCGGAAGCGGATGGGGGAACCCGTACCCTGGTTACGGCTGGGTTGGATCCACAGATACGAGTGGCAGCACGGATTATGGCAGCGGCGGGGAGGCACAGTACAGCACTCTGACTACAACAAGCGGCGACGACGGCAGCAGCAGCAGCAGCAGCGCCAGTAGCAGCGCGAGCAGCAGCAGCAGTACGACTGTCAGTAGCAGCTTCACGTCTGGAGGAGCAGACGGATCCGTGGTTCCTCTCTACCCAGACGAGGGTTCAGCCTCCCCTCCCCCAGCAATCGATGATTCCGATCAGGACTCCTCCGCCTCCCCTCCCCCGTCCCGCGGGTCCCCTGACGCTCCCCTCCCCGCGCCCCCCGGCCATCCATCCAATGGCCCCCAGCCTCCGAGGAGTCCTCGTCCTCCCAAGGGCTCGCCTCCTCCTGCGGTTGATACCCCCGCCGTGCCACAGCCGCCGCACGTGCCTGGCGGTCCTACGACTACCCCTCCTCCCTCTGGCGTCCCCGTTGTTCCCACACCACCCTCTGATGTTCCTCCTACCCCTGCTCCTCCCACTGATGGAAACGTTGTTCGTGCTCCCTCTGACGGCTCTACCACCCCCGTTTTCCCTCCTGGCGGCCCAACCACCCCCGTCCCCCCGCCTGACGGCTCAACCACCCCCTTTCCCCCGCCTGATGGCGCCACCACCCCTCCTCCTCCTGATAGTCCTCCTGACGGCGCAACCACCCCTGCCCCTTCCTCAACCTGCGTCATGGATCAAGGGGCCGTGCAGGCAGCCCTCTCATGGGCATGTGGCGCTGGTGGCGCAGACTGCTCCGCCATCCAGCCTGGCGGCGCATGTTACGAGCCGAATACACTCGCCGCGCATGCGTCTTACGCATTTAATAAGTATTATCAGCAGCGCGCGCACGCGCCTGGGACCTGCTTCTTTGGAGGGACGGCTGTGGTGGTGCCGGCGCTGCCTGACTACTCGCCTGAGACTGGAGGCTGCAAGTACCCTGAGGGGAATGCTCAGTACTGTGTTGTGGGCTGCAAGTGAGAGAATAAGCAGCCCATACATTGTATGTGAGGGCGCTGGTGATGTGGTTACTCCAGTAGATTTTGTGTATAGGGGAGTGGGTGTTCATGACTGGGGTTTTAGACCAGGTGTGGTGTACCTTTGCTGTGTGCTATCTATTCGTATACCACGGTACGATTTCACAACTGAAAACCCTGGAAACCCTGAACCATATGAAGTACCATAATCAAGCAAAGACTTCAACGTAATATGTGTGGGCAACAATACAGGGTACCATATCTTTAGCAGATAAGGTTGTTGGAACTACAGACATGGTGTTGTGTACCGGTACATCTGAAACGGTGAGTGTGTTGTAGTCCATGTCAACATGGCCTTTTCCTACAAGATTGAAGCTCACATCAGATGCGTTCTGTGAGTACTCGTGCAATCCAGGAAATTATGACATGTGCAATTGCAAAGCACCTCACTGTCTTCATTAGGTGACAATCCAGCTTGTTAATGTATTCGAATACAGTAACCTAATTTTGCAGCGCTTGTGCTTGTACCGTGTGTTGCGTTGGGATGTAATAGCCACGTGCCTCCAATTCTCTCACGCCAAAAATGCTGAATATTGGCTGTAACCTGTTTCGTTTGCTTACATCCATTGTATTCATTGGTCACATGACAATACCCAGTAATCTGGAGGGCCTGTTTCATGTTGAGATTGCTGCATGCTTACAATATGTCACTTGGATAACCTAGAATAAACTGCACATAGAAGCAAGAGTGGTATCATCAGCCTGCGGGAGTTGAAACTAGATCGAGAAACGCAATAATGGGCAACGACAGGTGACAACTTTCCCTTTGCTTCGCCTCCCTGTCGTCGTGCGTGTCCCTCCCAAAGGTGTTGATTTGCTAGACCTGCCTTTGCGACCTCGGCGAATTTGTCCACCTCAGCGACAGCTATCCCCCAGGTCCCGTTGACTCCAGGGAAGCAAGCGACTCGCACTGGCAGCGTCCTGGGTTCTCCGTGCTCCTACCGAGTCTAGCGAACTTGTACTCCCTTGTCGTCAACCTTGCCACTGGAGAATTCACTTGTTTGTCAGTCCTGCGAAGAATGATATGCTTCGCTGGAATCGTTCAATTGTTTCGCATGCCATTGTGATGCCAGCGGAGAGCATCTTTCTCTCCTCTCGCAACTCAACTCCACCCCTCTCCTCTCCGCATCGGTGGCCAGGAGCCAAGCCAAATGACGTCCCTAGTACAGAACCACCCTTCTCTGCTGCGAACAATATAAAGACTTCTCGAGCCACGCATCTCATCTTGCAATCTAAGTAGACATTCCGCAGCTACTGTTGGAAGGAAACGGTGATGGGGCGGTGGTATGCCCCCAACCCACCGAGGGCACTTCGGTGCCTTCGATCCCTTTGACTAGGGATCGGTGGGGTGGCACCGATTGACTTCGGGAGACTCACCCTTCGGTGCCACGTGGCGGCACCACATTCCAACCTTCAAGTGCAAGGCGAATTCGGTGTGTTCGGTGTGAAATTCGGTGGTCGAATTTCACCCCAACCGAAATGTTACACGCGGCGCATTCGCGACGCGAGTGTAGCGATGTGATGTTACATGTGCGGTTCGATGTAATGCATTTGCTATAAATCGACCTGCCTTGTATGCATGCTTTATACTGAAATCCTGAATCTTCTTGTACATGGTCCATTCGAACCAAAATTCCAGAGAGGTCTATCCTTGCTTCTAAGAGCACTAGCAATCACGTGAACGCCAATATCTCGGCGTATACTTGGGCGATTAACGTGTTTGACGGCTTGTTGGAAAGCCAAGACTGTGCTCTATCGTTTAGTGCAACTTAGAGTTCCTGCAAAGTAGAGGAGACGCCTCTACAACAGTGGTATCAGAGCTGGTCGGTAGAGTCTACGTGCGCGACTTGTAGCAAGCATGATGACGTCAAGCGAAACCTCCGGCACTTCCTTAGGTGGTGTCGTCTCGAATCCCGGCGAACCCTGGACAAACGCGACGGTGTTCGACACGTCGGCGGTTCCGATTTTCACGGGACAAAACTACTCCGCGTGGAAATTTAAGTTCCAAGTGCTCATGATGGGGGACTTTGGGGTCTCTTCGACGGAACGGAGAAAAAGCCGGTCAACGAGGACGAGATCGCGGCATGGAAGAAGAAGGACCAAAAGGCGTTCGCAACGTTGATTTCGCGCATCGGCATCAACCTCGTGAGTTCGGTGCGCACGTGCATCAAGCTCGAAGCTTCGGCGCGTGAAGCATGGAAGCGGCTCGAGACGATGCACGTGAACAAGACTCTCCACGGCAAGATCCTAGCCCGAAGTGCGTTCTACACGGTGAAGTTGCGCGCGGGCGAATCGATGCACGAGTATGCGACTCGTGTGGAGGAACTCGGGGAAACGTTCATGGACCTCGGTGGAACGGTCACGGAGGAGGATTGGATTCTCACCTTGCTTTGCGGCCTTCCGGAAGAGTGGTCGACGGTGATTACGACACTCGATAGCGTGCAAAACACTTGGACGAAGGAAATGGTGGTCGGTCGGCTTCTCCATGAAGAATCGCGACGCCGACAATTCGCTAACGAGAGCGTGGAGACCGCCATGTTCTCCGGAGGGAGCTCCGGAAAGAAGTCCAAGTGGAGCAACGGTGAGGCAAAGAAGTCGTCCGGTGGAAACGGTCGCGGCAAGGGCAACGCATCGAACGGTTCGAGCAAGTGTCATTATTGTCGCAAAGCGGGGCACTTTTGGCGTGAATGTCGGAAGCGGCCGAGCGATTGGATTCCATCGAAGGCGCGGAATCAAGAGGGCAACGCGCACACGGCATCCGGCGAGGCGGATGATTCAACGGAGTCGCTCGTTTTGTTGGCCGGTGACGGGATCAACACTTCAAACGACGCGTGGTTCCTCGACACCGGTGCAACACAACACATGACGCACTCGGCGTCGCTCCTCAACAACGTCGGTGCTCCGGGAGACGTCAAGCGCGTCGTCTTCGGGAACGATAAATCGCTACCGGTGGTTGGAGTTGGGAGTACGCGTCTCATCGTCGATGGCGGGCCGGTGGACATCACGAACGTGCTTCACGTCCCGGGATTGAAGGTGAATCTACTCTCCGTCACTCAACTCGCAAAGAAAGACGTGAAGGTCACCATCGATGGCGCGAAGATGAACCTCTTTTGGAAGGGGAAGCAATTCGCGCAAGGCGTTCGCAACGGACAACTCTACCAACTCAAGACGCATCCGACAACGGCCTCATCCAACGTGGCGCAAGGCTCCAAGGCGACTCTCAAAATGTGGCATAATCGGCTTGCGCACGCCAACTACGACCCGGTCAAAGAGTTGGCCAACAAAGGACTTGCGAAGGGATTTGACGTGATCGCCGGCAACGACGAGAAGGGCGTGTGCGCGGCGTGTGTCGAAGGAAAAATGGCTCGCAAGCCATTTGGTAGCCGTACCTCACCCCTCGCAAAGGACCCGCTTGCGCTTGTTCACATGGACGTGTGTGGACCGATGCGGCATGCATCAAAGGGAGGAGCGCGGTTCCTCTTAGTGATGCTCGACGACGCGACGCGGATGAGTTGGACCCGACTCTTGAAGGCTAAGGGAGATGCGGCCAAGGCGATTCAAGAGTGGGCGCTCGACGTTTGCGACGATGGCAAGAAGCGGATCAAGTGCATTCGCACCGACGGTGGCGGCGAATTCGTGAGCAACGAGCTTGAAAAATGGATGAAAAGCAAGGGCATTAAGCACGACGTCACGACACCCTACACACCCCAACAAAATGGAGCGGTAGAGCGGCTCAATCGCACATTGATGGAGGCCGTTCGTTCACTTCTTCAACACTCCAAGCTTGGGAACGAGTGGTGGGGAGAGGCGAGTGCGCTAGCGGCATGGATTCGTAATCATGTGCCAACAAAGGTGCTACCGGGAACGACTCCGTTCGAAGCATGGACCGGAACGAAGCCGAACCTATACCGCCTACGCACCTTTGGGTGCCTTTGCTACTACCATGTACCGGATCCACTTCGCCACAAGTTGCAACCGAAAGCTCGTGCGGCGATCTACTTGGGGATTGCGGCCAACGAGCGTGCATGGCGAGTGTGGGATTTGGATGAAAAACGCGTCGTCACGTCTCGGGATGTGATCTTCGACGAAGACAAGTTCCCGACAAAGGAGAAACAAACGCCGCAACTCACCGTCGTCCTTCCCGCACGAGAGGAGGATGAAGCGGTGGAGGTTTCACCGCACGTGAAGAAGGGAGCCGAAAGTGGAGGGGGAGAGAACGAGGAGTGCGATGATGATGTCGAGGAGGTGCCACCAACCGAGGAGGCCACTTCCTCCGCACCTTCTTCCCTACCATTAGCGTTGACTCGCGGGCGTCGTACACCTCGCCCCAACACGAGGTTAACCGACTATGCTACGGTCGCCGTTGGGGAGTCGGATGAGGAGAGTGCGGCGATTTGCCTAGCGACCATCGGCGACGATAACCCACGCATTCACAAGGAGGCTTTGGCTTCCCCGGATGCACCGCTATGGAAGCAAGCGATGGAGAGGGAGTTAGCATCGATCAAGGAGAACGATGTTTTCGAGCTCGTCGACCCGCCGAAGGGTGCCTACTTGGTGGGATGCAAGTGGGTGCTTAGGAAGAAATTGGGAGCCGATGGAGGTGTCGAACGCTACAAGGCGCGGCTTGTGGCGCAAGGGTACACTCAACGGGAGGGGGAGCACTATAGTGAGACCTTCGCTCCCGTTTCAAAGGCCTCCACTCTTCGGGTGTTGCTCGCGCTAGCGGCATCTCTCAACCTCGAGGTGGAACAATTGGACGTTTGCACCGCCTTCCTCTACGGGCTTCTCATGGAAGAAGTCTACATGCGGCAACCCCCGGGGTACGATGACGGTAGCGGTCGGGTGTGGAAGCTCAAGCGTACCCTCTATGGCTTGAAGCAAAGCCCACGCGGATGGTACAAGCGCATCGACGACTTTCTTCTTCAACACGGCTTCGCGCGTAGC